TATATCAGAAGTGCATGTGTCCGAAATTTGCCCCAAAAATGTGACCAACTGTTGTGTGTCTTTGTCTCATGTCTATCATATGTGCCATGTGCAATATGCATCATATATAGCAAGTGCATGTGGACGAAATTTGCCCCAAAAATGTGACCAACTGTTGTGTGTCTTTGTCTGAGGTCTAGCATATGTATCATGTGCAATATGTACCATATATACCAAATGCATGTGTCTGAATTTTGCCCCAAAAATGTGACCAACTGTTGTGTGTCTTTGTCTCATGTCTATCATATGTATCATGTCAATATGACTCATATATGACAAATGCATGTGTCTGAAATTTGCACCAAAAATGTGATCAACTGTTGTGTGCTTTTGTCTCATGTCTATCATATCATGTGCAATATGTATCATATATAACAAATGCATGTCCCCGAAATTTGCCCCAACAATGTGACCAACTGTTTTGAGTCTTTGTCTCATGTCTAATATATTCATGTGCAAAATGTATCATACATAACAAATGCATGAGGCCGAAATGTGCTCCAAAAATGTGACAAACTGTTGTGCGTGTTTGTCTCATGTCTATCATATGTATCATGTCAATATGTATCATGTATGACAAATGCGTGATTCTGAAAGTTGCACCAAAAATGTGATCAACTGTTGTGTGTATAACAAATGCATGGTGTTGCCTCAAAAATGTGACCAACAGTTGTGTGTCTTTGTCTCATGTCTATCATATCATGTGCAATATGTATTATGTATAACAAATGCATGTCCCCGAAATTGTTCCCACAAATGTGACCAACTGTTGTGTGTCTTTGTCTCATGTCTAATCTATTCATGTGCCATATGTATCACAATAAGGAATGTATGAGGCCGAAATTTGCACCAAAAATGTGACCAACTGTTGTGTGTCTTTATCCCATGTCTATCATATGTATCATGTGCAATATGTATCATGTATGACAAATGCGTGTTTCTGAAATTTGCACCAAAAATGTGATCAACTGTTGTGTGTTTTTGTCTTAGGTCTATCCGATGTATCATGTGCAATATGTATCATATATATCAAAGGCATGTGTACGAAATTTGCCCCAACAATGTGAACAACTGTTGTGTGTCTTAGTCTCATGTCCAGGAAATCAATGGCAATATGTATCATCCATATCAAATGCATGAGTCTGAAATTTGTCCCAAAAATGTGACCAACTGTTGTGTGTCTTTGTCTCATGTCTATCATATGTATCATGTGCAATATGTACCATATATAACAAATGCATGTGTCTGAAATTTGATCCAGAAATGTGACAATATGTTGACTAACCTGCTTGTGAGTGTGAGTTGTCCTATCAGTGTGAGAACCCCGTTTTGAAACACGAGCCGCCCTCAACCTCATCCTCCCTCTCTGGTCCCCCCCAGCCCCTAGAGGCCGCGGGCCCCGCCTCTCACGGCGCCCCCCTTCGGGCCCCTCCAGTGCGCCCCATCGGGAACTCAAGCGAGAGCACTGTTTTGAAACAGGAGCCCCCCTCAACCTAATCCCCCGTGCCCTCTCTGGTCCCCCCCAGCCCCTAGAGGCCTCGGGCCCCGCCTCTCACGGCGCCTCTCCTCGGGTCCCTCCAGAGCGCCCCATCGGGAACTCAAGCGAGAACCCCGTTTTGAAACAGGCCTCCCTCAACCTTATCCCCCTGGCCCACCCCAGCCCCCAGAGGCCTCGGGCCCCGCCTCTCACGGCGCCTCCCCTTGGGCCCCTCCAGAGTGCATCATCGGGAACTCTTGTTTTGAAACAGGAGCCGCCATCAACCTCACCTGCTTGTGAGATTGAGTTGTCTGATCAGTTTGACGCATGTATGTGCTTCGTTTCCGTTCGTATGGACTTTGGCACTTTCCCACAGCATTATGTGTGTGCCTTAGCCATTGGGGCTCCAGTCGTATATTGTTTTTCGTATCTCTTTCCATATTTGCACGCGCGTCCGCATTGTTGGCAATGGCAGGGCAGTGGGACGAACAGACTGGGGAGTAGATCCCATCCAACGAGGAGGCGGTCGAGGGTATGAGGCGCTGGTCTGTGTCACCCGGCGGGGACGGATTGGTATTCCAATGGCTCAAGGCTCAGGAGAGACAACAGTACCACATAGCTAGGGGGGTGGCCGCTCACTCTTCGAGCTGGTGGTTCCTTCCGGGCATGCCTCCAGAGAGTGCCTGGAACGAGGTGCCACCAGCTCGAGGGGAAGGCGCGGCCACCCCCTTAGCTGGTGGTATTGGTACTTTTTTCTCTCCTGAAAGGTGCTGCGCGAGACCACGTGGTTCGCGACCGCAGTGTATTTTCCGTGTATGTGGCAGGGGCTCACGGGTGTATGCCTGCGTGTGTCGACCGCGGAGAGCACGCGCCGTTCAAAGGAGAACGGTATGGTCGAGAACCAGCGGCGTATGGGAGGCATCGAGACCCCAGAGTGGATGGCGTTCGCTGTATACTTCTACCCTGGCTTGGTATTCGGCAACTTTGATGGTTTCAAAGATCCAGCCGCGCAGTATCTGGGCACACTTGCGGAAGTATTCAATCGGCTGTGCACCCAAGCTGGTATAGCGAACTGGAGTTCGCACGTATTCGTCCGACCCGGCGGCTGGGTGTATGCTGGCTTGCGCAGGCTGTTGCAGCTCCTGCGTATTCACGTGCATTCCGAGGTGGTATCAGGTCTGTCATACAGGCGCATGGCGAGCCTGGATGTATTTGTGGCAACACACACGGCATCCATGGGCATGGAGCCGCCATGTATGGCTCTGTGGAATGCCTCCCACGACGTCAAGGATGGTATCACCTTGTTCCCGAAGCAGGATCATTGGTGGCACATGCCTGTATGACGTTCTTTCGGGCAGTCCGAGTATGGGAATGTCATGGATTACCGTGTGGGTCTGGGTATGCCGGCGCATGTCCAGGGCGCCCTGGCGGTATTGGCGCCCCACGGACGCACGGGCGATGTGTCCGCGAGGAGGCGTATCGGCACCATGCTGGGACACTTGGCCCCTGATGTATGGGTGCCAGGAGCGCAGCTTGCAGTATTGCGCCCGATGCGTGCCATTAGGGACAGGCGCATGCCAGAAGACGATGAGCACACAGACTCGTCTCTTTAGTATGCTTCCAGAGCACGTATGCGTCCGCCTCGCCTTGTCCTGCTGCTCCTCCTCCTCCTCCTCCTCCGGCGGGGCACCCATGGGGACAACCATCGGGACCACCATCGGAACAACCATCGCGGCAACCATGGGGACAACCATCGGGACAACGATCGGGACAACCACAACCATCAGGACAACCATCGGGACAACCATCGGGACATCCATCGGGACAACGATCGGGACCACCATCGGGGCAACCATCGGGAGAACCATCGGAACAACAATCGGGACAATCATCGGGACACTCATCGCGACAATTATCGGGACAACCACAACCATCAGGACCTCCAACCAGAGAGAGGTAGTCACGTGTATTTCGTCGACGAGTGAGCCAGTGTTGCACATTGAGGCCGGAACGAGAACCACAGAACAAGAATGAGCATATATCGTCTCACAACAACGGAAACAAGTCCTGTGGTATGCTGGCGCCACGCACGTGATACCAGTCAAAATAAGGGTCTTGGCTTGTGTGGTACAGAAACGTTAAAACGTCGGAAAACGGTACACGTGCCCATTGTTGGAACAGGGGTATAAGTCGTATACTAAGCTAGTTTCCACAAGATGTTACCACAAGAAGTCATTGTAACCATGCGCCAGTGTAGTAGCCAAGGTCGTCCGCAGGCCACGAAGTGAAGTGTCCGAACGTCATAGGGCGGGAAGCTGGGTGTGGGTGGTGGCGAAGAGTCGTTTGGAAACTTGGTAGAGCTTGAACCGGCCCCCCCACAAAGTGGGGGTATTGCCCGCCTCCTATGAAAATCCTGGCACTGGTGAGAACGGAGTGTCCCCAGTCTTAAATGATTGTTGTTGTTGTTGTTGTTGTTGTTGATGTTGTTGATGTCGCTGTTGCTGTTGCTGTTGTTAGTGTTACTCTTGTTAATTATGGGGACATTTGCATTTGTGCTGCGAGAATTTCGCGGTAGGCCTATTGGATTTGTTGGACGGTCGGTCCCAGGTCATGGCTCTGTCACCTGGCCCAGATCCCCAGACCTCCGATGATATTTTTGTTGCTCCAATCGCGGCGTGTTCCTTTCATGTCGACATCCGACCCGAGGCCGTTTTCTTTTGGGCTCCTGGGGCCAGCAAGAAGTGGTCGGGGATGCCACCGGTGAAGTGGTCCGGAGTTTTGGGGCCGCGGGCTGAGGATCACAGCGGAGGATGTCTGGGTCCGCTCAATTCGGCCTCGCAGGCCCTGTCCACCACGAGCAGTCAACAAGCCCGCGAACCGCTCAGTTCCATCAAAGCCACCTCTGCCAATCTCGGGGCCAGAATTCCGCCTGGGCTATAGGTCTGATGTCGGATGGGGTTCCCCGATGGCGATGCGGCGACTCATGGGCGACCGGGGTTCGATGCGCCTCCCCTGAGCTCATCCCCCCTGACATTGCCCCCCTCGAGGCCCCCCTCCCCCCCCACGCCCCCCGAGAGCCGCGCGCCCAGAGGCAACCCCGGCGCGGGGCCGCGCACGCGTGCAGCCGACCCCCTCTGGCGCGGCCGAGCAGGGGGCCCACCCTGGCCTCCGGCAGTCCGCACCCGCCCCTCGCCGGCGCCCTCGTCGCTCTGCGCTCCCCCCCGTCCTCCTTGATGGGCCGGAGTGTGCGCCTGTTCCCTCGTCACCAAGGGGCCCGTCCTGAGCGTCATCTTCGGCCACGCGCGGAGAGGGGGGGGGGTGAGGGGAGGGGGGAGGGCTTCTTCGGAGCGCCGCTGCTCCTTAGAGAAGGCGCGGGCCTCGTCTCCAGACGCAGGGCTGGCGCCGTCCCAGAAGCCGCCTGCCGCGGGAGGGCCTCCGTTGTCTCGGCTGGCCCTCCGCCGATCGTCGACCTCGACCGGCGCAGGGAGCGCACCGTGGCCTCCGGGGTGGCCGACTTCGAGGTCTCGCTCGACCTTCGCAACGTCCTCGTGCGCCACGCGAGCGCGCGGGTCCGCGTGCTCTCGCTGGAGGAGGCGCGGAGCGGGGGCGCCGCGGAGGCCGACGCCGGCGAGGAGGAGGGCGAGGAGGACGACGAGGAGGACCCGGCGGCCCGCTGAAGGGGGGGGGCGCGAGGGGAGCGGCCTCCTGAGAGGGGGGGGGGGCTTCTGAGGCCAGGAGGCCACATGCGAGCCCCACCCCAGCTCCCCACGATTTCGAAAGGGGGGAGGCGGGGTTCGCTTCGTTCGGGGCCTCCCGAGCGAAGGGGGCCCCACCTGCCCCCTCGGAAATCCTGGGGGTGGTGGGGTGGGGTTCGCACGTGGCCTCCCAGCGGGGTCGACTGCGCGGACACTCGCGCGCAATATTCCCGCGTAAGGTTGCGCGAGCGAGCGGGGGCCACGAAGAGCATACGTTTATGGGGCCACGAAGGGGCGACAGCGGGGCCAGTTGAGGGCAGCAAGGGGGCCACGAAGGGCAAAGAATGCGGGGCCACAAAGGGCAGCGACGGGGCCACTAATGGCAGCAACGGGCCACGAAGGGCAGCGAGCGAAAGCGACCGCGGAACCAGTACGGGCAACGAGGGGCATCGAAGGCGGGCGAAGGGCAGCGAGCGGCAACTGCGTTCCCTAACGGGCTGGTCGGGCGGGCGGGCCTCGACGGGTGGGTCGAGCGGGCGGGTCGTTGAAGTGCAAATCTTTATTGGACCGCCAGCGGGAGCGCGACTCCCAAGTAAATCGCGAGAAGGTCCACAGTGAGAGCGCGATTCCTGAGTGTCGAGGAGCGGCATCTGAATAAAGTGTGAGGAGGTCTCAGGCGAGAGCGCGATGCCTTAGTAAATGGCCAGGAAATCTCAAGCGAAAGCAGGATTTTTCAATACAGTGTGTGGACATGTCAGGCGGGAGCCGTTGTTGTTGTAACTCGGGGGCTAGGGGCGCAGTTTGACGCTCAAGATTTTTCCTGATAAGAAACATGGTGCGAGCCCCGGGAGGGGCAGTTCAATTGAAAAATACAACGTGCACCGGGCAGGAGCGATCAGCAAGTTATTGTTCATAAGTGAGAGTTCGACTGCAATAACACCAACAACCATTTTGAGATTGATCGCTCTTATCTGCTCGCGTGTCATTCAAAACGTAAAACCCAAACCCTCGGTGCCCGCCATCTTCATCTTCGAACGTACCCTCTTAGGGGTAGATCTTCCTTACCTGCACCGTGTATTTCGTGCAGCTCCTGCGGCATTGGAAGAGAGGACGGACGGAAGGTAGTCACAAGTGGAAAGGAGGATGACGGATGGAGCACGAGAGAATAGCAGAAGCGAGGATAGGAGCAGAAAGCAAATGGCAGAACCAAGCGGGCAGATCGGGCAGATAGACCCTCACGTCTTGCATGACTCGCGAGGAACTCTCGAGCGATAGCGCGATCCCCGCATGAACCGTGAGGAAATCTTCAGCAAGAGTGTGATTCCTGAATGTCGAGGGCGCGGCGTCTGAATAAATTGCGAAGAAATCCCACGCGAGAGCGCGATTCCTCTATGAATTGTGAGGACGTCCCGCGCGAGAGCGCGATTTGGGAATACATTGAGGAAGTATCAAGCGGGAGCGTAGTTGTTGTAACTCGGGGACCACGGGCGAAATTTGAAGCTCAAAACTTTCCCTGATGAGAAACAAGGTGCGAGCCCCGGGAGGGGCAGCTCAATTGAAAAACACCTTGTGCACCGGGCGGGGGGTATCAACAACGATTATTATTCAGAAGTGAGACATCGACACCAACAGCAGCAACGACAACAACAGCAACAACAAAACCAACAACAACAGCATCAACAACTACACCAATAACAAACATACTAGCAGCAACGACCTCAACAAAGCCATAATAACAACCACAACAACAAAAACAGCAGCATCATCAACAACGCGATCTCAACGCAACAACAATATCCGCACCGCGGAGCCCCACATCAGCAATGCGCTCAGGGACAACGAATGACCGTTCGGTCCCTCACTCTGACCATGTGTTCGGTTTGGACGTGCGCCTCCGAGGGGGTCTAACTTTCAGTGTTCGTATGTCCTTCTGCGTCCCCGTTTCCTCCCCGCTTCCTCCCCAGAGAGGAGGACCCCGAGGGCGACGAGACGCCCGAGGATCGCGGCCTCGTGGCAATCGGTGCGCGGATCAACCTGGAGGTGCAGCCGCTGGAGGAGTGGGCCCAGATGTTCCACGAGGCCTCGAATTCTTTACGCTTCGCGTATCCCCACCAGCCCATCTCACAGCAGCAACTCTCGCGAAGCATGCCGACAGTCGTGTTTTTCAGGCGTGTGTCCGCTTGGCCCCGCATATCTCCCCTGTTCCTCCTTCCTCCCGCCTCCTTGTACATCCTCCTTGTGAGGGGAGCGGGAGAAGGACGAGGCGGAGGAGGAGGGAGAGAAAGCGCTCCTCGTGATTTGAGTCGTGTGGGGTTTCTCGTCCTGGTGTGAGTCGTTCGGGCCCTTCTTCCTGGTGTGAGTCGTTCGGGCTCTTCGTGGTGTGAGTCGTTCGGGCTCTTCGTCCTGGTGTGAATCGTTCGGGCTTCTCGTGGTGTGAGTTGTTCGGGCCCCTCATCCTGGTGTGAGTCGTTCGGGCCCCTCCTCCTGGTGTGACTCGTTCGGGCTCCTCGTGGTGTGAGTCGTTCGGGGCCCGCGTCGTGGTGTGAGTCGTTCGGGCTCCTCGTGGTGTGAGTCGTTCGGGCGCCTCGTCCTGGTGTGAGTCGTTGGGGCCCTTCCTTGTGGTGTGAGTCGTTCGGGCTCCTCGTGGTGTGAGTCGTTGGGGTCTCTCGTCCTGGTGTGAGTCGTTCGGGCTCCTCGTGGGGCCTGATGGGGGCCTCTTGGAGCCTCTTGGGGCGTCTTGGGGGCCTCTTGGGGGCCTCTTGGGGACGTCTTGGGGGCCTCTTGGAGCCTCTTGGGGCCTCTTGGGGGCCTCTTGGGAGCCTCTTGGGGACCTCTCCGTAGCCATTTTGGCTCAAGATGACTATCACTTGGGGCTTCCGCCCTGGTGGTCAAAGGGATACCGCTAGACCGCGGCAGGCAGATCGGTTTACCGTTCGGCAGACGGGCGCACGATGTCGGCTGGGGGCTGGCCGCGCTCGTACAACGGCTACTGGTCTTGCAGCTGTGGGACGGCGGACAACTACGCAACGCGCAAGAAGTGTCGGGGGTGTGGGACCCTTGGACCGCGCAAAGAACTCACGTACAAGGACGTGCTGCAGGGCCCGACAAAGCGGGAGGCGGCGCTCCAGAAGCAGGTGGACTTCATGCGGGCAGAGCTGCAGGGCCTCAAGAAGCAGCAGCACGCCACGCAGGAGGAGGACGACGAGAAGCCTGTGGACTTGGATAAGCTCTTCAGGTGGGCCCAGTCCTGCAAGACCGAGTGGGGGGACCAGTCAGTCGAGTACCAGCAGGCTCAGGAGCGCTACATGCGCGCCAAGGATGCCAAGCGAAGCACGAAGCCGCACTCGGTCCAGCTCACATTGGCACGGGTGGCCAGAGAGAAGCTGGAGAAGGAGGAGGCGGCAATCATCGACGAGGTCAAGCGGCACCAGAAGGCCACGCAGGAGGCACAGGAGAAGCTCACCAAGAAGAGGGAGCAGCTCGAGGTCGCAAGGGCCAAGGAGTCGGAGCTTAAGGTCCAGGACGTATCCGTCAAAGGCAAGGGCTTCCTCACGGCCATGCAGGAGCAGTACGAGGGTGCCGTCGAAGGCAGCGGCATCAGCAAGGCGGAGCACGAGCAGCTGTTCGCAGCGCTCGGCAAAGTGCTAGACAACGTCAAGGAGGAGCCCAAGGACGACGAGGACGGCATGGACACTGAGGAGGCTTGTGGTGCTCCTGCTGGTGGCAACAGTGGGGGCACAGGTGCAGCCAGAGGAACGCAAGATGAACGCGAGCAGGGTCCGCAGCTGTCACCTGAAGAACAAGAGTGGCTACATGCAGGAGGGATTCCCGCGGACGCCAGCGAAGCACAGCGAAAGCGTTGGATGGAGGTGTGCGTCAGCCTGGCGGAGCATAACAAGCGGGCCAAGCGATCCTAGCAGGCTGCGCAAGAACAAGCATGAGAGCCTCACACTGTGGACTTTCAACGGTTCGGGGTGGGGCACCATCAAGGAGATGATCGAAGGATCTGAAGGGGGCAAGCTGCAGTGCTACGCAGTGCAGGAGCATCGGCTCATGGACGACAGGATCGCGGTGGTGTCGCAGAGCATGAAGGTGCAGGGGTACCAGTTCGGCGGCGTAGCAGCGAACCAGACTATAGGACCAGGTGGAGAAGCAGGTACCTCAGCGGGCGTTGCGGTGGTGGCGCCCAGGCGCATAGGCATGACCTACCTGTATGGCAAGGAGAAGTGGGACCTGTCACCGCGCAACAGTCCAGGGAGAGCTGTAGCTGCGTTGTTAGCGGTCGGTAAGGGCATCACCTACGCGTCGGTCTACTTGTGGACGGCGGAGGGCATGACGTTCAGGAACACAGAGATCATCAACAAGGTGATTGGACAATTGGAGGCGATTGGAGCGCCGTGGATCATCGGGGGAGATTTCCAGGTGGCGCCCGAGAAGATGACGGAGGTAGAAAGCGTCAAGATGGCCAAGGCGCGAGTTGTAGCGTCAGTAGCCAGGTGCGGCACGTGCAGACATGCGCATGGTGCAAGCGAGATCGACTACTTCATCGTTTCGGGCAGCCTAGTCAGCCAGGTGATGGATGTCAGAGTGCAGGAGGAGTGGCCGTCGGCGCCCCACAAGCCAGTGGGGCTCACTCTCAGGCTAAAGGTAAAGGAGCGCATGGTCAGGGTGCTGGAGAAGCCGAAGGCATTGCCAGCGCAGGGCATTGGCTGCACACCAGCGCCGCCTAGGTACCAGGACATCGCGAGTTTCGGGTCGCAGGTGGATGCCAACCAGGCGTGGAAGCAGCATATGCAGACACTGGAGCAGGAGGCCTTTGCAGTGCGAGGTCTAGTATGGGCACCGGACCATCCTGCAGCAGGACGGGCGGAGGAGCCGACTTGGAGGATCAAGCCGCTCAGCTTCGGCGGTGCCAACGTTCCGCCAGCAGCTAGAGAAGCAGTATGGTGGAGGCGGTTGGCAAAGACTTTGCAGAATTTGCATGGGGCATTTTCTAGGCTCAAGATGGCGAGAACAGGCGACATCCAGAGGCAACGGCAGCGGGAGGCAACTGCGCATGAGCACCAGTTCATCATCACGCGCCAGCGGACGAAGCACCTAACAGCTGAGGAGCAGGGCGAGTGGCAGGCCAGGTGCGGGTTGCTGGCTGCTGGGTTATTCCGAGGAGCGTTACAAGAGGCGAAGTTGCAGCAGTGGATGCAAGAAAGCCAGGCCAAGATGAAGGAGTACGACCAGAAGCTCTTGAAGGAGAGGCGTGCGCGGTGGGCAGACAGGCTGCAGGAGGCGGCAGCAGGTGCAGCGGGTGGCCTACACAAGCTAAGCAAGGCTGCTACCGTATGGAGGCCACGCAGGGGAGACACCATGGAGGGCTCGGCAGACCCCATCGAGGCGGCGGAGTACACCCTCAGGGAGTGGAAACAGATCTGGAGGGTCGGCGAGCAGATCCAGGAGGAGGTAAGACCGTGGGAGTGCGAGGAGCGTGACAAGCTCGAGCCTTTCACGGGACAAGATGTGGACAAGCTCAAGGAGGTAGCCCGCACCTTCAGAAAGAAGACGGGGGTCGGTGTCGACAGTTGGCATCCCTCCATGCTGCAGGGCGCGTCGGACGAAGCGTACGACAAGCTGCTGGACTTCTACATGGAGGTGGAACGGACCTTGTACTGGCCCATCCACATGGGCACGGTGCTGTTCTTCATGATCCCGAAGACCTTCACCACGGACAGGGTCATCGGTTTGCTGCCCACAGCCATCAGGGCGTGGGAAAGTATGCGGGAGCCGTACATGGTCAAGTGGGCCAAGCAGAACTACAGGAGCTGGGACTGCACGAGCTACGGTAAGACGGCGGAGGACGCAGCCTGGGAGGTGTTGCTCAGCCACGAGATGGACGACGCGGAGGAACAGAGCGAGGAGACGCAGGCTACGATCACGGCGGTGTTGGACTTGGTGAAGGCGTTCGAGAAGGTCAGCTTGCACGTATTGTGGGAAGCAGGCAAGCAGCTAAGTTTCAACACGGGGGTGCTGGCTGTGGTGTGCTCATATTTCGCCATGAGCAGGCGTCTCATCGTGGGTGACTCGGTGTCCAGCGAAACCCAGACGGTGGCCACCATCGTCGCGGGTAGCAAGTTCTCAGTGTGCTTCTTGAAGATGGTCATCCAGTCCACGTTGGATGGCCTGGTGGTGGAGAGACCGAGGGCGCGTTGGAGAATGTATGTGGACGACCTGTGCGTGCGGTTACGACAGCAGCACCAGTGCATTGTCACGGAGCTTGAAGAGACAATCGACAGTTGTTTCAGAGGCTTCGAGAAGATAGGCTTAAAGTTCTCGGTGGGCAGCAAGGGTAAAGGCGCTGCGATGGCGAGCACTAAGTGGGCGCGAAAGGCCGTGACAAGGCCAATGCGTGAGCGAGGACTGCCAGTGGTTGGGGCCTGCCCGTGCCTGGGGGTTGACATCGTCACGCACGGCACGGCGGCAAAGGCTAAGAACGGCAAGAGGCATGCTATTATGAAGGCCAGGAGCCGGAGGCTGCTCACCCTGAAGGGAGGGCGCGAGATGACCAGGGGCGTTGGCTTGGTGTTCAAGTGTGGTCTAGAGCGCTCAGTCTTGCACGGGTGTAAGTGCTTAGGCATGCCAGACCACCAGCTACGACAGCTACGACGTGAGGCAGGACGATTACTGCCAGGAGGTCGTGGACCCCGAAGCCTCACCCTCCAGCTGGCGGTTGCGCAGGAGGAGCCGACGTACGAGGTCACTGAGGCGCCGATAGTAAGGTGGGCGCGTGCAGTGTGGCATAGCGCACAAGACGAGGATGGAGCAATACAATGGGACAGCATGGGCACCATGTTGCAGCAGGCGTGGAGACGGCAGCAGCAGGAGGTCGGCATGAAGCCAGCGTGGGCCCGAGTGCGGGGGCCAGCAGGTGCTGTCATCATGTCCATGAGAAGGGCCACGTGGGCGTGGCCTGCGTGGCATACTTTTGTCTCGAAGGAGGGCTTCGAGCTGAACATGCAGGAGGTGTGCCCTCTGGACATTGCAGCGATGGTGCGCAAGGACGTGCAGGCGACCCTCTGGGAGGAGTGGACGCAGGCGGAGGAGCTCAGGAGCCTGAGCCCAATGCCTTTGGTGGCACCAGCGGTGGCGCAGGTTCGAGCACGTGATTTCCCGAAGCATGCCAAGAATGCAGCGAAGAAGATCTTCATCGGAGGTGCGTGGACTATGGAGAAGCTTTGCACATGTAATATCGTGCCCACGGACATCTGCATGGCTTGCGGTGAGGCGGTGGGCACCGAGCACCATCGGTATTGCAAGTGCACCGCGCTCAGGGGCCAGCGTCTGCAGGCGCAGGCGGACTGGCAGCACGTAGCCGAGCAGCAGGACACCAACATGCTGTGGACGCGGGGGTTGGTGAGGTCTCCAGAGGCGGACTGGAAGTTCGTTGGCATTGCGGAGGACCAGTACTACGAGCAGGTGGTCGACGGTGATGAGGACTATCTCACAGGCGACATCGTCTGTGATGGCTCCAAGCTCGGGAACAGCGACTGGGCGCAAACGGGCTGGGCAGCCATGTCGCTCACCGACGATGGCACGGCGAAGATGCAGATGTGGGGCCCGTTGCCTTGTACACTGCCGATCCATAGGAGGGTTAAGAGAGCAGAGATGTGGGCTTTTCTCAAGGTGCTGGAGCGAATGCTGCCGCCTGGCCGTGTATATACAGACCACAAGGGCATCCTGGAAGGTTTGCAGAAAGGTGAGCGGTGGTGCACGAGCTGGAAGCGACCACATGCAGACCTATGGCAAAGGATTTGGCACAAGGTGAAGGACCTGGACCTGGATATACAATGCGTGATGCGCGTGAAGGCCCACAGGTCCAAGGCCAGGATCCAGCAGCTCGAGGGCGACGACCTGAAGATTGCGAAGGGCAACAGTGAGGTTGACTTGCTGGCGAAGGCGGGCGCGGAGCAGGACGCGCACTACGGCAAGCACCAGGCGCTGGAGGACCTTTCAGGGCGCGTGCGTTGGGCGCTGCAGAATATAGGATGGTGGTACCAAAAGATGGGCGGTACGTGGCCAGACGTGCCGCCCAAAGCAAAAGGAGTACCGAGACGAAGAGTGCCGAAGCCGCTGCTCACCCTCACCGAGCACGATATCGTGGAGACGGGTGGGTGGCAGGTATGCATGAGGTGTGGCATGCGTGCGGCGCCCAAGAGGATGCGCATAAAGCTGTGGCAAGCGGAATGCGTACGACCACGGTGGCAGGCGACGGGCTCGAGCAGCTCGGGGACAGGCAGGTCGCTGGAAGCCAGCGTTGCCATCGCGGCGGCAGCTGCAGCAGCAGCAGTAGCAGCGCGCCCAGAGGTACAACGCGAAGATCGTGCAGAGCTTGAGGGGCAGGACAGGGCTCATCGTGTTGAAGTTCATGGGCCGTACGTCGTGTGTGTGGTGTGCGGGGCGCACTCGGCGAGGCGAAGGGCGGGTTTGGGCGTGGCATGGCCAGGCCCGCTAGCTCCTCGTGGGCGCTCCACAAAGGACGACGCAAAGAGGAAGAAGCGAGACAGGATTCTGGCTGGGAAGAATCCGCAGAACGGCAAGCCGCTGGAGCAGGGGATAGTCCTGCCTGGGCGGCGGGGGGCTTGAGAGCGAGCTCGCATGGGGGAGCACCAGTTGCACTATGTGAGCATGGTGAACATGCAGGTGCTGATGAGGCTGGAGGGCCAGCCAACGTACGAGTTCGTGCTGGAGAACCAGCTGAACCAGGCCAGTCAGGCCTGAGGCGAGCCGCCGTCTGCGGCGAACGGGCCTCTTGGCGGGAGCCGCTGGAGGTTTGGGGGAGAAAAAAAAGCATATTGGGGACCTCTTGGGGCCTCTTGGGGGCCTCTTGGGGGCCTCCTGGAGGCCTCTTGGGAGCCTCCTGGGGGCCTCTTGGGGCCATCTTGGGGCCTCTTGCGACCTCCTCTGAAGCGCAAATGAGCGCTGCCCCCTGAGACAGACAAAATGAGGCCAAAACCTTCGTAAAATCAACGATTTTGCTATGGAGGAAGAGAAGCGCGGCCCCCTCAGGAGGCCAAAATGGGGCCAAAACCGTAGTAAAATCAATGTGTTTTGCTTCGAAGAAGAGCAGAGGGCCCAAACTCGGTCCCCCCGTCGGGGCCAGAATCCTCGTGAGGGTCGTCGTTTTTTGGCCCTCCCAGGGGTCGAAAAAGACTCCCCTGACGACCCGCGGCCCGCCCTCTCCAGGCCCAGGGGGAGGGAGTAGGGGGAGGGGTAAACCCCTCCCCGAAGGGGAAGAAGGGGGGTTGAGGACAGAGCGGGCTCTCTAAACCACTCACGCCCAAAGGGCTGGTGGGATTTCCAGAGTGGTGGCTGCCAGCCTGTTCGAGTGGTGTATCTGATGTTGGGGCCGTTTACCAGATTGGCCAGATTGGATTCCTTTTTTATGTTCGCCAGATTGGATTCAGACTGACCCCCTCGCCAGATTGCCAGATTTCGCCAGATTGGGCCCGCCAGATTGGCGCCAGACTGGCTTCGACTGCCCAGGCTGGGGCGTCGGCGGTTGAGCCAGTGTGCAAAAACAGTCCGCGCCTCCAAATCGGAGCCCCAAGCCATCTTTGTGGGCGACAAGCCTGCCCGCATCCGCGGCCTGGGCCGCGACCCCGCGGCCACGGGGCGTTGTTCGCGGATGCCCCGCGCGGAATGCCCCCCCGTGCGGCCGCGCTTTTGGGGGACCGCGCCCCAGAATCCAGACGGCGAGGTGGCGAGGCCTCCCTTTCGCCGCACCCCCCCCCCTCTCTCCCAAACAGCGCTGAAACAAAAAAGACGATCCAGACGGCGAGGGCGCGGACACAGATAGATAGGTTTGCCGCTCGTGCTGTTTCTCTCACGGCGCGCGCCAGGCCTGGCGCCTCCTGCGCGACCGCTTCTTCGACGGGGGCATGTGCGGCTCGGACTGGGCCGCGGTGCGCGGCCGCTACGCGGCGCTGCTGGGCCGGCTCGCCTGCCGGGACGACCTGACGGACCTGCTGCTCGAGATGGCCGGGGAGCTCGGCGTCGCCCGCGTCCACCACCTCCCGCCGTTGGCGCCGTACCGGCCCCCAGAGGAGAAAGTCCATAGCCCCCCTCGAGTCCTGGCACGAAGTCGCACGCTGGGAGGTCCCTGCCAGTCTGCGGCCCCCCCCGGACTGTGACGGAACGGCTCGGGAGGGAGAGCTGCAGTCTTCGCTAGTGTTTGGCCTCTGGGGGCCCTCGCAGGGCCGCAGGGCCGGGAAGAACCGGCTCAGGATCAAAGTTGAGTTGGTATTGGTCGTGGGCGGAAAAGAGGGGAGTGATGGCTAACTATGGGGGGGGATATCATGGCGTGGGACATGACATTTCCCCAGATTTCATGGCGCCTCTTCTAATTTTATTACGTCCCTGGCCCCCCCGCTGGGCCGCGCACATGCCGCCGGTCATGATTTGCACCCCCCCCCCTGGACACACCCCTCTTGGCCGCTCCCGAATTGGGGAACGGGCCCACGTCTCCGGGAAGCCACGCTGCAGAAAAATCACGGCGTCGGGGTTCTTTGAAAGGTACCGGTACCGCAACCCTTTCCTCGGTTTCGCCATGTTGGGCCTCCTGGGAGGCCCTCGATCGTCCCCACGGCTGGACGTTCCTCCGAATCTTTATATAATGCGCCTCGGGAGAGGTCCGGAAAGGTCACCAGGCACATTGAATGAGAAATCGACCTGTCAGCAGGTACCACGCGAAATTATCTTCTTTCGATGACCCCAGGGGCCCACAGAAGCTGTCAAATATCGACGACGAATGTGCCCCAACATGTTTCATATCATGAGTCCTGATCTCACGCCTCATGCGTGCTGTTGTAGGTCTATCAGCACCTTGTCGTTTCACCAGGCCCGAGTCGTGCGCCATGGGCCTCCTGGGCGCTGAGGTCGAGTGGGACGCCGCGGTGGCGGGCTACAGCGTTTCGCGGCTTGTGGTCGGGGACCCGTGGGACCGCGTGGGTGAGAATCATATCGGGGGTGGCTGGAGGCGCCCCTGTCCCAAGGTGCCTCCAGCTCTTCGCTCCATGTCGGAGCCCATTGGGTCCCCCCGGGGCCTCGTGAGGGGTGCTCTGGACCGGGATCCCGCAACGGGGTGTGTGCCCGGGGAGATGTGTGAATTCGATCGGCTTTTGCACCGAACCGTCCGAAACAGATGCCCCCCAGCCGCCAGCAGCTCCCGATAGTTGCCGATAGGTGGGGCGTGCGGGGGGCATCTGTTTGCGGCAGTTCGGTGCACCAGCGGATCGAAGTCGTGCCCCCCCTCTCAGGGCCAGCCCCCCTTTGGTGGATCTCGGGTATAGCCAGGACCCCAGGTGAGGGGACCCGGTTAGTAGTAGGGCCCTGGAGCCCTGGAATTCGCCAGAGCCACTAAACCAGGTCTGCCGTATAGCTGGTGTCTTTTCGGGTGACGGCAGTTTCGGTCAGTGGAACGGGGGCCTGGGGGGCGCCCCCCAGTACGCATCTCTCAACCAGGCCCCACCGACTGGAGGCCGTGGGGGCCTGCCTCCCTGGAGATCCTGGGGGCACCCTGGGCCAGTGGCACCTCTGGCAGCCCCCGCTCATCTCCACGTCCATGGCCCTCTCAGCGGTGCATGGCTTCCTCGGCGCCGCGACAGGCCCTGCGAATCGGCGGCGACGCGCGGGGGGGGGCAGGGTGGTCCCCATCGAGCCCGCGTCGGGCACGAGGAGAGACGCCGGCTGTGAGTGGCAGAATGAGAGGAGGAGGAAGCCGAGGGGGGCGAGAGGGGGGGGGCGGAGAGCGGGAACGACGGCGTGGGCGAGGGGAGGAGGACAAGGGGAAAGAGGGGGAGGAGGGGGCGGGCGACGACGAGGGATGAAGAGGGCAGGAGGAGGAGGAGGCCCGCTCGGTCGCTGCCCCTCCGCCGTCGTGTCTTCCCTGTGGCTCTCGCTGGCTCGCCTCTTTCGGGCCCTCGCTGGGGCCTTGGTGCTGGCTGGGAGTTGGCGCTCGACTCCAACCCACGTCCACAACCCAGCGAGGGGGGAACTGAGAAGGAGAAGGCCTCCTCGGAAGGCGGCCGGGCTTCTCAGAAGGCCTTCGGCCCTCCGAGAAGTCTTCGGTGTCCTTTTGGCAGGCACGTAAAACATCTCCGAAGGCCGGGGGGCTTCCGAGCCTTCTGAGAAGGCCCGCCCCTTCTCATTTCCCCCCCAGGCTCGCCGCCAAATGGATGCCCCGCGGCTTTCCGCGGATGCTCCGCACGGAACCGATCCATGCGATTGCGCATCCCTTGGCCTCAGACGCTGCGAAAAAATAGCGACATCTCAGAAACCACGTCCGGAGCCCCAGACCGCATTTCTCTTCCGCCTTTTTTTCGCCGCATCGATGCGTGTGGGCCCCAGGGCCCAAAGCAATGTAAAATCGCCCGTTGTGACATGCGACGCCAGGGTCTCAGGGTCCCTGGGAGCGCGCCTCGGGATCCAGACTGCGAGGGCCTGCAAAGAAAAAGTCGGTTACAAGCAAAGGCCGCAAAGGAACACCGAAATACTGCTCATCAGAACTCTGCAATCAAGTCGGGCCTGTCCCCCTACAGGGTGTTTTTTTTTACGGAAAAACAAAAAATACTTCAAAAATAATCAAGAATTAGTCCAAACATAGTATGTGGACTATTTTTTGAGTGTTTTTTTGACCTTTTGGGGGTATTTTGGGGGTATGTTTTATTTTTCGTCGAAAATCCCCCAGAAGGGGGACACGCCTGACATAACTCTGCAAATAAAGAAGTGCACACGTTGCAGTCCTTGGCTATTCCGATGCGCTGCGCGCCGGTCGCCCCGCGAGGACTGCGGCAGCGGCGGTGCCCTGTGCGGCGCCGCGCCGGGCGTGGCAGAGGGCGCGCGGCTGCTGGCCGTGAACCGGCAGCGGCTCACGGAGGCGCGCGGCCTGGAGCAGCTTCTCGGGGACCGGGAGAACCACGAGGTGCGGGGGGGGGGGAAGGGGGAGGGGGAGGGGGAGGGGGAGGGGGAGGGGAGGGGGAGGGGAGGAGAAGGAGGAGAAGGAGGAGGAGGAGGAGAAGGAGGAGAGGAGGTGGCTAGGTGCGCTCGCGTCATATCTGACGTCCTACCCCTCCCTCCCATCCCTTACCATGGCGCTGATTTTCTCTATCCGCGGACGCGTTGTCGTAGCGGACCTGTGGCTCCGCGCGCGCGTGCGTAGTGGGTGGTGGTGCACGTGCGTGCGTGCGTGCGTGTGTGCGTGGTTGTCGGTGGTGGTGGTGCTGGTGCTGGTGCTGGTGGTGGTGGTGGTGGTGGTGCTGGTGCTGGTGCTGTGCTGCTGGTGCTGGTGCTGTGCTGCTGGTGCTGGTGCTGTGGTGGTGCTGCTGGTGCTGGTGGTGGTGCTGCTGGTGCTGGTGCTGGTGCTGGTGGTGGTGCTGTGGTGGTGTGTGGTGTGGTGTGGTGGTGGTGGTGGTGGTGGTGGTGGTGGTGGTGGTGGTGGTGGTGGTGGTGGTGGGTGGTGGTGGTGCGGCGCGGTGGTGGCGGGCGGATGGGCGCGCGAGAAAAGGCCCGCGCTGGGGCGAGAACGCCATCCTGAACGACGGAGGCCAAACACCGATCCGAAAATGAGGCCCACGCTGCAGCGGGAGCACGATTCGGAACGATTCGGGAGCAGAAATGAGGCCGGCGCCTCAACGAGAGCAGCATTTTGGGAAAAAATGACGCCGGCGCCTCAGCGAGAGTCGTTTCCCGGGATTTCCCGGGCATCCTGTGTGTTAAAAAACAGTACGCGGAGGGTGCGCGGCTATCACCCGGACGCCATCAGGGAGGGAAGAGGGAGAGTATTTTTCATATTGAGTAATTTGTGGAGGGGAGGAGAGAGAGGGAGGAGGAGGAGGAGGTAGGAGGAGGAAGGGAGGGGAGGAGAGGAAGGAGGAGGGAGGAGGAGAGGAGAGAGGAGGAGGCTGAGAGGAGTGCGGAGAGGAGGGAGGAGGCTGAGGAGGAGGGGAGAGGAGGGAGGAGGATGCGGATGAAGGTAGGAGGCGGAGGAGGAGGAGGGAGGAGGAGGAGGCGGAAGAGATGAGGAGGAGGAGTAGGAGGAGAGGAGAAGGAGGAAGAGAGGGAGGAGAGGAGGAGGAGGAGTAGGAGGAGGAGAGGAGAGGAGGAGGAGGAGGAGGAGGGGGGGAGGGAGGAGGGGAGGAGGAGGAAGGAGGAGGAGGAGAGAGGAGGAGGAGGAGGAAAGGGAGGAGGAGGAGGCGAGGAGGAGGAGGAGGAGGAGGAGGAGAGGGGAAGGAGGAGGAGGAGGAGAGGAGGGAGGAGAGTAGGAGGATCGGAGAAGAGGAGAAGGCGGCGCGGAGGAAGGAGGAGGCGCAGAGGAGGAGGTGGCTGAGGAGAGGGCGGATGAGAGGAGGAGGAGGAGGAGGAGTAGGAGGAGAGGAGGAGAGGGAGGAGGCGGAGGAGGAGGGCGGGGGGGTGGAAGAAGGGCGGCGGAAGAGGAGGAGGAGGATGAGGAGCAGGAGAGAGGAGGAGAGAGGAGGAGGAGGGGAGGGGAGGACGTATGAGGAGAGAGGAGGAGGAGGAGTGCGGCGGAGGAGGAGGTGGAGGAGCTGGAGCACGAGGAGGAGGAGGAGAAGGAGGGAGGGGGAGGAGGAGGAAGAGGTGGAGGAGGAGGAGGAGGAGGAGGAGGAGGAGGAGGAGTTCGCCTGGCACCAGGGCGGGCGCCCGAGGGTTGGCCTTCATGCGGCTCTGGGCTGCGCACATCGGCCACGCGCAGAGGGGGCAGGGGGAGGGGGGGAGGGCTTCCCAGAAGCACCCCTGCTTCTCAGAAGGGGCAGGCCTCCTCTGTAGATGTAGGGCCGGAGTCTCCTCAGAAGCATCCTCCTTCTAAGGAGCCCTCCCCCCTGCCCCCCTGCCCCCCTGTGCGCGCCGCCAGGGAGAAGCGCGATGCCTTGGGCTCACATTGCTACCAGCCATCACCCTGACCCCCCAGCCCAGATGCCTTCGCATCATCGCCGCATGCCTATGGCATGGCCGTGTCGATGCCTCGGATGCCTAGGCATTTGCATGGGTGTGCCTACGAATGCATCCAGGGATGCGTCCATGGACGTAGCTGGACGTAGCTGGGCGTAGCCGATCCCTAGGCATCGACCTGGTGATGCCTGGTATCGAGTTGGCGATGCCTCGGCATCGGCAGGAGGGTGCGCAGGGTCGGCATCGATGGTTCAAGGTACCAGAGGCACAGGGCCGTGCCAAGCTATGCCCATGGCCAAGTTCTCGTGGGATCGCATCGACGCTGACCTTGTTCATGGTCCATCTGGCCGCCACCGATTCGCGAGGATGGGCCACGAACCGACGATGGCTAGGACGGACGATGACCGAGACCGGCACCGACGTCTCCGCGTTCAGTCTTGGTGATGGTCCTCGCTTGCTCTTTCTGTCCGCAGGTATTCGTGACCCTGGTGGACGCGGAAAATGCCGATCGGGTCGCCGCACACTTGCGGCAAGGGGCCTCGCAGGGAGAGGCCTCCGGTGCCGGCAAGGACTCGCAGCCGGCGCCCAGCAAGAACAGCAAGAAGAAGGACGATTGGGTGTGGCCAGTCCCGCGGATCCAGACGATGCCAGCAGTTGCGACGGAGGTTTCTGTTGACAAGGTGGCACTCGCATCCTCCGGAGGCGGCTTCCCTGCCCCAGGATCTCCAGGAAGCAGGTCAGGACGAAGAACGGGCCCGTGGGGAAGCGACCGAAGTCCCCCGCGGGCGCGAACCGCGAACAGGCATGCGGCACCGGAGGAGGGAGGGGGGGGGGCCCTGGCCCCGGGTGGCCCCTGCTTCTCTGGGAAGGCCCAGGTGGGCACCAGAGGGCCTCAGGGGTCCGAAGGGGGCGCGGACAGCCGGTGGCACATTTGGGCCACGAGGACTTGCGACCTCCTTTGCGATCCGACGCTTGCGAACAAGAGCGCAAGATCTTTCAAGAACTCGAAGGGATCCCTGGACTTCATCTTTCTGTTGCATTTTTCGGTCAGGGCAGCGGGGCCCGAAACAGGACACGATCGCCAGCTGTGGGAACATTACGACGTTGGGACTGCTGGGCCAGGATTCTCCCTGGTGTTTTTTCCGCAACGTGACTCCCCAGAGGTCTGGACCCTTTGCCCAGGACCGGCTTTTCCTCAGGAGGTCGAGCATGGAGCAGGAGATCGACTGCAGAGTTGAGTTGCCCTAATGTTGAATGTTGGTCGAATCTGCAATGCAGATGTGGCATGTTCGTAGATCTATGAGAAGTCTATGTGTTTTCTTCCGTAGTTTCGACACACACAACGATTTTGGTGTAAATGAATTCTGCAGTCGATCTCCGACTCGAGGAGTTCTCTCTCTCTCTCTTTCTTTCTCTCTTCTCTGGGCGGTGCCAGGGCCCAGTGAGGGCCCTCGGAGGCCGAGTACGAGTGTCGAGGCGGGGAGCTGTACACGACCGCCGCGGGGAGGATCGATCTCCGCGGTCCTCCACAGGGGGTGGCTGTAGACATCTGTCGGCCACGCGCAGAGGTTGAGTAGGCTTCAGTCGGGCACGTCACTCTACAGGAGGAAAATTCAAAAATCGTCAATTAGTAGTATGGGGACGATCTTTCGACTATTTGTTGGCTGTTGTTGAATATGTTTGACTCTGTTTTTATTTTTCGCCCCAAATCCGCCTGTAGGAGGACATGCCTGACCTAAGAGTAGGCCGAAGGTCAGAGAGCGCCTTCCTCTGCAGGACCACCAAGCAAGGGACGTCAAGATGGTCAAACGCCTCGCCGGCTAAGCCGACTAAGCTATGCAAAATCCAACTGCTCGCTTTGGTCCAAAGTTTTGATTTGACGCCAGGTCTGGTGCATCGATCTCAGCTTGACCGAACAGGTTGATTGCGCCCCTTGACGTCCGTTTGGGGTGTTCTGCAGACCTGACCCCCAAGCCCTACTCAACGCAGAGTGTGGTATGGGGGAGGGGGGGAAGGCTTCTTAGAAGCACCCTGCTTCTTGGAAGGCGCGGGCCTTCTTTCTATATGTAAGGCCAGCGCCTTCAGAGAAGTGGCCTCCTTCAGAGAAGCCTTCCCCCCTCCGATTACCCCCCTGTGCGCGCCGCCGAATGTTCGGGCCCTCAGGGGGCAAGACGTGTCCATATCCACCGCCCGCTGGGGCACCAGGACGTCGGCTCCCAGGCGGCGGATATGGGTAAGTCCCCGCCTCGCACGAGTGAGAGTGTGTCCACTGCTCACTGTGCGTGGCCCGAGAGGGTGTCGGGGCTGCGGCAGCCCCCGCACCAAGGAGAAGAAGAAGGCCAAGAAGCAGGCCTCCGGAGTGCAGAGCCTCGTGCGCACGGTGCGGGTCCGCTGCAGCGGCTACGAGGCCGAGCGACGGGCGCGCTACCGGGACTGGGTGGAGAGCAACAGGATCGGGCTGTCGGCAGCGGGGGAGACAGTTCCCCGACATCTTCTCGCTGTGAAAGCAATGACGGCGGGTGTTGTTGTGGGTGTGTGTGTGTGTGTGGATTCGGGGCCTCTGGGAGCCCTCGCCAGGCCCCGTGCCCGTCACAAAACAAATCAGGACGAAAGGCCGATCCTGGGGAAGGGGTCCAGAGCTCTGGGGAGCCACGTTGCGAACGAATCACGACGGGGGATGTCTGGGATGCACGGGGGGGGGATCGAGGGCTGCAGGAGATCCAGCCCTGAAGGGGCATCAAGCGGCAATCTAAACTGCCAACGCGGGCCCAACAAGGTGCCGGGAAGGTGCACGGGTTCTTCACCCCAGGGATCGACGTAAACGGCGTTTTTTGGCGATCTCGTGGGCCGCAACCGTGTTGATGTTGTTTTGCAGCACGTGCGGATTGAATGCAAAACGAGGGAAAACGAAATCAAAGTGAAAACGCACAACACTGTTTAGGGCGATCCCTGCTTCACCCTATGTTTTATTCCTCCCCTCCATTAAAGAACGCCCGAAAAGGAGGGCCGTTTCTGCCGCCTCGGGCGGCCGCGTGGGCTACCTGCACCTCCCGGACCTCTGGCACGAGGAAAAGAAGTCTCTCTTGTTCTTTTCTTGTCGTCTTGCACGGCATTGCGCGTTCGCCTTGCACTCAGCGCACGTCTTCGGTCGAAGTTGGAAAAGCGCCATAAACATAAGCTTTTGGCGCTCCGCGCGGATTTCTTGAATCCGCGCTGGGCCCCTCCTGGCGGCGCCTCCGGCGCCGCCCCTGGCGCGCTCCGCAGATCCAGCGCAGATCCCGCGCAGATCCAGCAGGTCCAGCGCAGATCCAAGAAATCCGAGCGGAGCGCCTATGTTCATGCCATTTGTTCTTCTTCGATTCGTCGCTGACGCGTGGAAGACTCTGCAACTATTACTTTCGAAGCCGCTCCGGAGTCCGTGGCGCGGCGGCAGCTCAGCCTAGGGCCGTGTCGCTTGAAGCGGGGCCTAAGAGACGTGCTGCATGCAGCCAGCTGGTTTCGGCCCCGTTGCCGAGCGTCTTCCTCGCTAACAGTGGCGCTTCCGGCGCCGGGAGGCGCTGGGCAAAACCACCACGTAAGCTGAGCCGCTGACCTCCTCTTTGTTGCCCTCCCCTTGCGTCCGACCCAGCCCGGTCCCGTGGTGCGCCGGCGTTTCAGCGGCCTTTTTCCCAGGGCCAGCTGCTCGTCCCGATGTGGTTTTGACGGCCCCGGGGCCCGGCGAAGTCTCCTTGAAGAAACTCGAAGATGTCTGGGCTAAGAGCTTGTGTTCCCCCGCGGCGGCAGCGCGGTGTGGGTTGGCGGTGGCCCCCATTCGGGAGGGGGGCCCAAGCAGCTGGCGCTCGTGGGCCGCAATCCCCCCTCTCTCTCTCCCTCTTTTTGTTGTTGTTCTCCCTCTCTCTCTCTCTCTCTCTCTCGAGAGAGAGAGAGAGAGAGAGAGAGAGAAAAAAAAAAGAGAGAGAGAGAGAGAGAGAGGGAAAGGGCCCCAGCGGTTGACCGCTCATCTTCGAGAGGCCCCCCTGCTTCGGCTACCCTGATACCTGTCCGTCATGAAAAAAAAACACGGCGGAGGGCTTTCGCTAGTTTGTGGCCTCTGGGGCCCTTGCTGGGCCCCAGGACCGTCAGATAACGACTCGGCTTGAAACGCCAGTCCCTGGGAAGGAATACAGACCTCCTGGGGCACGTTGAGAAACCGATGACGACACGATGCCTGGGCACGCGTAAGATTGACCCTTCGCCGGACCTCTAGCTTGGCGCGGACGGGCATCGAGCGCCCCAGGAGTGGCCTCGCCTTCGGCGAGGGATCGAGAGGGCGGAGGGCCGCTCGCTGGAAAGCGGCGGGAGCAGAACGGGGGGCGCAGCCTCGCCGGCAGAAGGCGGGCAGGAAGCGGCGGAAGCCCACCCGGAGCCCCCAGGAGATGCGCACTCTGTGGAGCGCCAGGCTTTCGGAGGTGGATGGACCTCCTGCCCTGACACGCCGATTAAGGAATTGGCCGTTTTCGGTTCGCGAGAGGGCGTCGCGGCCGTCATTCTTGCTGGTCCAGGTCCGTCGGTTTCGGTCCTGGGCCGTTTTCACACAGGGGAGGTTTACTACAGGGAGGTGTGTCCACCGCCTGCGCGCCTGGATTGCCCCCCGCTCCCCCATCCCCTCGCGGCCCCGCAGAGCCGCGGGCCGACGGTCACTCTCGCCTGGGATCGCTCTTGCCTGTGGCCGCTTGCCGCCCGCCGTCGGGGGCATGGGTTTGGGGGGCGGGCCTTCAGAGGAGGCCAGGTGTCCAGGAAACGCAAGCATGGGTCAAGTCGGGCCTGTCCCCCTACAGAAGGGATGTTCAAACACAGTCTGGGGACGATGTGTGAGTATGTTTGAGCAGTTTTGGTGTATTGGTTTTGATTATTTTTGTCTTTCGTCCAAGATCTGCCTGTAGGGGGACACGCCCGACCTCTAGCATGGGTGACGGCACGTGAAACCAAGCGACGGACCTGGCCCTTCACACAGAATCTGCGCGCTTCGTCGCCAGATCCGGCGGCATTGGCTTAACGTCTCGGATTCGGCCACGGATCCGTAATCCATCTTAGCGTGCGCCCGAAGTGGGAGTCTTGGAAGCGTTCCTTCTCAGAAGGCTGATGAGCCCTTTTGTCGGAGAAGCAGGATCGGCATACAAATTCAGTTTTGAGAAATCCGCAGGGATTCGTCGAAGTTCTTGACTTTCTTCCCTGGCGGCGCCTCCTGCGCCACTCCTGGCGCGCTCCGCGCGCCAGAAATGAGGTCCAGCGCCGATCCAGGAAATCCGCGCGGACCTCCGAAAGTCCATGCATACGCATTTGTCTCTCCGTCTTCTGAGGATCCCGCTGCCTTCTTAGACTGCTGCCCCCCATGGCCTGAGATCCGACGCCACGTCAAAATTGCAGCATCGCTGGGAAACTCGACCAGAGCCCTGAAACTTATCTTTCTGCGGCATTTCTCGAGCCGGATCGATCTGGGAGGGCCCCTGGGATTGAAATTGGGCGACAACGCCCAGTGTGAAAAGTTATGACGCTGGACCGCAGGGCCCTGCGTGCTTCCGATTATCAGGGTCTGCGCGCCCTGAGTGGGGACGGGAAGTATATGGGTACGATGCCCGACAGCAGTGCCTGCTCGTGTTGAACGGGACTTGCGGTCCTTCGGGCCCAATCGGACCGCAAGCCTTGCCATGCTGACAGCAATGACTTTGCCAATTTGGACAACATGCCCTGCCATCTGGGTAAGGATTTCTATCAACACGAATTTGTTTATTGTCAGAAGGGCTCCTCGGGGAAAAACATCGACAGAAACATTAACTTGCGGAGGTCCGCGGTGATCTCTTGGATGGGCCTCTGGACCCCCCCGCCCCCCCGCCCCTGGCGCGCGGAGTGCGCCAGGGGCGGCGCCTGGGGTGCCGCCAGGGGGCTCCAGCGCCGACCCTAGAAATCCGCGCGGAACTCCGAAATGTTAGGGGCATGTTCATGTCATCACATTTGTTTCCTTATGATCGCACTTCCCTGCCCATGTGGCAGGATCTGGTGTCAAGGCTGACGACTAACTGCTGTCAACATGGCAAAATATGTGGCCCGATGGGCACCGAAGGACAGCAAGTCTTGACCCACATGAACAGGCTCTGCTGTTGGGCACCGTGCCCATACTTTCCGTCCCCATTCAGGGCGCGCAGGCAGAGCGCCCGGGTCTGCCGTCGAGGATTGCGGCCCCGCGGGCCTGGCGGAGTTCCACCGGCACTTCGTGGTCGAGTGCCTCTGCGAGGCCGTGGTGGTGGACCTCCGCGGCAACCCGGGCGGCGACGCCCTGGAGGAGCGAGGAAGAATAAGCGGCATGCGCAGAAACTGTCGGAGTCCCGCGCGGCTTTCTCAAATCGGCGCTCTGGGTCCCCCTGGCGCCAGGGTCCGCGCGTCAGGGGAGGGATTGGAGCTCTCGAGGCCCTCCTACCGGTCTCGGTGGGAGGGGGGAACAGAAACCAAGATCGGGTTGGTGGGGGTGAACTAAATGGAAGGTGAACATACACGCTCTGAAGGGGCCCTTTAGGACCCCTTTTGGGTACCAACTGGCTCAAAAAGGGGCCCTGAAGGGCTCCTTCAGGGCCCCTTTCTTTACCCCCATGTGGGCCACCCGCCACTACCACCCGCCCGACAAGAGGTAAGGGAGACAAAGAAGGAGGACCAACCGAGCGGTGAGGGCAGGGTTCTCTTTGATGCTGCTGCGTGGCCTTCTGTCAGGAGGGGGAAACACACACAGGCGAAATGAATCGTCGACTCCCAGGGAACTATGGGAAAATACGGGAAGTGGGGGGGAAGACAGAAACCCAGAAAAAATATAGGAACATATGGGGAAGCTTTTTATTTGTGTGTATTTCTTTGTGTGTTCTGGGGCCCCTTCATGCTGGAGGAGCTCATGGACAGCCTGCTGCGGGTGCCGCTGGGCGTCATCGTCCCGCGCCGCGGGCGAGGGCAGGTGGCCACCTACCCCTCGTGCTGCATGCGCAACAAGCAGACGACGGCCCCCTGGGGGAGAGCGGCGTGCCCTGTACCGATGCCACCCCCTTGCTTTCGGGTATGGCCAGGACCCCGGGTAAGGGGACCCGGTTAGTGGTAGGGCCCCGGAGCCTTTGAACCGGCCAGAATCACGAAATCAGGTTTGCCATAGCTGGTGTTTTTTCGGGCGACGGCAGTTCCGGTTAGCGGAGATGGGACGGGGGGGCGCCCCCGGTACAGATCACTCGACCAGGTTCCACTAAACCCAGTTCTGCCAACGCCCGATCCTTTCCAGGCTCGAGCAAGCCTAATTAAGCAGCGAGTTCACTCTAAGGGTCGGCGAAGTCCTCGGCGAGCTTTTCTCGTCCCGCGTCGCGTGCTCTCACTGGGCACCGCAGGGCGAAGGCATGGATCATCGATCGATGATCGTTGTCGGCCCCCTGGGGGAACACGGCGAGTTTGCGTTGTTTTGAGCCCCGAGGCCCGTCAGGGCCGACCCAGCTCGAAGGCCTCGGCCCGCCGACGCTGCTCTGCAACACCGGCCAGATGGCGCGTGTGGCGGGCTCGCTGGCGAGAAGCATCCGCGCTTGCGGCTGGCTCGCTGTACACATGGCGCCTCCGAGCCTCGAAGGGTGCCGACGGCCCCCATCCGCAGCCGCGGGAGGCCACAGCGCGTCTGTGCCCCCCTCTGCCAGGTCCTGCTCGTCGACGGCGCCTCGGGGGGCGAGGCGGAGATCCTCGCCGCGGCCTTCAAGTCCCTCGGACGTGGCTCGCTGGTGGGCACCAGGACTGGGGACCAATTCGATCCCGTTCGACATCGATTCTGTCCGGCCCGATCCGATTCGATTCCGCCTTCCTCGACGATCCCAGGCGGCCCGATGCTTGCATGGCGCTGTTGCGGGTCCTGGCTCGGTCCATCCTGTTCGATCCTGATTCCGTGCCGATGCGGCCCGCTCCGACGCACGTTCCGACTCGTTCGGACGCTCCGATTTGATGCTGACTGATCATTGCACGGGACCCCTTCCCCAGGACCAGCTTTTCATTCCGAGTCGTTTTTTAATGGTCCTAGTCCTGGGGCCTGGCGAGGGCTTGCGGAGGCAGAAACTTGTCAAGCATTGTATGTTGTGCTTTGTTTTGTTCCCTACACGAGGGGGTCCAGGTTTGATGCTCAACACGTCCAGCATGCAGGATCGATTCAGACGTTCTCCTACCTGCCCGATCCTCGTGGGCTTCGTTACTGGCCCGCCCTTTTAGGGCCCACGCCAAGGTCGACAGGCTTGAATTCATCGACCGCGAGCTGCGCAGAGCCGGGCAGGGTGCGTGCCTCGAAAGCCGGATTTTGCAGGACCCTGCAGAGCCAGGGGTGCACTGACCCGGGTTAGGGTGCAGGCCCCTGCAGGATCTGGCAGGATCTTGCAGGATCCTGCCGATTGACCCGGGTTTGGATTGATCTGGGCCAGTGCGTCCCCGACAATGGGCGAGCCCAACAACGACGCATATGAGGATCGGACAGGTGAGAGAGGCGTACAGTCGGCCCCGATGAGTAGGTCGACCCTGCCAGCTCAAGGGTACCCTTGTGTCCTGTGCCTCGCGACACGTGCCTTCTTACACTCCTATGGCGATGTGGCCTTCGGAAGGGTCTCGTGTCCTCTCGCGTGTCCGGTCCAATGAAGTCCGACTGCATGAACCGATCCTGCAGGTCAGCGCGACAGATCGGGCGCAGGATCGCGGGAGACGTTCGGGCTCCAGAGGTCCCAGAGTTCCTGACACGTTCCTGGGGACCAGTTCTTCGCCCCGGGATCCGCTCCGATGGCCCCAGGTTCGACGACGGGCCCCGCGGGGCCGAGATCGAGGAAGAACGCCTGAATCGAAAAACGCCCTTGGGCTTGACGCTGACTGATCCTGACAGGACCATGGGCGGCGTCGCCGCCTCCGGGGACGTCCAGGTCCCCCTCCTTGACGGGAGCTCCGAGGGGCTCGACGTGTACACCGCGTCGTTTGGTCGGTGAAGGTATTCGGTGTGTGGACGCCCTGGCGGCTCTGGCGCCCCACTGACTGGGAAGCTGGGGCGTCTACGATCAGGAACTTCAGCTTAGCGTGTCGCGCCGCCGTTTCTGGCCCACCACGCTTCGGCGCGACGCGCTGACCACGTCCTGGCCCCCGAGCGTCAACGTCCCGAGAATTTCGAACCCTCCTGCCCCGCGGGGCGGAGCGTCGCGCTGTCCGCTTGCAGGGCATGGCGTGTCGCCGGGGCCGCCGCCGCGACACGCCAAGCAAATGTTCCCGGCCGAACTCCTTGGCCGAACCAGCGACGTGGTGTCTGCGTCGAGCCCTTGCCAGGAGCTCTTTGAGCCTGCCGACGGAGCGGCTGTGGTCGCTGTCCGAGCGGGGGCGCGAGGTGGAGAACTGGGGCGTCCTGCCTGACGTCGAGGCCGAGGTCGGCCGCGAGGGCGGGCCTGTGGTTCGATGTTCGTTTCGGGGTCCCTTGCTGGTGCCCACCTGACCTCGGGGTCGTCCGAGAGGGGGGTGGTGACCAGAGTGGGTGGATGTCATGGCGGGGGCCATGATGCCGCCCTGGATTTCGTGACCCCGTTTTCCCCCCTTAGTGCGTCCCCGAGTCCCCCCTCGTCCGCGCACTTGCCTCGGGCCATGATCTGCGAACCCCCTCTTGGACGACCCCCTCATTGGACGCCCTCGATTCCTGTGGCCCACCTAACCCAGACATGCTCGCGCCGCAAAGAAAAAACACGACGTATGGTTTTTCATTCTTTTTTCGGCCCCTGGAAACCCTCACTGGGCCTCGGGACCGTCATAAACTAACTCAGGGCGTAAAGCTGTCCCCAGGAAGTGAGTCCAGACCTCTTGGGAGCCGCCTTGTGAAACATCTCTTCCTTAGATTTTGTGGGAGCCTTCTAGGGCCAACCCAGAACCTAGAGGATATGTTCGACTCTACTTCGAGTCTTGCTCGAGTCTGCTGTAATTGCGGCTGGACTTCAGCTTGACTATAGCTCGACCCGAGTCGAAGGATGTTCGACGCAGCATCGACGCATGAGTGGAGCGAGTTGCTCCAGGGAGTTCCCTTGGCGGCACACCCCTCACACGTTTCGTGGTCCCATGGGGAGCTCCACCGGAGGTCCCATTGCTACCGCCCGCATGCGTCCCCCCACCCAGTACAGCGTTTCGTGGCCTCATGGGAAGCTCCACCGAAGGTCCCAGCGCTACCGCACGCACGCGTCTCCCCTCCAGTACAGCGTTTGGTGGCCCCATAAGGAGCTTCACAGAAGGTCCCAGCGCTACCGCCTGCATGTGTCCCCCCCACCCAGAACAGCGTTTCGTGGCCCCATGGGGAGCTCCACCGAAGGTCCCAGTGGCGCAGTTCGCATGCGTCACCCCCCCCAAACAGTACAGCGTTTCGTAGCCCCATGAGGATCTCCACCGAAGGTCCCAGTGGCGCAGTTCGCATGCGTCTCCCCCACCCAGTGCTGAGGTCCCAGTGGCGCAGATCGCATGCGTCTCCCCCCCACCAAGTACACCGTCTCGTGGCCCCGTGGGGAGCTCCACCGTTGGTCCCAGTGGCGCAGTTCGCATGCGTCTCCCCAACCTTGTACATCGTTTCGCTCCACCGAAGGTCCCAGTGGCGCAGTTTGCATGCGCCCCCCCTCACCCAGTACAGCGCCTTGTGGCCCCATGGGGAGCTCCACCGAAGGCTCCGGTGACAATGTTCGCATGCGTTTCCCCCATCCAGTACAGCATTTCATGGCCCCATAAGGAGCTTCATCGAAGGCCCCAGTGACGGTGTTCGCATGCTTTCCCTCCCGCCCAGTACAGCGCTTCGTGGCCCCATTGGGAGCTCCACCGGAGGCCCCTGTGGCTGTAATCGCATTCGTTTGCCCCACCCGGTACAGCGCTTCGTGGCCCCATAGGGAGCTCCTCCGAAGGCCCCATTGGCGGCCCCGCCCCATTGCGGCGCAATCCTCACACTTTTCGCGGCACCGTATTGCGTTGCGTCTAAAGCACCAGTGGCACCGCCCACATGGCGGCCCCGCCGCACATCGGCACACCCTTCGCATGCTTCATGGCCCCATGAGGAGCTTGCCCGAAGGCGATACCCGCAACGACGGTACTCACAACTGCATATGGTTGGGTCCCTCGCCAGCATAATTCTACATGTTTTGTGCGGCGCCGCCGGACTTAAGAAGGTAAGGTGCTCGGAGGTTTTCATGCTGTTTGGCCTTGCCTTCGAGGCTGCGGATGGTTCCAAGCAGCTGCGCCTCGTCTCAGACGCCCCGGGGATGCCGGGATCGCCCCGAGCGACCGCGTGAGGCCAGAGATCCCCCCCGAAGACCACCGGAGCAGGGCAACCTGCGGCCCGCCCCTGGCGTCGTGCGCCTGTTGTTTGGGCCTGCCTGCTGGAGGCTCGTCGTCGCCTCGGCCGGATCCGCCCCGAAGAGCGGGCCAGGGCGCAGACCACCGGCGTCGTGATTCTGTCGCGTGCGAACCCCCGGAGGTCTCGACCCCAGAGGGGAGCGACAAGTGGCATAAGCATAAAAACTCGGAGGTCCGCGCGGATTTCTCGGATCGGCGCTGGACCCCCCTAGAGGCGCCTCCAGCGCCGCCCTTGGCGCGCTCCGGCGCCGATCCGAGAAATCCGCGCGGACCTCCGAGTTTTTCTGTTTATGACCTTGTCTGTTCCCTTAACATTCCCCGGGACCGGCGTTTCATCCGGAGTCGTTTTCTGACGCGTCTGGGGTCTGGCCAGGGCACCCAGGGGCCAATCACTGCCAAAGAGCTTCCGTCGTGATTTCCACACAGCCCGATGGGGTCCGGGGAGATGCGGTGGGTGCGCGCAGCGCTGGCGTGGCAGCGAGTCCAGCGCGGGTGTCCGAAATCGAGCGGCCTTAGTTCAGTCGCTATTGGATAGCCGCGATGGCAGTTCCGCCGTGGCAGAACCCAACCCGCCATAGACAGGATGTCGGAGCATTTGAGCCTCACCTGTCAGGGGGGGAGGCCCGAATTGCGACGTCGCGAGAAAAAAGTGATGTCGTTGAAGAATGGCCCTCAGCGGTTCCTGGGACCGTCAGCCAAAGACTCCGGATGAAAAGCCAGTCTTCGGAAATGGGACAAAGCCTCGGGGGAGGCACGCTGTGAGCAAGTCGTGCCAGAGGATGTCTTGGTACATATGGTGCGGCCGGCCTGGATGAGAGCCCGGTACGCACGAGCGGAGGGGAAGGACGTGCAGGGGCCCTCGCGTGGCCGTGGACGCTCTTGCCCTCCGCACGTGTGCATCCAGCCAGCACGTGTCCCCGCGTGGTCCACGTGCGCGTGTTTCTCGCCGCGTGCCTTCTCCCGTGGCCTCTGTGGCATTCTGGTGTGTTCCGCCGGGGCCCGCCGTCTGAGGGAGCACGATGCCCAGGCCCCCTCGAGTCATGACAAAGTCACGACGGGCCTTGCTGTTGTTGCTGCTGTATTCGGCCTCTGGAGGGCCCTATCGGGCTTCGGGACTGTCAAAAAACGAGTCGGGATGAAAAACCGTTCACGGGGAAGGGGTCGATACCTTTGGGGTCGACGCCGTAAAGCAAATTATGACGTCGGGGGTCTGGGTGCCCAGACATCCTCAGATGTTGCATTTTTGTTCGCAACGCGCATGGTTCCCAAGGGTCTGGGCCCATTGCCCGGGACCGGCTTTTCATCCTTAGTATTTCTGGGTTTTCCCAACCATCTTGTGGTGTTGGGTCCTCGTTTTGAAGAGACAATCCACGCGTTCTCCTCTTCTCCTCTCCTCCCCCTTCCCCCATCCCTGCCAGAAGCCGACTGGGGGTTATCGTCCGATCGCTCTCTTGGTTTGGTTGTATCGTGTTTGGGCCAAGGCCAGAATTATTCACGTGCGAGCTTGGGTCAAACAAATAGGCCAACCTTTTCTCGCACTCGGCATTGGAAGGTCGGCGACAGACGTCGCCTCGAGGGTCCTACTTCATGGCGAGGCCCATCTGCCTCAGAAAAAAGGTTGCGAGTGACGTTGACACTTGCCTGCACGCCATTGGTGACATTGAGCAATGTTTGATCGAGTAACGTAGGCCGTCATTGCGCACGCTGTACTCAAACACAGGTTTCATTGAGCATTGGTGTGTCTAGCTACACGCATGTGCGCGTACGAACGACGTTTTGCATGGCCTGGCGCCTGATCCGAACCTGTGTTTGCCTCTCGGGGAGTCCTTTCTGGGTGTAGCATGGCCATGTTATTTTTACACTTGGTTTTGTTATTCCCAGTGGATTCCGTGTATGGTAGTTCGGTGCACACCAACCGCGTGCTGCACGTGTACGCGAAAGACCTGCCCATTCAAGTGAAGACCACATAAGAGCAGATCTTCGAGCACGCGTGCTATGTGTTGAAGGGGGTAGTCGCCCTGCTCGGATCCGTTGGCTTGGCCCTCGCCAAACACAAGATGACTGTGACATGTGCGTATCTTTCGGTGGCCAAACGGGTCTGTCGTGCTCTTGGGCGCACGGATATCGATACCTATCAGCCTGGGGAACCTTTGGGGTAGAGGTTACCCCTGGGCGTGCTTTACGCTTCCGGAAGTTAGAGGCCAGGCTGCGAACAATGAGCAGTCGTTTTCTTCGGCCCCGATGTCTACGCAAGGCAGGGGCCCTCATGGGTAAATGTGTCAAAGCTGCCTCCCCTGCCGCGCTCAATGACGGAGTAAGTGCGCGGTGCTCTTCCAAACGTTGCCAGCTCCATGCGCAAAGCTATGCGCAGTGCATGGTACGAGCCAGGGAGGGGCAGGATCGGCTTGGACTTCGTTTTTCTTGCACGGAGGGGGACACAGGACCCCCAGATTGCGGCATGGGCTGACCCAATATTTCAATGGTATATTTGATGTTGAGATCCGACTCAGCGGCCGCTATTGCAAGCTGCTTGGGAACGACAGGCGCCAGTCATCTACTCGACTAAACAGCCATGGGCACATGCAGCAGGGCCCGCAAGTGCCACTCTCCTTGCCTTTCGGTTATTACGCTGGGTTTCGTCATCGGCTTTTGCCGTTCGGACCGATCGCGGGGAAACCTTAGACTTACGACATGCCTCGCCTCTCGCCGTTCGTGGTATGGCTCGAGATGGTGACATGCGTCGTCTTTGCCAAGGTTGGGCTGCTCGACGTGATAGGGATAATTCGTGCCACGTTGACTCCAGGACCCCCATTGAGTACTGGCTGGAGCCCATCTTGTCTCTACTGGGGAAGGCCAGACAAGAAAGCCCCGACAGGCCCTACACGTTATCCGATCAAGCGGTTGGCACATTCAGGGCTATGGTCACAGGTGCATTGTGGACTCCTAGCAAACGGGCCGCACGTGGTTACATAGATGTCGTTCAGTGCCCGAGATGCCCTGAACCATCCGCTGACCTGTGTCATATTCCCTGGACATGTGCCTGTAGCGAAGGCGGTCGGAATGAATTGTTCAATGACCAGGACGAGGCCCTGCTTCCCTTACCAACCGCTACATCCTCGTTCTGGACGCGGGGATTGTTATCCAGGTCCGCGTCTCTTGCTTTACCCCCTCGGGGCGACTCGGACATATGGCACTCTATGTATGGAGATTGTCAGGCTGTCACGGGACACGTCTTCCCGGATGGAGCTTGTCACAAGTATCACTATTGGCCAGAGGCCTCTCGAGCGGGATGGAGCTCTGCTCAGTTGGGGGTCATGGGCCTCTGCCTGGCCCACTGCAGACCTCCCCAGGGCCGAGCTCTGCGCGCCGGGTGACGGGAGGAGGAGGGGGGAGGGTGACGGGAGGAGGAGGAAAAGGAGAAGGAGGAGGAGGAGGACGAGGAGGGGAGGGGGAGGAGGAGGAGGAGGAGGAGGAGGAGGAGGGAGGAGGGGGAGGAGGAGAGGAGGAGGAGATGGAGGAGGAGGAGGAGGAGGAGGGTGAGGAGGAGGGGGAGGAGAGGAGGAGGAGGAGGAGGAGGAGGAGGGAGGAGGAGGGGAGGAGGAGGACAAGGAGGGGGAGGAGGGAGGAGGGGGCCGAGCTCTGCGCGGCGACTCGGATCCCCAGGGTGGCCAGGCTGCCGCCCGCCACCTGCGCCGATGATCTTGAGCCGACGGCTGGCCTCGCGCGCGGGCCCCTCGTGGGGGGGTGCTCACCAGGGCTCCCAAATTCTCCTCCTCCTCCTCCTCCTCCTCCTCCTCCTCCTCCTCCTCCTCCTCCTCCTCCTCCTCCTCCTCCCCCTCCCCCTCCTCCTCCTCCTCCTCCTCCTCCTCCTCCTCCTCCTCCTCCTCCTTCAACTCCCCCCCTCCTCCTCCTATCCCTCCTCCTCCTCTTCCTCCTCCTCCTTCTCCTCCTCCTTCTCCTCCTCTCGTTGGCGTTGGGTAGAAGACTTGGGAGGTCCCGGCTCGGAGCTTCAGATTTTCACGCTCCAGGACATCAGAAGGGGTTGCCTTTTGAGGCCCGATGGGAGAACCATTGGGCTGACACGGCGGCGTGCAAGGGCCGAGATATGCGCGCTTTGTCGGTTTCGGACGCCCGTTCCATGCAGCGGATATAAGGCCGCTCCCAAGTCTTTAGCCTGGGCGGCCAGAGCTCCCACGAGATACATGGGCGAAACGGGTGTGCCAGGCCAGGATCGGTTTGAGCAGAGACGGAAGGGTCGATTTCCAGCCATTGCTCGAGCCATGGCTCCTCCGCCTCCTGCACGTTTTCTTTGAGATTGGCGCTGCCTGGCGCTGTTCAACCTGCGCTACGGCGGCGCGGTCTTCGACGAAGCGCAACATATTCGCGAAGCGCCGCTGCCATTCCAAGATAGCTCTTTACGCGAAGCTCCTTGGTCGGGCCGCTCGTTCGACGTTGCCACCTGCCCCTTCCTCGGAGACCCAGGTTGGCACGCCCGCGCGCGGGGATGGAGAAGCTGGCCCTGTCGAAGGCATGGCCGCCGACCTCGACGTCAGCAACGAAGGCGGTTGGGGGTCTCCCTACTGTCGGGGAGGGGAGCTCAAGTGGCGTTGTCAGAGCACGCGCGGCCTCACCAAGTGGCCGAAGAGTCAGGACGAGACTCCAATTTCGCGCCGTCATCTCGTCTGACGCCTCTCCTGTCATCCCTCCTGGCTCGTCCGCCTCCTCCTTTCAGTCTAGTGCTGTGCAACAACAGGGTAGAGAGGGCGCTGGCCCCAGGGGACTGAGGGCCGCCGGTTCAGATTTTGCTGCCGTGATCGCCGAAGAGGCGAGTTATCACGACGAGTGGGGTGGCGGTTGATTTTCTTCCACGCCGGCGCAGTCGCGCGGGGGGGGAGTGCCAGCACTGGTGTTGATCGAGCTCGCGCGCCGCGAGGCTTGCCCCGGCTGCTGCCCGCGTGAGGCCTCGCTCTCCTGACCCCTCTCCTCCTCGGGTGGCGAGAGCGCGGGTGGGGGGCCCGACCCCGGCTTTTTCGCGGCCCCTGGCAAGGTCATCACTTGTCTGTGTTGCGGAGGCACTTTGACGGGCAAGGCCTCGCCTTTGCTCAACCCTGGGCAGTCGGGCGGGGGTCGCACTGCGCGAAGGACCTGGGCCAGTGGCCCAGGTCCTCCCTCGGGTGGCGGTTAGCGCGCCGCGCGACGGATCCCTCTTTCAGCCTGCGTACTCCTCCCATCCCTGCCTCTGCCCTCCGCATGTCTTCGTCGTCGTCTCCCCAACCCAGCACGGATCTTCGTGGCCCCATGGGGAGCTCCACCCAGTGGCGCTGTCCTCATGCGTTTCCCCCACCCAGCACTGCGCTTCGTGACCCTGTAGGGAGCTCCACCGAAGGCACCAGCGGCGGTGTCCACATGCGTCTCCCCCACCCAACACAGCGCTTCGTGGCCCACTGGGGAGCTTTATCTAAGGCCATGGCGGCGGTGTCCACATTGTATCCCCTCACCTGGCACAGCGCTTCGAGGTCCCATAGGGAGCTTTACTGGGGGCCCCAATGGCGGTGTTCGCATGCGTCACCCCCACCCACCACAGCGCTTCGCGGCCCCATAGGGAGCACCATCGAATGCTCGAGTTGCGGTGTCAACATGCGTCTCCCCCACCCAACACAGCGCTCCGTGGCCCCATAGGGAGTTCCACTTGAGGCCCAAGTGGCACTGTCCACATGCGTCTCCCCCACCCAGCACCGCTTTTCGTGGCCCCAGTGGCGATTTCCACACGCGTCTCCCCCACACAGCACTGCGCTTGGTGGCCCCATAGGGAGCTCCACCTGAGTCCCCGGTTGCGGTGTCCACATGCGCTTCCCACACCCAACATAGCGCTTCGTTGCCCCATAAGGAGCTTCACTGAAGGCCCCAGTGGCGGTGTCCACACGCGTCTCCCCACCGAGCACGGCGTTCCGTGGCTCCATAAGAGCTCCACCTTAGGCCCCAGTGGCGGTGTCCACATGCGCTTTCCCACCCTGCACAGCGCTTCGTGGCCCCATAGGGAGCTCCGCCTCGGGCCTCAGTTGCGGTGACCTCATGCGTCATGTCCACCTCTAGGTCAGCGCTTCGCGGTCCCATGGGGAGCTCCACTGAAGGCCTCAATGGCGCCGTCCACATGCGTCTCCACGACAAAGTACAGCACTTTGTGCCTCAATGGGGAGCTCTACCGAAAGCCCCTAGTGGCAAAGTCCACATGCCTTTCGCCCACCCAGTACAGCGGTTCGTGGACCCACAGGTGGCTGCACCGAAGGCCCCATTGGAACCGTCCGCATGCGTATCCCTCCACCGAAGGCCCCAGTGGCGGTGCTCGCACGCGTCACCCCCACCCAGTACAACGCTGCGTGGCCCATAGGGAGGTCCACCGAGGACGGTACCCACAAGTGCAGTACCCACAACTGCATAGGATTGTGTCCTTCGCCAAGCTAATTTCCCAACACACCTGTCGATGAGTCCTCGCTTTGAAAAACACCGCCCCGCGTCTTCTCCTCCTCCTCCTCCTCCTCTACTCTCCTCCCCTGTGCTCCTTCCGCTTCCTTCCTCTTCCCCATCCTCCCATCGTTGCTTCTGCCCTCCGCGCCCAGTGCACCGCTTCGTGGCCTCATCGGGAGCTCCACCGAAGGCCTCAGTGGCGATGTTCGCATGCGTTTCCCCCGCTCAGTACAGCGCTTCGTGGCCCCATAAGGAGCTTTACCAGGGGCATCGGTGGCGGCGATCGCATGCGTCTCCCATCCTGTACAGCGCTTCGTGGCCCCATAGGAAGCTCCACTGAAGGCCTCAGTAGCGGTGCTCGCATGCGTCCCCCTCGCTCAGTACAGCGTTCGGTGGCCCCACATGTGAGCTCCGCCGAAGGCCCCAGTGGCGGTGTTCGCATAAGTGTCCTCCACCCAGTACAGCGCTTCGAGGTCCCATAGGGAGCTCCACCCGGGGCCCCAATGGCGGTGTTCGCATGCGTCTCCCCCACCCCGTACAGCGCTTCGTGGCCCCATAGGGTGCTCCATCGAAGGCTCCACTGGCAGTGATCGCATGCGTCCCCCAACCCAGTACAACGCTTCGTGGCCCCATATGGGAGCCCCGCTGAAGGCCCCAACGGCGGTGTTCGCATGCGTCTCCCCCGCCCAGTACAGCGCTTTGTGGCCCCATAGGGGGCTTCGTCAAAGGCCCCAGTGGCGGTGTTCGCATGCGTCTTCCCCACCCAGTACAATATTTCTGGCCCCATATGGAGCTCCACCTAAGGCCCCAGTGGCAGTGATCGCATGCGTCTCCCCCGCCCAGTACAGCGCTTCGTGGCCAATAGGGACCTCCAGCGAAGGCCTCATCGGCGACGTTCGCACGCGTATCCCCCATTCGGTACAGCGAATCGTGGCCCCATCGGGAGCTTCACCGAATGCTGCAGTGGCGGTGTTCGCATGCGCCCCCCCGCTCAGTACAGCGCTTTGTGGCCGCATAGGGAGCTCCGCCGAAGGCCCCAGTGGCGGTGTTCGCACGCGTCACCCCCACCCAGTATAACGTTGCGTGGCCCATTGGGAGCTCCACCGTGGGCCCCAGTGGCGGTGTTCGCATGCGTGTCCCCCGCCCAGTACAGCGTTTCGTGCTCTCATACATAGGGAGTTCCGCCGAAGACCCCAGTGGTGGTGTTCGCGTGCGCCTCCCCCGCCCAGTACAGCGCTTCGTGGCCCCATAGGGAGCTCCCGCGAAGGCCCCAGTGGCGCGCGTTCCGAGAAAAACCCAAAGGGCAGCGCCCACATGGCGGCCCTGCCCCATATCGGCACACCCTTCGCATGCCCCATGGGCAGATCCTCCTAAGGCGATGGCCGCTACGACGGTACTCACAACTGCATATGGTTGGGTACTTCGCCAGGGTCATTTGCAGCCTCGGGGCTCGCTGAGGGCCTCCATGGGCCGAACATGTGCCCAACCCCCCCCTTGTTTTTCCCAACCATCCTGTGGTGTTGGGTCCTCGTTTTGAAGAGACGGTGCCCCGCGTTCCTCTCCTCTCCTCTCCTCTCCTCTCCTCTCCTCTCCTCTCCTCTCCTCTCCTCTCCTCTCCTCTCCTCCTCTCCTCCCCTCCTCTCCTCCTCTCCTCTTCACCCACCCAGTACACCGTTTCGTGGCTCCATAGGGAGCTCCACCGAAGGCCCCAGTGCCCGCGCCCGCATGCGTCACCCACACCCATTTCGGCACACCCCTCACACGTTCGTGGCTCCATAGGGAGCTCCACCGAAGGCCCCAGTGCCCGCGCCCGCATGCGTCACCCACACCCATTTCGGCACACCCCTCACACGTTTCGTGGCTCCATAGGGAGCTCCACCGAAGGCCCCAGTGCCCGCGCCCGCATGCGTCACCCACACCCATTTCGGCACACCCCTCACACGTTTCGTGGCTCCATAGGGAGCTCCACCGAAGGCCCCAGTGCCCGCGCCCGCATGCGTCACCCACACCCATTTCGGCACACCCCTCACACGTTTCGTGGCTCCATAGGGAGCTCCACCGAAGGCCCCAGTGCCCGCGCCCGCATGCGTCATGCGTCACCCCCCACACATTTCGGCACACCCCTCACACGTTTCGTGGCTCCATAGGGAGCTCCACCGAAGGCCCCAGTGCCCGCGCCGCATGCGTCACCCACACCCATTTCGGCACACCCCTCACACGTTTCGTGGCTCCATAGGGAGCTCCACCGAAGGCCCCAGTGCCCGCGCCTGCATGCGTCACCCACGCCCATTTCGGCACACTCCTCACACGTTTCGTGGCTCCATAGGGAACTCCACCGAAGGCCCCAGTGCTGCCGCCCGCATGCGTCACCCACACACAATTCGGCACACCCCTCACACGCCTCGTGGCCCCATAGGAGCTCCGCCGAAGGCCCCAGTGCTGCCGCCTGCATGCGTCACCCACACACAATTCGGCACACCCCTCACACGTTTCGTGGCCCCATAGGAAGCTCCGCCGAAGGCCCCAGTGCTGCCGCCCGCATGCGTCACCCACACACAATTCGGCACACCCTCACACGCTTCGTGGCCCCATAGGAGCTCCGCCGAAGGCCCCAGAGTTGCCGCCCGCATGCGCCACCCACACCCAATTCGGCACACCCCACACACGTTTCGTGGCCCCATAAGAGCCCCGCCGAAGGCCCCAGTGCTGCCGCCCGCATGCGTCACGCACACCCAATTCGGCACACCCCTCACACGTTTCGTGGCCCCATAGGGAGCTCCGCGGAAGGCCCCAGTGCTGCCGCCCGCATGCGTCACCTACACCCCATTCGGCACACCCTTCACACGTTTCGTGGCCCTATAGGGAGCTCCGCCGAAGGCCCCACTGCTGCCGCCCCCATGCGCCACGCACACCCGGCACACCCGTCACACGTTTCGTGGCCCCATAGGGAGCTCCGCCGAAGGCCCCAGTGCTGCCGCCCGCATGCGTCACCCACACCCAATCCGGCACACCCTTTACACGCTTCGTGGCCCCATAAGGAGCTCCTCCGAAGGCCCGAGTGTTGCCGCCCGCACGCGTCACGCACACATAATTCGGCACACCCCTCACACGTTTCGTCCCCATAGGGAGCTCCGCCGAAGGCCCCAATGCTGCCGCCCGCATGCGTCCCGCACCCATTTCGGCACACCCTTTACACGTTTCGTGGCCCCATAGGGAACTCTACCGAAGGCCCCAGTGCTGCCGCCCGCATGCGTCACGCACACCCACGTGGGCACACCCCTCACACGTTTCGTGGCCCCATAGGGAGCTCCGCCAAAGGCCCCAGTGCTGCCGCCCGCATGCGCCACCCACACCCATTTCGGCACACCCTCACACGTTTCGTGGCCCCAAAGGGAGCTCCGCCGAAGGCCCCAGTGCTGCCGCCCGCATGCGTCCAGCACATTCATTTCGGCACACCCCTCACACGCTTCGTGGCCCCATAGGGAGCTCCACCGAAGGCCCCAGAGTGTTGCCGCCCGCATGCGTCCCGCACACCCATTTCGGCACACCCCTCACGCGTTTCGTGGCCCCTATAGGGAATGCGTCCCGCACACCCATTTCGGCATACCCTTCACACGTTTCGTGGCCCCATAGGGAGCTCCACCGAAGACCCCAGTGGGTGTGCCCGCATGCGTCCCGCACATCCATTTCGGCACACCCATCACGCGTTTCGTGACCCCTCACACGTTTCGTGGTCCCATAGGGAGCTCCACCGAAGGACCCAATGGGTGTGCCCGCATGCGTCCCGCACCCATTTCGGCACATCCCTCGCACGTTTCGTGGCCCCGTAGAGGGGCTCCACCGAAGGTCCCAGTGCTGCCGCCCGCATGCGTCACCCACACCCATTTCGGCATACCCTTCACGTTTCGTGGCCCCAAAGGGAGCTCCGCCGAAGGCCCCAGTGGGTGTGCCCGCATGCGTCCCGCACACTCATTTCGGCACACCCCTCACGCGTTTCGTGACCCCTCGCACGTTTTGTGGTCCCATAGGGAGCTCCACCGAAGGCCCCAGTGGGTGTGCCCGCATGCGTCCCGCACACCCATTTCGGCACACCTTCGTACGTTTCGTGGCCCCGTAAGGGGGCTCCACCGAAGAAGATATTCACAACTGCGGTATTCACAATTGCATATGGTTGGGTCTTTCGCCAGGATAATTTTTTACAGCGAGAGGACGTCAGGGTGCGCGCAGATCCTTCTGGCCCGCGAGGCACTCTGGCATTCGAGTGTGAAGCCCGGGAGCACGCCGTCTGAGGGACCTTGCGATCCGACGGCGCAGAAAGAGTAATGAAACCATCGTTGGACAACTGGGCTGGACCCTGGAACAATCCTTCTACTGCATTCTTCGGGCAGGTCCAGGGGAACGACACGTGGCAAAATGGCAAAATCACCCGTTGCGAAAAAAGACGCGATGTCAGGATCTCAGGGGATCACGGTGCTCGGGCCTGGAGACAATGTGCGTGACCCGGGGGGGGGGTCATTTCTATATGGCGTTGGCGTGAGTTGTGGCGTGACCATGGGGGGAGTAGAGAGAATGTGGTAGAGGGGGCGGTGTGAGTCACAGGCGCTACTGCGAACATTGAAAAGATTGCGCCTGAGGGACCCAAACATCCGACATCGCGTTTTTGTTCGCAGCGTCGTTCCCTAGAGATTGGGACCCCTTCCCAGGCCCGCTGAGGACTTCTGAATGTCGAAATTGGGCCATCAAATTCAGTCGCGTTTTTTCCCAACGAGAGGACGTCACGGGATGCGCGCTGCGCGAAGATCTTTGAACGAGAAGGACGAGGAGGAGGAGGGGGAGGACGAAAAAGAAGATTTGGACGAGGGGGGGGGGAGGAGGAAGATGGGGAGGAAAAGGAGGAGGATGAGGAGGAGGAGGAGTAAGGCTTGGAGGAGGGGGAGGAGGAGAAGGAGGAGGAGGAGGACACGTGTAAAACCAAGGGTCATCAACGATGTTGGGGATTAACCCTCCCTCCGAGCTCCCTCTTCGTAGGCCCCCACAACGGTTCACTTCCATTGAGGGAACTGCCTCCTTGGGAGACAACCGTTTGAAGATCTTGTAGCATGCCAAAACATTGTTCTCGGGATTTCAACGCCGCGTATCAACCTGACTGCTGCGTCTTGACGATCGGGAACCGTGCCAGAGCGTCATTTATTGGGATTTCAGCACCGCGAATCAACATAATTGCTGCACCCGCATAATCCTGAATCCTTCCATCACACAATTCTTGGTACCCTGATCATGGGACTCCGTGGAACTCTTGCAAATGTTTAAATCGAATGTGCGCGGCGCTAAGGCGACAGCCACATTTTGAAAAGGAACCGCCCTCAATCCGTGAAACTCTTGCAGATATTGAAAACGAATGTGCGCGGCGCTAGGGCGAGAATCACATGTTGTAAAAGAACCGCCCTCAATCCGTGAAACTCTTGCATTTTTTAGAGCGAATGTGCGCGGCGCCAAGGCGAGAGCCTCATTTTGAAAGCCACCCGCCCTCAATCCAGGAAGCTTTTTGCAAATGTTAGAAAAGAATGTGCGCGGCGCTTAGGCGAGAGCCACATTTTGAAACCCACCCGCTCTCATTATCAAAGAGAATGTCCGCGGCGCTAAGGCGAGAGTCACATTTTGAAAACCACCCGCCCTCCATCTGTGAAACTGTTGTCACTGTTTAAGCTTCAGAGTCATAAGTGGTGAGGAAGTCTCAGGCGAAACGCCCGGCGCACCCTAAAAAGTGACCTCGGGGTGCGACAGGGAGGAGTTATCTAGAAGGAGAAGGACGGAGGAAGAGGACGGAGGAGGAGGAGGAGGAGGAGGAGGAGGAGGAGGAGGTGGAGGAGGAGGAGGGAGGAGGGAAAGGGAGGAGGAGGAGGAAAGAGGAGGAGGAGGAGGAGGAGGAGGAGGAGGAGGAGGAGCAGGAGGAGCTGGCCCGCGAGGTGCCCCCAGACTGGGCCCCGCTGGACGGCGCGCAGCCCGACCCGCAGCTGGCCGCGGCTGTGCGCGAGGCCGCGCGCCTCGCCGCCGAGAGGGGCACCGACGTGGCCGCCCTGCTGCGGCGCTGCCGGCAGTTCCCGCGCACGCGCGAGCACACCGGCTGGAAGGCTCGGGGCCCAAGAAGTGGCGAATCGTCTTGGTTATTCGGGAAACCTTTTTTTATTGGTGGCCTGCGAAGAGGTGCTTAGGACGTGTCTGGCGGAGACCGTCTTGTTTTAAGACATCGGGCTGATGTTCTAGGAATATTGCTGTTGTTTGAGAACTCGCTTGGTTCTAAGAACATTTCGTGGAAGGCTTATGGGATTGCCGGGACGGTTGGTCTTCGCTCAACGGGTTAGAGCAGCCGGGTGCGGCCACGATCAGAGGAGGAAAAGGTACCCATGCCGTTATCTTTCCCTCGTTTTTGACAGTCAGTCTGGGCCTCCTCGGAGTCCCTCGTTGCCACCGCTGGACTCGCTTCGAGATTCTGGTCAGAACGCGCCCTGGGAGAGGTCTGGGAAGAGGTATCGGCCCTTTGGCTTCCTCACAAGTGGGGGGTAATGACTACAGTCCAGTCGCATAGTAAGGATGAACAACTTTTCGAGCCTACCCTTGCGTCCCTGCCCTTTCGGCCCATCCTTGGCGACTTTCGCTGGCCAGCCCTGTTCGAAAACACCAGCATGGCTTTCCAAGACCCTTGCATCCTTACCGCGCACTGTCATCATGCGAGTGGACGGTAATGGAGGAAGGGGAATATCATGGCGGGGGCCATGACGTCTCCCATATTTCATGGCGCCTCTTCTTATTTCATGGCGTCCACTGCCCCCCCCCCCGTCCGCGCACATGCCTCGGGCCATGATTTCCCACCCACCCCTCTTGGACGCCCTCATCTTGGGCGCCCCCGGAGCAGCCCCTGGCCTCCTCCCCCCGGTACGATCGAAATGGGTACGGAAAGAATGGGTACGAAGACCGACAGCAGTTCTTTTTCGTTTTGAAAAGGACTCGCTGTCGGTGTCGCCGCGGACAGGCCGCCTGCCCAAGAGCGGCCGCCTGCCCAACAGCGTCCGCCTGGAAGGCTCGGGGCGAAAGCAGCGCCGGGCCTCCTGAGATGACCGTGGGGGGTGTTAAGAGGGCAGGGGGCTCAGAAGCGGATCCTACAAGACTCGTCAAACATAAATAAACGGTTTTTGTTTTCGGTGCTTGTGTGGTGGGCGCTACTTCAATGCTGGCATGAGGTATTCGTCCCAGACGCAGAAGTGTCCGAAATCCGGCGGTACCCTCACAGCATTGAAGAACACGTTTTGTGACAAGTGCCCGAGCTATCGAGTGCCTCGATCTTGAACAGCGTTTCTAATTAGTTTTGACGAGGCTTGTGGGGTGGGTGATGTCTGGCCTGACCTGCCTTCCAAGTGGGTTGTGTTTGCCCGACGTAGATCAGGGCGCCCAGATACTTCCGCCCGGTGGGTTCCGCCCACGTCGACCAGATCTGTGCTCCACGTAGGCCAGACAGCTGAGGTCCGGGGCGAGAGCGGCCCCTGACCTCTTCCCCTGGTCCACGGATGCCCGAGGCTCCTGGTCGCGGCCGACGAGATCGGTGGCGGCCGATGTCGCTTCAAACTCCGTTCCCGGTTGCGACCGTTTTGTCTCAATGTCGGTTCGCACCGGTCGGTCGCGACCGATTTTGGCATCGGTCGCTATCGGTCGCGACCGAGCGGAGTGCCGATCGGTCGGTCGCTACCGATCGCGACCGAGAAAGTCCGGTGTCCACTGCTCTGGGCTGTGAGTGAGAGCAGCTCACGACCTCCTCGCGGCGTGGAAAACAATCACGACGGGCACTTGTTGGGTCTGCTCGGCCTCCGGGGCGGGCACCCTTCCTGGGACCAGGGACCGGCAACAGAACGATCGGGGTGAGGAGCTGGTCCCAGGGGTCGGAAAGAGCGCGTTCTGTAGTCGCTTGGAGGGGGGGGGGTTTGGAACCAGACCCCCCCCCCATGTTCGAACCCCCTCCCCTTCCCGTGAAGGGGGGGGTGGGTTTGAAACCCCCCCTACCTCTCCTCTCTCCCTCTCCTCGGCTGGCGGCGGCGGCGGCGGGGACGACGATTTGAAATCGGGCCGGCGCCGGCGCCTGCGGCGGCGGGCGGCGGCGGCGGCGGCGGGAAGGGTCGACGAGGACGACGGTGGTGGTGGTGGCGGTGGGTTGTGGTGGTGGCGGTGGTGGTGGTGGCGGTGGTGGTGGTTGTGGTGGTGTGGTGTGGTGGTTTGTGGTTGTGGTGGTGGTGGTTGTGGTGGTGGGTGGTGGTGGAGGCGATGGTGGTGCGGTGGTGGTGGTGTGGTGGTTTGTGGTGGTGGTGGTGGGTTGTGGTGGTGGTGGTTTGGTGGTGGTGTGGTGGTGGTTTGTGGTGGTGGTTGTGGTGGGTTGTGGTGGTGGTGGTGGTGTGGTGGTTTGTGGTGGTGGTGGTGGTGGGTTGTGGTGGTGGTAGCGGTGGTGGTTGTGGCGGTGGTGGTGGTGGTGTGGTAGACTGTGGTGGTGGTGGTGGTGGTGGTAGTTGTGGTGGGTTTTTGCTGCGGTGGTGATGGTGGGTTGTGGTGGTGGTGGTTGTGGTGGTGGCTGTGGTGGTGGTGGTGGTGGTGGTGGTTGTGTGGTGGGTTGGTGGTGGTGGTGGTGGGTTGAGGCGGTGGTTGTGTTGATAGTGGTGGTGGTGGTGGTTGTGGTGGTTATCGTCGCTGGTCCCCGCCGTCGCGGGCGCCAGCGCTGGCGATGCTGGCTGCCGCCACTGCTGGCGGCGCCGGCGCCACGGGGGAGGGATTTGAACCCCCCCCCCTTCGGCGCCACGGGCGGGGGGGGGGAGCGGGGTTGAACCCCCAACCCTTGGGCTGCCTCTGGTCATCGTCGCTGCGTCCCCGCCGTCGGCGCTGCTGGCGGCCGCCAGCGCCGGCGGGTGGGGGAGGGTTGAACCCCCCACACCCCTTGGGAGGGGGGGGGCGAGGTTCGGGAGGGGGGGGGTTTGGGGGGATGGGAGTCCCCTTGGTTTTGATCGACGGCGCCGAATGTTGGGGGGGGAGCCCACCTCCCGGCTCGAAGCGCGCCGCCGAATGTTTCCAAGGCAAGCGCCCGTGAAACGCGTTCTCTCAGGGGTCGAGACTTCCGGGGTCCGCGTACAGCAGCAAGCAAGTCGTCGCCAATCTGGCGATGAGCCATCCTTTCCTTACGTTTCCTTTGGTTCGGCAGGTGGTCGACAGGTCAACTTGGAAGGTCTGCGAAGGCTCTCGGCAGGCCTTCGGCGGTTTCCGGGCTGGTTCCCATCAGCTGCGCCTCGTCACGGGCGTTCCGCGGATGCTGGGATCTCCCCGAACGGCCGAACGAGGCCCGAGCTATCGCCCGAAAGCAGTCGGCGGCGAGCCATCAGCGTCTCGTCCCTGGCGTCGTTCGTCCTCTGCCTGGGCATCTCCCGCTTCCCGTTGCCGCGGCCAGGCCTGCCTCGACAGACGGGCCAAGATCGGGACGATCGAAATGTGGACGGAAAGACGGGGCACAAAGACCGACAGCATCTCTTGCCCGTTTTGAGCAGGGCTCGCCGTCGGTGTCGCTGCGGACGTTCTCCATTTGAGGCAGAAAGACCGCCATTCCAATTGCGGCAGCTGTCGGTCTTGGACAACATTTGCTGTTGGGCATCGTACCCTTTTGTTTCTGTGTCCAGATCGGGCGTTCGAACAGGAGGTGGCCCCCCGGGAGGGCTCAGGGGACCGATTTTGCTGAGCACATGCTGGCCGGGCGGATGAACCCCCGGCTGTCTCAGCCCTGTCTGCACGCAGCTGAGACCCTTTGCCGAGGCGACCTCTGGTGCGTGGCCCTCGCGAGGGCGCGCGGGGGCCGCGCCCACAGCACGCGGGCCGCCTCCCGCACCGCACGCAGCGATCGGCAGCCCGCGCAGCAGAGGCCACTTGCCCAGTTCCCAAGTGCCCCCGGTCTCGTACGCTCAGCGAACACTGCTCTTTTGAAGCGGACCCAATGCGCATCAGCATTCACTGAAGTCGTTGTGGGAAGCACTGCTGGGGCGCTTTTCTTTATCTCAACCTGCCTCGAGAACAGCAAGGACAGCACGGCCCCGAGGAGGAGGAGAAGGAGGAGGAGGAGGAGGAACCCGTCCCCCGGCAGAGGTCCTGACGCCCGCGGGCGATGGCCGCGCCCAGACGGCCTGAGAGCGCTCTGCCGGCAGCTCGCCGGCGCCCGCGCGCGCCCGCGCAGGCGACGGAGGCGTTCGGCCGGCTTGGGCCCAGCGGTGCCCATCCCTCCACCGTCCCCAGACCCCTCGAGTCAAGGAAGAAAGTCATGACGGGAGGTTCTTCGCTATGTATTCTCAGCTTCTGGGAGCCCCTTCCAGGCCTCGGGACCGTCATAGATCGATTGGGGATGAAAAACCGGTCCTGGAGAATGGGTCGAGAACATTGTGGGTCTATGTCATGGACAGATCATGACGTCGGGGGTCTAGTATGTTTCTCAGAGGACCGCTGCTCGTCTTGGAGAGCCCTCGACGTGACGATTGGATTCTCCTCGAAATTCGTCCGTTTTTCATGTTCAGCCACGCGCAGATGGGGGGAGGGGGGAGTGGGGAGGGCTTCTTAGAAGCCCCCCTGCTTCTCAGAAGGCGCGGGCGGGCCTTATCTATAGATGTAAGGCCGGCGCCTTCTAAGAAGCTGCCCCCTTCTAAGAAGCCCTCCCCCCTCCCTCCACCCCCTGGTGCGCGCCGCCAGCATTTTTCCTTCTCCCGTTCTTCTACGCTCAAAAACCCTAATAAGGACGCGCGACTCTGCTCAGGGTACCCTTGCGTCCTTGCTCTTCCTTGCTTTTGCGTCCTTGAGGTTTTCGTCGCCCGCCGCCCCAAAGATCCCAACTTCGGCTTCCAAGGGTCTTGCGTCCTTACCGCGCGTCCTTGTTAGGGTTTTTGACTGTACGCTCGTCCTTCTCCCTCCCCTCTCCTCTCCTTCCTCCGTCCCTCACGTCGTCACGTCCTTCTCTCGACGTGGGCGCCCCCCCCGCGGCGCCGGCTCTTTGCACCCCGGGCCGAGGCGCGGCGGCCCCCGCGGGGGCCAGGAGCGGCGCCCCAAGAGGTGCGAGCCCCGCGCACAGCTGCGGGCGCGGGTGTGCAGGCGCCCTCCGTCCTATTCTTTTTTGCGCACGGCGTGCACCCCCAGAGGTCCTGGACCCCCGCCCGGGATGTTCTCTGTTTGCTTCTTGACTCGGGGGCGGGAAAGAGGAGGGTGATGACTGGGGGGGGGGATATCTCATGGCGGGGGCCATGAGATTTCCCCAGATTTCATGGCGCCTCTTCTTGTTTCATTGCGCCCCTGCCCCCCCCCCGCTGGACCGCGCACATGCCGCCGGTCATGATTTGCACCCCCCCCTCTTGGACACCCCCCTCTTGGCCGCTCCCGATTGACGGTCTGCGGGCCTGGGGAGTTGCCCCAGAGTCCGAAAATTGAAGAGAGATCTTTGCAACGAGAAAATGCCAGGTTCCTCGTCGAAGCACCAATGGTCCGGGACCAGGTCTGCGTGGGGATCTGGATCCCAGGAGGCTCCCAGGAGCCTCGGGAGGGCAGTATCCCTCCTCCGTCGTCGACGCTTTGTTGTGGCGCGGGCCCATGAAGGGTTTGTCGACCCCCCCCTTAAAGGGCTGACCTTTCATGCCGAGCCGTCTTTTTAGCGGTCCCAGAATCCGAGCGTACAGAAGTTGGCCGTCGCGATTTACTTGCGCCGCCATGGATCTGAGGGGAGGATCCCCACCCACCCGAGAACGCCAGGCGGGACCCCCCCAAGCAAGGGCACCCTTCGGGCCCGGCGGCCGCGGCTTGTAGTCGTCGTCCGTCGAAGACACGAGGCGAGATCCCCAGAGAGCACAGACACACTTAGGGCCTGGCGGCCGCGGTATGCAGGGCTTGCAAGGCTGTCCAGGAGCCCTTGTCTGTCAACCTGGCAATCCCAACCTGTTGGGTGGGAACTCGTCGATCCCTCCTCCTCCTCCTTCCCCTCCTCCTCCTCCTTCCCCTCCTCCTCCTCCTCCTCCTCCTCCTCCTCCTCCTCCTCTTCCTCCTCATGGCGCTTTCTGTACTTGCCTCTATGTTTCCAGTCTCGCTTCGACTCGTGAATTCCCCGACCCAGCCTATTCACGTCAGAAAGTCATCGATCAGTCGGGCCGACCAGCTGTAAGGCTGCCAGTGGACCAATTCAAGGATCAGCTCAGCTCTGTGCCTCCTCCTCGTCCTCCTCCTCCTCCTCCTCCTCCTCCTCCTCCTCCTCCTCCCCTCCTCCTTCTCCTCCTCCTCCTCCTCCTCCTCCTCCTCCTCACCCGGCGGCGGGGGAGCGGAATCCTTGTGCACTTTGGCTTTGTGCAGGCGCAAATTCCCAGTGTTAAGTAGGGCATGTCCCTATACATGGGGAAACTCAAGAATAGTCAAACAAATAATACGGGGACGATTTTTCGATTCTTTTCTGAATCTTCTGGGGTATTGTTTGGATTTGTCGTCCAAGCTCCGCCTGTAGGGGGACATGCCCGACCTGATCCCAGTGCCAGGCACCGGTCAGCACCCCAAGAGCCGGCGCCGCCTAGCGCGGGGCAAGGGCGGCCGTCAATCAACCAGCGGCCGCCCCCGGGGGAACGAGTTGCGCCAGCCAGGGCCTACTTATAGTCTCGGCTCGCGCGGGATCAGGACAGGGATCAGGGTTAAGACCTAGGCGGCCGCGTGCGTCGGCCGCCCCCGCCCAGCGCTGCCTCCTCCTCGTCCCCGTCCCCGTCCTCGTCCCCCTCCTCCTCCTCCTCCTCCTCCTCCTCCTCCTCCTCCTCCTCGCCATGGCCTCGGGCCACGAGACGTCCTCCTCGTAGCCTGCCGCTAGCGGAACAGGTCGTCGCGGTCGGCGCCGCCATCCAGGGCGCCGTGCTCACGGGGGAGATCCGCGACCTGATCTTGCTCGGAGGGGACCCTGCGGGGAGGAGGGGCCGAGGAGAGCAGCGTCTGCCCCGATCGAGGTTCTCTTGGACGGGCGTTCGCGTCTGGCTCGCGCGGCGCCAGATGACCAGAGGTTCCTGCCGCTCGTGGTTCTTCCGCTGTCCTCCTTGCCGCCTGTACCCTCGCTCTGCTCTTGTTGCGGCTGCCCACGCGTGGTGCTTAGGTTTTCGCGCCTGGCTGCCCAGGCCTTCTTACTATGCAGCACGAGGCCTGGGGTCTGGGTTGAGGTGCGTCGGGGGCACAAAGATGAGCAGAGGTTCATGGCCGCCCAGAGGCTTGCGTTCAGGTTCTACGGTAGAGGCGTTTGTTAAGGAGTAGTCCCAGGATGCGCCAGACCCTGGAGGATTTCTTATCCAATGAGGGCGGCGGTGATATCCATGGCCGATCCACGATTGGAGTTCCACTGGCTTCCAGACCCTGGAGTCCTTATCTAAGGGTTCCTTGTCCAATGTCCTCACCGTTTCTGTACAGCCCGATGACAGGACAGGCCCAGGTGGGCCAGGATATCCTGCTCATGCATGCGCGGGCTGCTCATGCGCAGCGTGTTCAGCAGGCTGAGAGCGAGCCGTGATATACGAAGCCTTTCTGACTGCGTGCGAGGGGCCCAGGAGGGCAGAGCCAAGGAGGAGGAGGGAGGGAGGGAGGGAGGGAGGGAGGGAGGGGGAGGGGAGGGAGGGAGGAGGGAGGAGGGAGGGAGGAGGAGGAGGAGGAGGAGGAGGAGGAGGAGGAGGAGGAGGAGGAGGAGGAGGAGCCCCAGATCCCCTCGCGTCGTGAATGAATCGCGACGGCGGGGTTCTCCATATTCATCGGCTCCGGCGGCCCCCGCCGGACCCCCGGAACCGTCCGCGAGAGTACTCCGGGCCAGAGGCCCGTCCGAGGGAAGGACCAGGTCCAGACATCTAGGGGCCCGCGCTGTGCACTGAAAGCAAGACAGAGCATGCCTGGGGCCGAGCAGGGCAATGCTGAGGTGGATGACGATAGTGATGATGATGGTGATGATGGTGATGATGATGATGATGATGATGATGATGATGATGATGATGATGATGATGGTGGTGGTGATGGTGGTGGTGATGATGGTGATGATGCTGATGCTGATGCTGATACTGATGCTGATGCTGATGCTGATGCTGCTGATGATGATGCTGCTGCTGATGATGATGATGATCATGATGGTGATGATGATGATGATGACGACGATGATGATGATGATGTTGATGATGATGATGATGATGCTGATTATGATGATGATGATGATGATGATGATGATGATGATGATGATGATGATGATGATGATGCTGATGCTGATGATGATGATCATCATGATCATGATCAGGATCAGGATGATCATGATGAGGATGAGGATGAGGATGAGGTTGAGGATGAGATTGATGATGATGATGATGATGATGATGATGATGATGATGAGATGAGGAGGAGAGGAGGAGGAGGAGGAGGAGGAGGAGGAGGAGGAGGAGGAGGAGGAGGAGGGAGGAGGAGGAGCAGAGGAGGAGGAGGAGGAGGAGGAGGAGGAGGAGGAGGAGGAGGAGGAGGAGGAGGTTTTGCCGCGCGCAACCCCGAGATCCCAGCGTCGCAATGTTGCCCTGTTTCGGGCCCCGGGACCCTCACAGATCGATTTGGCTCGAAAGTTGCAGCAGAAAGACGGGGTCCAGGTCTCCGGCCGATTCTTTTTCTACGGTGCTGCATTTTCGTCGGGACGTCGGATCTCAAGGAAGGGGGTGGCGCGAGGGGGAGCGGTTTTCTAAGAAGAGAGGTGGTTTCTCGGAAGCCCTCCGTGCCTCAGAGAAGGCTATTGAGATACACACACGACAGGTGCTTCTTAGAAGAGCCCTGCCATCTAAAAGACCCTCCCGCCCACCCTGCCAGGTCGATTGGCGAATTCTATTTTTGTTCGACTCTCGAGATGGCGCCGCGGCCGCAATTGCTGCGGGCTGCGCTCGCTGGGTCTAGTCCTGGGGCGTTTTCACGCAAGGGTGTTTTTCGCCAGAGGGGGTTTTGACCACCCCCGAGAGGGGTGAGGAACGAGGCGGAAGCGGGCCAGGTGCACGACGGAAGGAGAATGAGGAGGAGGAGGAGGACGAGGGGGAGGAGGAGGAGAAGGAGGAGGAGGAGGAGGAGGAGGGGGAGGAGGAGGGAGGAGGAGGAGGAGGATGAGGAGGAGAAGGATGAGGGGGAGTTGGAGGAGGAGGATGAGGAGGAGGAAGAGGAGGAGAAGGAGGAGGAGAAGGAGGAGGAGGAAGAGGAGGAGGAGAAGGATGAGGGAGGAGGAGAACGAGGGAGGAGGATCAGGAGAAGGAGGAGATGGTGGAGGAGGAGGAGATGGAGGATTGCCCCAGGGTGCCGTTCCTCATCATCTCCAGGAGGAGATGCAAGGGGGTAGGTTCTGTCTGGATCTTTGCCGTCCGATCTCCCTCCTGGAGATGCCCAGGGCGTCTGGCCCCGTGCGCCTGGTAGGCCCGCCTGGGATCGGGCCCGTTCGGCTGCCTCCCGGGCGGGGCCCGTGGCGCGCTGGCCTGCCGGAGCCGAACCCGTGGCGCTGGCCAGCTCTCAGAGGCGGGCGGGCCGAGACGACGGCAGGTGGCCATCGGAGGGCTCCCTCGTCGCCACGGCCCGGCCGGACGCAGCCTGGGAAATTCGGGGGCTTTCGGGCCCCGGGAGGGGGGTCCCGCAGGGTGCCACGTGCGAAGCCTACCCTCGGGGGTGGACAGACCTCCTACCCTGACACGTCGATTAAGGAATTGGCCGTTTTCGGTTCGCGAGAGGGCGTCGCGGCCGTCATTTCTGCGGGCCCAGGTCCGTCGGTTTCTGGCTTAGGCCGTTTTCACTAAGGGGAGGTTTACTAAAGGGAGGTTCGTCCACCGCCGATGCCCCTACCCCCCACGACTTTTGAGGGAGAGGTTGGGGTTAACTTCGCCCGGGAGCTCCCGAGCGAAGTGAACCCCACCCTCCCCCTCAGAAGTCGTGGGTGGTAGGGGTGGGCTTCACATGTGGCCCCCTAGTCCGGGAACCGATCTTGAGCTGCCGTTGTCTCAACGGGCCCTGCTCCGGCATTCACCGAGCGCGTTCAACTAACTACACTCGCAGAGTGCCTGCCCGCAAAGGTCCTTCAAGCCAATTTTGTTTGCCTTGGGGTAACGGCTCGTAGATCCTCCGCAGTGGATCCAGGCCATCTGCAAGTAGCTGCTTTGCGAGTCGTGGAACGCGCTTGTCTAGACGTGTGGCGGCCCCGCGGGCTCGGGCGGGACATTCCGTCGGAGAGCAGGAGGTTCTCCTGGCCTGGGGGGCAGGGTATGTCCGAGCGGCGAGGGTTTGAGCGTTTTGCTTCGCGTCCTTGGGCGCCTCCGTGGCCACGGCCTGGCTTCGGGTCGAAGCGCCCAGGCAGAGCGCGCGAGACGACCGGGGGCACCTCGACGTCTCCACGAGCACTGTGGCTTCTGGGGGGGTCAAGAGCAGAAGCAAAAAAGATACCCCCTATGCTTTCCTCATCTGGCACCCTTTGAGGCCCGATTCTGGGCCGTTGGGGTTCTAAAGAGACGACTCCGGACGAGCGGGTGGCTCCAGGCAGGGGGGTCAAGAGCTCCAGGGGTTGGCGACTTGCTGAAATCGGGTCGTCGGAGGCCTGAGTTCAGGAGGAGGGGCCGGGGAGGCGGATCTGTGATGCAGGAAGGCATCCTGCATCGCAGCTCGCCCCCCCCTCGCGCTCCCCCCCTTATCTCGAAGGTTGATGGACCTCCTACCCTGACACGTCGATCAAGGAATTGGCCGTGTTCGGTTCGCGAGAGGGCGTCGCGGCCGTTGTTTTTGTGGGTCCAGGTCCGTCGGTTTCGGTCCCAGGCCGTTTTCACCAAGGGGAGGTTTACGAAAGGGAGGTTTGTCCACCGCCGATACCCCTACCCCCCACGACTTCTGAGGGAGAGGGTGGGGTTGACTTGGCTCGGGGGCTCCCGAACGAAGTGAACCCCACCCTCCCCCTCAGAAGTCGTGGGGGGTAGGGGTAGGGTTCACATGTGGCCCCCTAGTCCGGGAACCGATCTTGAGCTGCCGTTGTCTCAACGGGCCTTGCTCCGGCATTCACCGAGCGCGTTCCACTATACTCGCAGAGTGCCTGCCCGCAAAGGTCCTTCAGGCCATGGCTTTGCCTTGGGGTAACGGCTCGTAGATCCTCCGCAGTGGATCCAGGCCATCTGCAAGTAGCTGCTTTGCGAGTCGTGGAACGCGCTTGTCTAGACGTGTGGCGGCCCCGCGGGCTCGGGCGGGAAATCCCGTTGGAAAGCAGGAGGTCCTCCCGGCCTGAGGGGCAGGGTATATCCGAGCGGCCCGGGTTTGAGCGTTTTTGTTCGCGTCCTTGGGCGCCTCCGTGGCCACGGCCTGGCTTCGGGTCGAAGCGCCCGGGCAGAGCGCGCGAGACGACCGGGGGCACCTCGACGTCTCCACGGGCACTGTGGCTCCTGGGGGGGTCAAGAGCTGAAGCCAAAAAGATACCCCCTATGCTTTCCTCATCTGGCACCTCTTGAGGCCCGATTCTGGGCCGTTGGGGTTCTAAAGAGACGACTCCAGACGAGCGGGTGGCTCCAGGCAGGGGGGTCAAGAGCTCCAGGGGTTGGCGACTTGCTTAAATCGGGCCGTCGGAGGCCTGAGTTCAGGAGGAGGGGCCGGGGAGGCGGATCTGTGATGCAGGAAGGCATCCTGCATCGCAGCTCGCCCCCCCCCCCTCGCGCTCCCCCCCCTACCTCGGAGGTGGATGGACCTCCTACCCTGACACGTCGAGTAAGGAATTGGCCGTGTTCGGTTCGCGAGAGGGCGTCGCGGCCGTCGTTTTTGCGGGTCCAGGTCCGTCGGTTTCGGTCCCAGGCCGTTTTCACCAAGGGGAGGTTTACGACAGGGAGGTTTGTCCTTCGCCGACTATCGCCCCTTCCCTCCCCCCCTCCCCCAGCCCACGCTCTGCTCCCTTCCCCCCCGCCGCCCACCCCCGCGCCCACCCGTCGTTCCCACCTTCCGTCCGTCGCTCGTTTGTCGCCCTGCCGTCCCTGCTCCGTGCAAGTGGTCTCCGCATGGCGATTGTGAGGAGGTGATGCGTGCGGGGGAGCCTGGGCGCCAGGAGAGGCACTAGGGAAAGCAGGGGGGAAGACTCAGGAAGGGAGGGATGGAGGTGTTGGGGAGGAGGAGGAGGAGGAGGAGGAAGAGGAGGAGGAGGAGGACGAGGGAGTAGGACAAGGGTTGGGAGACGTTGGTCTTGCTTCACCGCTGTCCCATGCCACTCTTAATTGTTGTCTCTCTCTCTCTCTCTCTCACCTTCTCGCTCTCGCTATATAATATTTATGAATACAATCTAGATTATAGAGATGTATAGTTCGATATCTCTTATTTGTTTGTTTCTCTCTCTCTCTCTATTTACCCCGCATCTCTCATATCTCTCGCTCTCTCTCTCTCTCTCTCTCTATGTAGATCTCTCTATCTCTTCACCCCAAGATCTACTCATATGTACAATACCCATAGATGTATGTACATAGATGTGTGTATCCATCGTCCGCCCCAGACTTCCCTATGTATCCCTCTCCTCCATTTTGCAAGTAGCGCATCGCATCGTTGCTGGAGCCTCGACAAGTCACGTGCCCCACAGGTGCACTCACGCTCCTCTGCAGTCATCTTCCCCCTCTGCCTTCCTGCATCCTCTCACATTTGTCCCGCTTCCTGCTTCGTATCCACCCTTTTGGTCGAAGGGCGCGTTCCTGCTGCATCCTCCTTCTCTTTCTCCTCCTCCTCCCCCACCCTCCTGGCTGCAAGCAGGAAATGTGAGTGTGGAGCTAACGTCGCAAAGCAGCATAACAATATGCAGGATGACAGGAGGGGGGGTTGCGGAGGGGGAGAAGGTCAATGACGAGTCCGCTTGGGAACAGGAACAGCATGAGGAAGACGAGGACCAGGAGGAGGAGCAGGCGGCTCGAGCAGGAGGACGGGGCTGAGGAGGACGAGGTCAAAGAGGATAAGATGCAGCAGGAGCAGAGGGCGGAGGGAGGACAGAATGTGCCTGAGGAGGACCGGGAGCTGCAGCAGGCATCACCCAGGCAAAGGGAGAGAGAAAAGACGCTCCCGCGGAGCGGGCCAGACGTCTTGCCCCTCACGCTGAGCATCGCCACCCACGACGGCCTCTGCTCCGTGTTCCTTCCCAGGAACACCCGGGTCCCCGTGCGGAAGACCAAGGTCTCCCCGCCACCAGCGCTCCCTTCTGATCTGACGGAGGGCCAGGGGGGTAAGAGACGGGGGGGGGGAGGAGGAGGAGGAGGAGGAGGAGGAGGAGGAGGAGGAGGAGGAGGAGGAGGAGGAGGAGGAGGAGGAGGAGGAGGAGGAGGAGGAGGAGGAGGAGGCAGAGGAGGAGGAGCTGGAGGTGGAGCTGGATGAGGAAGAGCTGCGATTTTGTGGGCACCCGGGGACCCTGGGGTGGTGGTTGGTGTTGTTCCTCCAGGCGGTCAACACTATCGGCGCCCCTGTTGCTGCTTCTTCCCTTGCACGAATCCCCTGCGTGGTTCCTTTTGTTTGATTTCTTGGGATTCTATTCTCTCTTATGGAGGGAGCGAGCGAGGAGGAGGAGGAGGAGGAGGAGGATGAGGTTTATTTTTGATTAATTTTCCATGATCGGTCGCGACCGATTTGCTTCAAAATTGATCGCGACCGACTGGTCGCGATCGGTCGCGCCCGTTTTGGAGGACCGATCGGGCGCTACCGATCGCGACCGAAAAACTCCATCACCCAATGATCTGGGAAGAGGAGGGGACTCGGCGGACGACGACGACGACGACGACGACGACGACGACGACGACGACGACGACGACGACGACGGCGAGGGCGAGGGCGGCGGCGGCGGCGACGGCGACGACGACGACGACGGCGAGAGTGCCACCGAAGGCCTCGGCAGGCGGCCCGAGGGGCGCCTGGAGGCGGCGTGAGACACTACGCCAGCAGAGCGCGCACGCAGGAGAAGTGGCGGGCAGGGCCACGCCGCAACACCTCGGGGGCGGACAAAACACCCCACCCTGACGATGTGTCGTTGGCTTTGGGTCACTGTCCCCCCGCCCGATCCGCTCCCCCCTTTCGGCTCCCCCCAACGAGGTCGGAGGTTGCCTGAGCTGATCCTGGCCTCCCAACTTTTCCCGCCATTTCGGCCCCATGGGGCCCACTGGGCTTAGGGCACTCTGGAATCCATCTTGTCCTCTCTGCAAAAGCCGGTCGGGGGTGAACAGAACCCCCACCCTGAAACGTCGATCAGTGAATTGTCCGTTTTCGGTTCTCGAGAGGGCGCCGCGGCCGTGATGTTCCAGGCTTGCGCCCGGCAGATTTGGGCCCGAGGTCGTTTTGACTAAACCACGTTTTACTGAAGGGGTCTCAATCCACCCCCGAACACATCTATCATCCATCATGCGTTTTTTACGTATCGCCGCGCCGTTTGTTTTGACACGAGGCCTTCCGTCCTGGGGGGGGGCGCCGCGGGCACAGAGTTTGCCGTGGGTTTGCCGTGGTGCCGGTTTCGTCGGGTTGGAGCTCGTGGGCGCATTCAGGAGAGCACGGCGCGGCGACACGTCTAGTTGAGAAGTGCATTCTCTCACCGCTGCCAGGGCAGACTCTCCTGCCTGCGGACAGCATTCTGGGGGAGCGGTTGGCTCCAAGGTGGCGGCCCCGGAAGTCTTGGCACCCTCCCCGCGACACGGCTGCTCGTTCCGAGGCGCCCTCGGTCGCAACGGGGCCCGAGGCGGGGCAGGGGGCCACGAGCACACAGAGCCAACATCCCACATGGAACTCTCACTCGGCGGCGCAATTCGATCCCTACCCTCGCCGATCCAATGTTCAGGCAACTCGATGGGCGGCGGGGGGCAGGGCTCGGAGTGCGCCGAACACACGGCGAAATCGGCACCCTACCCCCTCCCCCCGTCGATTCAGGAGAACCGCGGGTTGGTGGAGGTATGGTTTGGGTGTCGCCACCTAGCATCTCTCCTCTCTTGTGACGTAGCTCCTGGGAGGCTATTTTCAGCATCGGCGTTGAAAAACCCGAGGCCGAACACCGGCCCAATCCTGCACAGTCCCGTGCAATCCCGCTTCATCCGGCTGAATCGGGCTCAATCCTGGGGTTCGTTTGGGTCCATCTGGCTTGATGGCCCCCCAGCGGGGTTCATACCCCCTTATCGCTTCCACGACTGAACCTCTCCCCTCCTCCATGCCCCATCCATCCTCCTTGCTCCTCGCTCAGCGGCCTCAAGAGGTCTTCGAGTCGGCGAAGGACAACCAGAAGAACTTCGAGATCAAGGCTCATGGGGGGCGGCCTTTGTTCTGGACTCGAGGGAGGGCGAGGGCGAGGAGGAGGAGGATGAGGACCAGTGCGAACCAACGATGTTGCAACAAACTCTCCCTTCAAGCTGCGACTTGATAGGTCCCTACGATAATTTATTGGAGTGGCCTCGGCCAGTGCCGCCGATCCAGGGTCGTGCCCGTGCCCGGGGTGGGGGGGGGTGGGGGGGGGCGTTCGCGGGGAGTCCAGGGGGGGGTTGTCCTAGGGGGGGGCCCTGCCAGATCTGGGGGATCCCTGAGGCCCTCCCCTAGATGTTTGGGAAGGGCAACTCAATCACAAAATGAGGTCCCCAGGGCGGGGGGGAGTACACGCCCCCACCCCCTTCCCCCCTACACCGGCAGAGCCACCCCGGCAACTCCCCCAGCAGAGCTGAGCTGAAGCTCACACGCCGGATCAGCGTATATTTCCATTGCGGGAAGTGGCCCATCAGAAGACAAGTGTTTGAGAGTCCTAGACCGTGCCAACGCATGATGTCTGGGACTTCGCAGTGCCGTGGATCAACGTGACTGCTGCGCCCTGTCAATCCTAAACCGTACCAGAGCACCACTCCTGGAACGGCAATCCCGCGGGTCAAAGTGATTGTTGGGTCCTGACTATCCAAGATCGCACCAGAGCACCGTTCCTTGAACCTCAACCGCATGAATATGTGAAATGTTTTAGACGGATGCGCGCGGCGCTGAAGCGAGAGCCACAGTTTGAAAAGGAGCCTCCCTTTACTCTTAAGTCGGGCCTGTCCCTCTACAAGAGGAACATCTAAAAATAGTTTAAAAAATTGTGGGGGGGACGATGCTTGGACTATTTTTCTCCATTTTGGGGGGAATCTCTTCCCTACATAGGCTCTGCCTAGAAGGGTTCTTACTCTCTAGCTTAAAGGGCCGGGCAATGGAAAGCGCCCCGGGCGGTTCCCCCAGTCCCCTGGGAGCGGTTGCCCAATCCCCTGAGAGTTTTAGCTTTAGCTTTAGCTTTAGCTTAGCTTCAGCTTAGCTTTAGCTTAGCTTCAGCTTAGCTTTAGCTTAGCTTTAGCTTAGCTTTAGCTTAGATTTAGCTTGGCTTTAGCTTAGCGGCACCTTAGCTTTAGCTTAGGTTTAGCTTATATTTAGCTTTAGCTTTAGCTTAGCTTTAGCTTAGCTTCAGCTTAGCTTTAGCTTAGCTTCAGCTTAGCTTCAGCTTAGCTTCAGCTTAGCTTTAGCTTAGCTTTAGCTTAGCTGGACCTTAGCTGTACCTTAGCTTTAGCTTAGCTTTAGCTTGGCTTAAACTTAGCTGCACCTTAGCTTCAACTTAACTTTAGCTTAGCTTTAGCTTAAGTTTAGCTTAGCTTTAGCTTAGCCTTTACCGTAGCTTTAGCTTAGCTTTAGCTTAGCTTTAGCTTAGCTTTAGCTTAGCCTTAGCTTAGTTTTAGCTTAGCCTTTACCGTAGCTTTAGCTTAGCTTTAGCTTAGCTTTAGCTTAGCTTTAGCTTATCTGCACCTTAGCTTTAGCTCAGGTTTAGCTTAGCGGTTAGCCTTAGCCTTAGCTCTGCACCTTAGCCTTAGCTTTAGCCCAGGCAGCTCAGGTTTAGCTTTAGTTTAGCCTTAGCTTAGCTTTAGCTTAGCTTTAGCTTAGCTTCATCTTAGCGTTAGCTTACCTTGAGCTTAGCTTAGCTTAACTTTAGCTTAGCTTTAGTTTTAACTTAGCTTTAGCTTAGCTTTAGCTTTACTGTTCGTACTAATGCTGCTTTCCTAAGGGCTCCAACTCCTATGTAGGGTCGCACTGGGATAATTGACTTTTTTTAGTTTTCACAAAAAATCCCCCTGTAGGGGGACGCGCCCGACTTCACTTTACTCTTGAAGTTTTTGCGAACATTTAAGGTGAGTGTGCGCGGCGCTAGGGCGAGAGCCACATTTGGAGCACCAGCCGCCCTGCGTCCGAGAGGCGGTTGCACTGTTCGAGCTTCAGAACCGTGAAAGGCATGAGGAAGTCTTAGGCGAAGCGCCCTGCCAGCTCTGCTGGCACGTCTGGGGGGGTCGCGACAGAGAGGATTTGTTTTACAGGGAAAACGGATGACTGAGGAGGAAGAGCATGACGAGGAGGAGAAAGGGGTGGAAAAGGAGGAGATGCAACGAAAACGACTCGCCAGATGTGAGTCCCAGGGCATGCCATCCAGGAGCCCAATCCGGGTCGCACGACCATCAGAAGCCGATCAAGGATGAACAAACATACCAGCATGTACCCCGTAATGGGGCGGGAGTTGTCATTTTGGGCGGATGCTGGATGCGCTCCAGGACGGTCGGGAGCATGTATAGGAGAATGGGGATGAGGACGAGGAGTAGGAGGGTAAGGAGCAGACGAACGCAGCTCACGCCGCCCCCTTTCAGACTTGGCTCCCTTCTGCACGATCGCCCGTGCTTCCCTCACCGTCCGCCTCTTCTGCGATTTGCCCCGCTCTCCCCTCTGGCCTTCCCCCCGCCTTCCTTTGGCCCCCAGGCTTCCCTTTTGGACGATGATTCCTGGTCTCCCATCTGCCGTCCCCCCTCCTCCCCTTGCCTATCCACTCCCCCTAGCCTTCCTGCTGGATTATGTCGCCTGCTCGTTCATGTGTCCTCCTCCGCCATTCAGCGCAAAGGCAATCGCGCGGCGCTAAGCGCGCAATTGGGTGATTCTGGGTGTCTCCGGAAGCCTCCTGAGGTTACCAGGGGTCCCTTCGGCGGCCTCCAGAGACCGAGGGGTGGCACATTTTTGCCTGGAGACCTCAATTTTCGATGTTCGAGGATCGACGTGGCAAATTTGCAGGAGCCGCCCAGAATTATTGGCTAACGATCCCCTCCCCCTCCTCCCTCCCGGTGTCCCTCGCTGCCCTTCTCGCCCCGCATCGCGTTATAGAGGACGACGGCGACGACGAAGAGAGGCTGATCATGGGGAAGAGCAGGACAATAGCGAACAGCGATGTTCTGAGATTGCGGAGGCTTCCGCAGAGACCTTCGGAGGCCTCCGCATAGACTTCCAAAAACCCTCGCAGACCTCAGGAGCATCCGATGATGCTCTGAGGAGAGGGAATGGTAAGAAGAAGATAAAGAAGCATATCACTAATAATACTAAGACTAGGAAGCAGCATGAGGCTGACGTGTTGTTTGTGTGTGTGTTCGCTTTCTCTTTCTTTTTTGTTGCTCTCTCTCTCTCTCTCTCTCTCCATATAGATCTATATATATATATATACAGATTACCCTGCCGCCCTCTTCCCCCGTCCATCCCTCCTTGCCCCCGTGCCTCCTCCCTCCCTGCCCTGGACCCCCTGTCCTCTCATTCTCTTCGTATGGGGTCACGTCTTGTGAAAATCCTCGATCCTCCTCCTTCGCCTCCTTCTCCTCCTCCTCCTTCTCCTCCTCCTCCTCCTCCTCCTCCTCCTCCTCATCTCCTCCTCCTCCTCCTCCTCCTCTCCTCCTCCTCTCCTCCTCCTCCTCCTTCCTCCACCCTTCTCTTCACTCATCCTCCTCCCTCCTCCTCCTCCTTCTCCTCCAGCTCCTCCGCCTTCTCCTCCTCCTCCGCCTCCTCCTCCTCCTCCTTCTCCTCCTCCTCCCTCCTCCTCCCTCCTTCCCTCCCTCCTCCCCTTCCCACCTCCTCCTCCCCCTCCTCCAGCTCCTCCCCTCCTCCTCCTCTTCCTCCTCCTCCTCCTCCTCCTCCTCCTCCTCCTCCTCCTCCTCCTCCTCTACCTCGCCCCTCCCCGGCAGAAGTGCAGGCAAGTCGCCACCGCAGTCACTGTCCTCGCTAGCGAGGGGTTCGCTGTTCCCCCTTGTCGGCTTCCCTCCCTCGTCGTCGCCTCGTTCTTCCAATGAGCGCTCAACTAGACCTCGAACCTACGAGAGCGCGTTTTTTTATTCCTGGGCAATAACGGGCGTTACCAGGGGGGTCAACTAGCTATCGAACCTACAGGAGATCGTTTTTCCCAACCATCCTGTGGTGTTGGGTCCTCGTTTTGAAGAGACAGCGCCCCGCGTCTCCTCTCCTCCTCCTCCTCCTCTCCCCCCTCCTCCCTCCTCCCATCGCCGTCATCATACTCATCGTCATCATCATCATCATCATCAGCATCATCATCATCATCATCATCATCATCATCAGCATCATCATCATCATCATCATCATCATCATCATCATCATCATCATCATCATCCTCATCCTCATCTTCATCTTCATCATCATCATCATCATCATCATCATCATCATCATCCTCGTCATCATCACCACCAGCATCATCATCGTCATCATCATCGCCATCGCCATTAGTTCCCAACCATCCTGTCATCGTCACCACCAGCATCATCATCGTCATCACCACCAGCATCATCATCGTCATCATCATCATCATCAGCAGCATCATCATCATCATCACCATCATCATCATCATCATCATCATCATCATCATCATCATCATCATCATTAGTTCCCATTTCCGCACACCCCTCACACGTTTCGTGGCCCCATAGGTAGCTCCACCGAAGGCCCCAGTGGCAGGGTTCGCATGCCGCCCCCACCCCACTTTGGCTCACCCCTCACACGTTTCGTGGCCCCATAGGTAGCTCCACCGAAGGCCCCAGTGGCAGGGTTCGCATGCCGCCCCCACCCCACTTCGGCACACCCTTCACACGCTTCGTGGCCCCATAGGTAGCTCCACCGAAGGCCCCCGTGGCAGGGTTCGCATGCCGCCCCCACCTCACTTTGGCACACCCCTCACACGTTTCGTGGCCCCACAGGGAGCTCCACCGACGGCCCCAGTGGCAGGGTTCGCATGCCGCCCCCACCCCACTTTGGCACACCCCTCACGCATTTCGTGGCCCCATAGGTAGCTCCACCGAAGGCCCCAGTGGCAGGGTTCGCATGCCGCCCCCACCTCACTTTGGCACACCCCTCACGCGTTTCGTGGCCCCATAGGTAGCTCCACCGAAGGCCCCAGTGGCAGGGTTCGCATGCCGCCCCCGCCCCACTTTGGCACACCCCTCACACGTTTCGTGGCCTCATAGGGAGCTCCACCGAAGGCCCCAGTGGCAGGGTTCGCATGCCGCCCCCATCTCACTTTGGCACACCCCTCACACGTTTCGTGGCCCCATAGGGAGCTCCACCGACGGCCCCAGTGGCAGGGTTCGCATGCCGCCCCCACCCCACTTTGGCACACCCCTCACGCATTTCGTGGCCCCATAGGGTGCTCTACCGAAGGCCCCCGTGGCAGGGTTCGCATGCCGCCCCCACCCACTTTTGCACACCCCTCACACGTTTCGTGGCCCCATTGGGAGTTCCACCGACGGCCCCAGTGGCAGGGTTCGCATGCGTCCGCGCCACCCATGTCGACACACCCTTGACACGTTTCGTGGCCCCATAATGAGCTCCACCGAAGGCCCCAGTGGCAGAGTTGGCATGCCGCCCCTCGCCCATTTCGGCCCACCCCTCACACGTTTCGTGGCCCCATAGGGAGCTCCACCGAAGGGGCCCCAGTGGTTGCGTTCGCATGCGTCCCCACCACCCATTTCGGCACACCCCTCATACGCTTCGTGGCCCCATAGGGAGCTCCACCGAAGGCCCCAGTGGCTCCCCACCACCCATTTCGGCACACCCCTCACACGTTTCGTGGCCCCATAGGGAGCTCCACCGAAGGCCCCAGTGGCTGCGTTCGCATGCCTCCCCACCACCCATTTCGGCACACCCCTCACACGTTTCGTGGCCCCATAGGGAGCTCCACCGAAGGCCCCAGTGGCAGGGTCCGCATGCCTCCCCACCACCCATTTCGGCACACCCCTCACACGTTTCGTGGCCCCATAGGGAGCTCCACCGAAGGCCCCAGTGGCGCGGTGCCTATGAGAAGAGGGGCCTAGTTTGCGTGCCCCCTCCTTCGTCTCATATCCGTGCGGTACTCGCAGCTGCATATGGTTGGGTCCTTCGCCAGGCTAATTTTCTTGTGCGATAGCCGTCGTTACCTGCGTGGGGGGGAGGGGCGGGGGCACGTAACGCCAGGTTTCACGCCGGCGCCGTCTGGACGCGTCTAAGGACAGCCAAAGCCAAGTCGAAGGCCAGCACGAATCGTGACGTTAGCTGAGCAGGGGGAGGCGGGCGGCGGAGGCAGCGCCAGCTGTCACGGACAAGGCAAAAGTGCGGTCCAATCCATCCAGGCCTGTTTGCCAACTCTTGGGCTGGAGCTCCGCCCGGGTCATCGGTGCGAGATGTCGAATGGGGATCTCCGCTCGAACTGGAGCCCTGCTGGGCTCCGACAGCACCCAAATCCCAGACCTGCAGTGCCTTTTACCGCCATGCCGTTCGCCCCCTCCTCCTTCCTATAGGTTTTAGTGCGTGATGTGTGTTCATCATCTTTTGGGAGCCTCGACCAGAGATGACTCGACGTGCGGCGTTGCAGAACGTCCCTCGCATCTCGCATTCGGCCCACCTCGCCTTCACGGAAGGCCAGCGGCTGGTAGCAGACTCGAAAGCGAGACGTCAATATGTTTTGACCCAGAGTTGCTTGTATCGGCCATGTGCTCGAATCGCCAGCCCCTAGGGTTCTCGAACCCGTCCCCGGGACAGGCTCCTTCATCCCTGTGCCAAAGCATTTGGCACCCGACCTTAGCCATCATGCAACAGCAGCCCAAGTGATTTGGCGCATTTTTCCGAGAGGCCGCCTCTTCAGATTAGACGCCTGCACCTCTTCTGACGCCTGCCCTGCCCAGCATCTCGAGGGGCGACCCAGCCGTTGCGACGATGGGGGCCTTGGCCAGCCCACAACAGCATCCCGCGGGGGTCAAAGGGTCGGTGCGTATACACGTTGCTCATTTCTGATGCTTCGAGAGGCCCTTAAATTTTTGTTGGGTGCCAAGATCCTCTCATTTCTGATTCTTCCGTCCTGGGCCTCTTCCTGGCCATTGGGGGGCCCAGAAGAGTTAGAAACCAGCACGATTGGAAGAAAAATCAGAAACGAGAACGAGTAGAAGTGAGCACGATTCGAAGTGCACGACGTGTTGTGTACACCGGCCTGGCGAAGCCAGAGGGAGGCGTGGGCACGGACGTCCGGGTCCCGGGATCCGCCCGGCCAGGAGCCGCGGGGGGGTCGGCCGACGTCCCCCGAGGTCCTCGAGGCCGCCCCCCGCGCCCAGGTCCCCGGATCTCCCTCCCCATAGACAGGACCGCGTCGTGAGAAAAAAAACCGGGCCGGGAGGGTTTTTTCGGATCCATTTCGGCCTCGGGGGGCCCTCGCCGGGCCTCGGGACCTGCAACAACAACGAGTCAGGATGAGAAGCCGGTCCCGGGAAAGGGTCGGGACTTCAGGGGCGCCGTCCTGGAAAAAATCAGGACGTCGCATGTCTGGGTCCCTGCCATCGGGACGGAGCGCCGCTCCTCCCAACTGCTTCCCGGTCGGCCGGGGACCTGCGCCGCACGGAGAGAGAGGGAGAGAAGAGGGCGGAGCCCGATGCCACCGCTCGGCCAACTCCTGTGGGCGATGGTGCCAGCTGGAGGCCGAACGCCACCAGAACAATGCGGGGGACCAATACGAGGAAGGGACGGGATGACTGGGAGGAGGACGTGGAGGAAAGAGGAGGAGGAGGAGGAGGAGGAGGAGGAGGAGGAGGAGGAGGAGGAGATGGAGGAGGATGAGGAGGAAGAAGAGGTGGAGGCGGAGGAGGAGGAAGAGGAAGAAGAGGTGGAGGCGGAGGAGGAGGAGGAGGAGCAGGAGGAGCAGGAACAGCAGCAGGATGAGGAGGAGGATGAGGAGGAGATGAGGAGAGCGACAGAGAGAGGGAGAGAGAGGCGAGAGGAGAGACGGCACGTCGATCTCGGAGAGCGGGGCCCGGAGGACGACGAGGGGTGGGGCGAGGGGGCGGCGACGACGACGGGGTATAGCGAGGGCGGGCGCCCCCCCCCTGGAATATCCGAGCCGCACCCTGGCGGGGAGGCCTCTTAGACCTGCGGTCCGCGGGCGGGAGGGCGTCGATGCCGGAGCTCCGCGCGGACCCCGGGAGTGCGGAAGCCTGGAGGACGGAGGCGCCCTGCGTTCCTCAGCGGAGGGCCCGCCGGAGCGCCGGACACCGCAGGATTTTGCAGGGCCAGGGTTGCATGGACCCCAGGGGCCAGCGCGCAGGACGCTGCAGGAGCCCGGGCTGCATGGACCCGGGCCGGCGCGCAGGAGCTTGCAGGCGCCTGCAGGATCTTGCAGGGCCCTGCAAAATCCGACCAACCTGGGTGTGCATTGACCCGGCTCAGTACAGTCGTCGTCGTCGTCGTCGTCGTCGTCGTCGTCGTCGTCGTCGTCGTCGTCGTGCGCGCGGAGGCTGTGGTGGCGCCGGAACCGTAAGGCGGGGGGGGGCGCGTTATTACGTTGTGCGCCCCCCGTCCCCCCCTTCCCATCACGCCCGCTATCGCCGCGATTAGAATAACGCGCTCCAGGCAACCCGCACAGTAAGGATGAGCAGCTTTCCAAGGTCACCCTTGCATCCTTGCCCCTTCGGCCCATCCTTGGCGACTTTCGCTGGCCCACCTCGCCAGAAAAACGTTGGCATGGCCCTCCAGGGCCCTGGCACCTGCTTTGACTGTAGGCCCCCGAGGAGCGTCTTCGCAGGCCAGCGCGCCCGCGCGCCCGAGCGCGCGCGCGCCTCCGCGCGGCCGCGGAGGGCCCGCGCGCAGCCCCGGGAGGTGGTCCAGGGGGAGCGCCGCTTCGCCAAGGACAACAAGGAGTTGTCGATGTTCATCCTCGAGGGCGGCCGGGGGCGGGGCCAACCCTGTTCCGTGAGAGGGCGCGCCGTCCTCCCTTCCACCTCGCCGCCGCTCGCTTCGCTCCCCGGATGGGGGGGGGGGGGGGCGAGGCCTGCTCTGGCAGCCAGAGCCTGGGGACGGCTTCAGGACGGCGGTGCTCATGCCCCCATCTGCCTGGTGTGGGCTACGTTCAGGCTCTGGTGCCGATGCTAAAGGACGGTGGGGGATGCGAGTCCTCGCGCACCCCTCCCCACCTGTCCTCTTGTCCCCGCCCCAGTCCAACGTTTTAAGACAAACATCGACACGGAGGCTTTCCGCCACTTTCGGCGTCTGGACGCCATTTCCAGGCTCTGGGACCATCAAACAATGGTCCTGGTTGGGAAGCTTGGCTTTGCGGAAGAGGTGTATCTAGAGTTTCGGGGCTCTCGTACAGGCAAATCAGTGCGGCTGAGGTATGGTCCACCCGTCCTTTGCGCTCCCCCATCTCCCCTCTTCCGTAACCTCCTTGCCGCTCTTACCTTGCCGCATGCCTCGTGCCCACTCCACATTCGCGCCCCCTCCCCCTGCCTACGCCCTGCCCATCCTTCTAAACCCTTTTTGCCCCCTACAAGCTGGTTCACGTCATGTTGACGCGGCGACGACCCCAGTGCGGGCGTTCAAAGTTGTACGCCGCTGCTGGCCCCGAATCGGCCGATATCGAGCGATTTTGTTCATAATCCCAGCAAGCCGCGATCGTTTTGTTGAAAGGTCCACTCGGTGTCAGAGTTTGGGCCACGCCAGCAGGACAGTCCTGCACGGTTTGCTTCGTCTGCGTTCCACCCCCCATCTTTTCTTCCGCGCCATTGTCTTCGCCGTTTGTTTTGCTTGGTAGTAAACTGCGAGGACGGTCCCCTGTGTCCTTTCAGTATTTCATGTGATGGCATCGTTTCGTGGTGTTGGCGTTCTCTACCCCGTTTATCCTTCAGCCCTCCTACCCTCCCCTGCCCTTCCCTCTTGCGGACCCGCCCTACCACCATCTTTCAATTTAACCCCTCATCCAAAGCTCCAGGCCGAGCCTGCTGTCTTTACATGGGCACGTCCATATCTTGGCTCAGGGGTCCCTGGGGCTGTCGGTCGATGCGAAGGGGGGAAGCTGGGGAAACGGCTGGCTGCGAGAGGCAGAGGAGGAGGGGGAGGCTGAGAGGACGAGGGAGGAGGAGTAGTACCAAGAAGATCCTGCACTCCGACATCTCGAAACAGACATGCAGCATCGTCCTGCGATCCGTGACGGCCCTGGGGCACGCCGCAGGGCAAAACACGTCCATTGCAGTGGACATGCGGCGCCAGGATCCTACGGGGGGGAGGGGGAGTCCGCAGGCCAACGCCGCAAGCACGTCATTGGAAGCTCCCCTGACGCAGCAGAGGTCGCAGGCGGAGAGATGCCCCGCGGCCTGCCCCAGGGAGAGGAGGAGGAGAAGGAGGAGGAGGAGGAGGAGGAGGGGGAGGAGGAGGAGGAGGAGGAGGAGGAGAGGGAGGAGGAGGAGGAGGAGGAAGAGGAGAGAGGAGGAGGAGGAGGAGAAGGAGGAGGGAGGAGGAGGGAAGAGGGAGGAGGAAGGAGGGAGGGGAGGAGGAGGAGGAGGAGGAGAGGAGGAGGAGAGGAGGAGGAGGAGGAGGAGGAGGAGAAGGAGGAGGAGGAGGAGGAGGAGGAGGAGGAGGAGGAGGAGGAAAGGAGGAGGAGGAGGAGGAGGAGGGAGGAGGAGGAGGAGGAGGAGGAGGAGGAGGAGAGGGAGGAGGAGGAGGAGGAGGAGGAGGAGGAGGAGGGAGGATGGAGGGGGGGGGCGGGGCGCGCGCAGGCATCAGGCCCGCGGCGGCGGGCCGTGCGAAGGTCGAGGCGAGCGCGCGCTGCCGCCCCCCGGCCACGCCGCGGCCTGCGCGGGGAGGGAGGGCAGCCCCGGGCTCCAAGGTGACTCTGCACGAACGGGATGGGCACGGAAAGAATGGGTACAATGCTCAACAGCAGTTCCTGTTCATTTTGAACAGAACTCGCTGCCCGCGCCGCCGCGGCCTCTGTCCATTTGAGACGGAAGGCCGCCTGCCCAACAGCGGCCGTTGCTGGTTTGGGACAAGATTTGTTGTTGGGCATTGTGCCCATCTTTTCCGTACCCATTTCGGGCGTCCAAAGGGTCAGCCAGAGCCAGGGCTGCACTGACCCGGGCTTGCGCACAGGATCTCGCAGGACCCCGCAGGGTCCTGCAGGGTCCTGGCTGGCCTTGGGTCTGCATCGGCCCGTGCCAGTGCATCTCGGCAGTCTTTCTGGGCCTTCCAGATGAGGTCAGAGCAGAAGGGGTCGGAGGGTCGCGCCGCATCGCCGATGCATCGGGGGGACGCGGCTCGATGTGGAGCCCAAGTTTCTCCACGTCAACGGTGCCGATGCATCCACGATGCGGCGCGATATTCCGACCACACCTGCAAGGCCTCTAGTCTCCAGGGCCCCCCGAGTGGGGACTTTTGGCAAGCCAGGACGCCCTGAGATCCTGGCGTCGCGACTTCTTCGAAACGGGATATCCTTCCCTGTGGGGCCCTCACGAATCGATCTGGGTCGAGAACTGCTGCAAGAAGGTGCGTGGTCCATTGCAGCACCGTTGGGCACCAGGCCAGAGCCCTGGACCCGATCTCCTTCTGCGGAAGGTGTCTGGCAGGATCGGTCCGTGGAGGTCCTGCAGGGCCCGAAGCGGGGCAACAAACCGCCCGTTGACAACAAAAAAAAACCCAGGGGAGGCCCGGCTCGCACTGGTCCTCTCTCTCTCTCTCGGGCTTGCGTCGGGCGTGTCCCTCTACAGGACTTGGCATCGCTCGGACGTGTGCATCTTTCCTTCGGCGAGGACAACCTAGGAGCATCCTTGATCATTTGCATGGCGAAAAAAACACGCACGAAACTGAAAAAAGCACAGGGAATGGACGTCTGAGCGATGGCCAGAGGAGGAATACTCAAAAATAGTGACAAGTGGTCAGGGGACGATTTCTCTATCCTTTTTAGATGATGTGTTGATTGTTTGCTTTCGTCCAAAATGCCCCTGTAGGAGGACATGCCCGATCTCATCCTGGGCCCCTGCCAGCGTGCCGGAAGGAGGGGGGGGCTCGTGCAGGGGACGGGGCCGACGCTCTGGCAGTGGTGCGCTGTTCCGGCCGTGCGCACGAGGCGCGTGGATAGTGTGCTCGTCCCCGCGGTTGCCAGGATGGCCAGGGCCAGGGCCAGGGGGGGGGGGAGGGGGGCGCGGAGGAGTAGTGGATGGGGAGGAGGAGGGAGGGCGGAAGGAGGACGGGGACGAGGGGGAGGGAGCGGAGGGACGAACGGGGCGGGAGGGAGGAAGGAGGAGGGGGGATGGCGGAGGGGGTAGAGGAGGCTGGGGGATGGGACGCGGGAAGGTGTCGAGAGATGTGGACACATCGATGCATGTCGTATGGGCAGTTTCTGCAGAAGGAGGGGGAGGAGAAGTAGGAGGTGGAGAAGCGTCAGCAGGAGGAGGCGACAGGAAAGGAGCAAGCGTGTCCCCACCAACCCGTCCAGAAACGATGCCCGTGCGAGCTGCCTTCATCAGGGAGGTGTCTGACTAAGCTTTGCAAAGGAGAGGTAGGCCAGCTGTCAAACCGAAGGCCGGGGCCAGGCTGGGCAGACCCGGGATCAATAATGGGCGCCTTCGCGGATTCGTTTTTCTAGTTGGGGCAACTTGGGGCTCCTTCGGTGCTCTGTTGGGGTCCTCTTGGGGGTCTCTTGGGACCCTCGTGGAGGCCTTTCGGGCCTGGCAGGGGCCATCTTGGAAGATGGTGATCAAAAAAGGGGGGGGGGGCTCAACTGGAGTCCCCCCGTGGAGCCCGATAAATCCCTTTTTGGGGCCCCTTTGGGATGATCTTGGGTCGCTCGTGGCAGCTCTTGGGGCCGTCTTTCCCGGAGCTCTTCTGCTCCCCTCTTGGGGTTCGATTGGGCGAAATTGGAGCCACCTTGAGGCCTCAAACGCTCACCAGAAGGGCGAGACGGCAGGTGACACTGGAAAGCCTTAGGTGTTGGAAGGATGCTGGCCATAGTGCGAGGCTCTGAGGCAGCGTGGAGCTGTCTTGTGGCGGTCTTGGGGCCCCGTGGAGGCATGCTGGCTATCATTTTGAACTACACTGTGCCATCTTGGATGCCATACTTGGTCACTTCGGAACCCGCCAATCGGACCCTAAAGCACCTCGCCACCCCTCCTTCCCCCTCCTGTCCAGGCCCAGGGTAGGGGTAGGGAGTAAGCCCATCTCCGAAAGGGAGATAAGGGGGTTGTAAAACTTATCTCCCTGACCTAAGCCTCCTGCGCCCCGAGAATTGGTGGCATTACTTTCACTCTCCCCATCGGTGGGGCATGGCCCCAGATGTGTCTAGTTTTCTCCATGGCTATGCAAGAAATCGTATAGACCGATCCGGGTGCAGCATGGGCCAGGCCACGAGCGGCGTCGGTGTATAGTTGGCATCCTCCTACTTGGTGGGGGCACCGCGCGGCCTGGCATGGACACGCACTCCTGCATGTCTTGCTCGGCCCATCTGCCATGGCACCCGGGGTCCGAATCTTTCGTCACCTCTGAAGGGGCCTTGGGACACACAAATAAATACACACAAATAGAACGATCCCCCATATTTTTTCCATGTTTTCTGGGTTTTTGTGTTCCCCCCCACTTCCCATATTTTCCCATATCGGGAATCGAAGATTAATTGTGTCTGTGTGCTTTTTGTCCCTCCTGAACCTCTCTTTCTCTCTCGCTCGCGGGTCCACCTCCGCCGCCTTCGCGGACTCAGGCCGCCGCGGCCCTGGCCGTGCGCACCTCTCGGGGCGCAGGCGGCCGAGCCATGAGCCGCCCGCGCGCCCTCCGGCAGGCCGCGCCGGCGCCCGCGGGGCCCCGCCGGTAGCGCCCGATGTACCTCGGGCCGTGGCAGGAGTGCTCGGCACGAGCGAAAGTCAGCCACGCGCAGGGAGGGGTTTTGGGGGGAGGGGGGAGGGCTTCTTAGAAGCACCCCTGCTTCTTAGAAGGCGCGGGCCTTATCTATAGATGTAAGGCCGGCGCCTTCTAAGCAGCAGTCTGCTTCTAAAAATCCCTCCCCCTCCCCCCCCCTTGTGCGCGCCGCCAAGAAATCGGTACGGAAAGAATGGGCACAATGCCCAACAGCAGTTCGGGTTCATTCTGAGCAGGACTCGCTGTCGGTGCCGCCGCGGCCTGTGTCCATTCGAGGCAGAAGGCCGCCTGCCCAACACCGGCCGCTGTCGGCTCGGGACAGCATGTGTTGTGGGGCATTGTACCCATCCTTTCCGTGCCCATTTCTTGGCGTCCACACAGGAGTACAAGCTCGCGAAGCTGCTGCAGGCCTCCGTGCACCCCCCCGTGCACGCCCGCAGCGGCAGCGCGCCGAGAGGCCCGTCCGGCCTCGCGGTGCAGAGCCCGATCGACAGGCTGCGCAGCGGCGGCAGCGCCACGGAGTTCAACGACACCGCCTCGGTCGCCGCGCGAGGGACGCCACCGGACCGCCATCGATCCTAGCCCGGCCGATCCTGGGCCCAGGATCGGTGTGCGCGCCTCCTCGGCCAGGCTCGGCTGCACGCTCTCAGAGTGACCTCTCGCCAGAGTGATCGTTGGTGCCGGCACACGGGGGTCCCCAGATGGCTGGATGCGGTGCGACAGCAGCAGCTTCCGCGCTCGGGCTTGGCACTCCCGCGCCCCGCGTATACGCCGCGCACCAAGGGTCACTCCTGCCTAGGGTCACTCGTGCGTGTAGCCGACAGGCCAGTAGGCCGTATCCACCAGTCCTGAGCCCAGGATGAGCGCGCCCAAGGACTGGTGAGGATCTCCGCGGGCCGGATGGCATGTCCATATCCACGGCCTCGCGGTCTTGGACTGTTCGGCCGCGACCCCCGTGGACGCGCGGCGGCGTTGCGAGGATGCCCCGCGCGGAGCGTGCCCGTACGTGGGATCGCTCGTCCATGTGATCGCGCCTCGCTGTCCCGACCGCGAGGGCACTGACACAGCAGGCGCATCCGACAAGAATCCGGCTCGCCTGCAGGCGCCCCCCACGGAAACGTCTCACCCCCCGATGGCCCCTGGGACCCGCTGGAGCACCCGAGCACACCAGGGAGATCCAAAGGGCGACGTCGCATCTGCCCCTGGAGTCGATGTCTGACGGCAGGATCTCTTGTCGTCTGCGCCTGCTGCGTGTCTGGATATGGTCGTCGCTCGTGAGGTCTCCTCGTCCACCCGGTCCGTCTTCTCGACTCGCAGCGCCCCCCCCGGGGCCTCGGCGCAGTCGCGGCTGGACACGGGCTGCACCCAAGAGTGACCCCGTCGCCGGAATTCGGCTTCGAGCCCAGGGGGGAAGTCAGAGGGGCAGGCCTTCTCAGATGGCTCGGAAGGCCTCGGGACTTCTGGGAAGTCGTTTGAGACTTCCCTGAAGAAGCTGACTGTCCCGCCGCCTTTTGAGAAGGCCTTCTCGCTCTCGCTCCCCCCCTGGCCCCGTCGCCAAAATGACCTCTGGTGCTCGGCTTTTGGCGGGGGCGCCAAGAGGGCCCCGAGACCCTGGCGCCGCATTCTTTTCACAGCGGGCGAGTTTGCCAATTTTCCGGTCCGGTTTGAGTCATGCAGCAGAGAGAGAAAGACCAGGGCCGCGGTTGAGTTTTTGCAGGTTTTGCGATTTTTTGGGGGGGGGCCTTCGGGTCTCAGGGCAGGCAGGGCACGCAGGCCGCCATACCGTCGCACCGCGCGCAGCGACCCGCCGGCCGCGCCCCAGAGCCGGAGGAGGGCGAGTGGAGACGACGGCGGCTCCTCTCCCCACCCCTGCCCGGAACCGCTCGGAGGTGGCGCTCCCCCCCCCCCCCCAGGGACCCCTCCCGACGTGTCCCTGCTGCCCCGCCGTCCGGAACGGGCCCGGTGCCGTGGCTCGGGCCGGGCGAAAGGAAAGGGGGGGATTGGGAAAGGGGGGGGTACGAAATCTGCTGCACGCAGCTGGTTTCGGCCCCACCGAGGGGCCCATCCCTCGATACATGGCCGCCTCCGGCGCCGGGAGGCGCCAGGAAAGTCAGCTACATGCGCTGATTCTCACCCCCCCCTTTGCTATTCCCCCCCATTCGCCCGACCCGAGTGGCGGTCGAGAGGCGCCTCCAGGAGGCCCAGCTAGGAAGGCATGGCGGGGAGGGCCGCCGCGGCCTCGACGGGGCCGTCAAAGCGCTCCCCGCGGCGGGGGCCCCATCCTGGGCGTGCGGCCCCCGAGGAGAGCATGTACCGCGAGCACGGGCGCGGCACCCCTGGGCGGGCGGAAGGGGGAAGGGTGGAGTCGGGCCCGTCTCTCTACAGGAGGAATGTTCAGAAATAGGCAGCAAATCGTCAGGGGGTGATTTTCTGAGTATTTTCGAACCCTTTTAGAATATTTGCTGCATGTTGCTAATTTTTCGTCCAAAATCCCCCCCTGTAGGGGGACAGGCCCGACGTAAAGGGAGGTGGGGGCACGAGCTCTGCGGCATGCAGCTGCAGCTTCGGCCCCGCCGCCAGGCGCCGTGCCGTCAGGCGGCCAGAGGTCCGGCGATAAGATGGCCTCGAGCGGCGCTGCGTCCATGGCCTCGGCCCTCGGGGGCAGCTTTCCCGGGCCCCGCGGGGACCTCCCACCCGGATCTGGGGCACCGAGTCTCCGGGGAAGGGGTCGGGACCTCCTCAGACCTCCGACGTCGTGATTTTCACACGGCGTCGACCCCCAGAGGTCTGGACCCATTCCCCGCGGCCGATTCTCTTCATGTTCTCTTCATCCTGAGTCGATTTTGGACGATCCCGAGGTGGGCCGAAGGAAGCGAACAACCTCCCGCCGCAACTTTGTCATGACCTGAGGGGGTCAGAGGACGGAGCAGATCCTATCTGAGGACCTCTGGGCACGCGGCTGCATCTCGGTCCCCCCGCCGGGCGCCGCTCCTCGGTGTATACGTACACGCTGCGCCTCCCGGCGCCTGGCGGCGCCAGAGAAACCAGCCATAGCGTGAGCGGGTTCGCGGACCCCGCGCCTTGCAAGCTCCTTGGGCGGACGGCTCGTGTGCACCGTGCTGCGCTGGCGTCTCCCGAGGCGCCGTGGCGCCTCGGCCCAGGAGAATGGGGCGGCGTGTGGTCGTTGGGCCCTCGGAGCCGAGCAAGAGCTGAGCGCCGTGCCGCCGTGGAGCTGGGCCTGCATGGGGGTCCAAGCATGGCGCGGTGCGCGGGCGCCGTTCTCGGGAGGGCTTCGGGCTGCGCGCAGACGGTCTCCGCAGGCAGTCTCGGCCATAGCCTCAGCAGGCCCCCCGAGTAGCCCCAGCTGGCCTCAGCGGGCCCCCCGAGTAGCTGGCCCAGGGCGGCCTCGGCACCCTCACGCCGCCTTCGGCGGCGCCGCTGGGGCGCTTCGCGCCCCGGGGATGAGGTGTGGAGACCGCCCGGGACCCCTCGGGAGGCCTGCTGAGGCCAGCCTGGGGGAGGGCTGTCGGTGCGCAGTCGGAAGCCTCACCAGCCGTCTTCGCACCTCGAGGACCAAAAAACAGCACAAACGTAAATTTCAGGAGGTCGGAGCTGATTTCTGGGATCGGCGCTGGACCCCCCTCCCTGGCGCGCGGAGCGCGCCGTGGGCGGCGCCAGATGCGCCGCCAGCGGGCTCCAGCGCCGATCCAAGCAATCCGCGCGCACCTCCGACAGCTTTTCTTCATGCCACTGTTTGTTCCTCGAGTACCTGTCTGCTATCCCCACGCGCCCCTGCCGTCCGCAAACGGCCCCCGGAGGCCGAACATGGCAAAAAACCCTCCCGAACCCAGTGCCTCGAACCTGCCGCCCGTCCTGCTCGCCGGAACCAGTGCTGGGCCACCTCAAACCCCCAGCCTGCTCCAACTTTTTGCTGTCCCCACGCTCGGGTCAGACGAAAGGGGTTGGTAGGGAAAGCGGGGGTGCGAAACCTGCTGCATGCAGCTGGCCTCGACCCCCCGCTGCCGGGCGCCTCTCCTCGATGCACTGGCGCCTCTGGCGCCAGGGGGCGCCGGGATGACCAGCTACTTGAGCTGATTCGCTAACCCCCCTTTGTTGCCCCCCCCCTTCCGTCCGATCCGACACTCAGCCGCGCGCGGGGGTGGGCGGGGCGGGGTACCTTAGCAGCGTTCCTGCTTCGTTTGCAAGCGGCGAGCCCTGTCTGAGGATGTAGGGCCGGCGCCTTATAAGAAGCAGCCTCCAACTATCAGGAGCGAAAGAAGGACGCACACGTACATGAATCCACGCTGGTTTCGAGAGTTCGCGTTGCGCGGATGTTCGTATCACGCGGCCGGTCTCGCGGGTCTAGGGGCCATGTTCATGTACATAGCTGGGCGCGTACGTCCTTTGTGGGATCCCTAATCTCAGAAGCCCTTCCCCCTTTCCCCTACCCCCTTCCCAAACCCTTGACGTCATGATCCTTCCATAACGTCGACCCCCAGAGGTTTGGACCCATCCCACGGGACCGGTTTTCCTGTTTGAGTCGTTGTTTTACGATCGCGATCGGCCCGCTAGGGGCCCCCTGGAGGCCGAAAGTGACGAAAAGCCTCCCACCGCGACTTTGTCCACAACGCGAGGCGGTCTGGGTTGTGCGCGCCGCCAGGACTAGGGGAACGACGAATCACATGAACATGAAAGCTTTGAGTTCCGCGCGGATTTCTTGGATCCGCGCTGGACCCCCCCCCCCCTGGCGCGCGGAGCGCGCCAGGGGCGGCGCTGGAGGCGAAGCCAGGAGGCCCCGGCGCCGATCCGAGAGATCCGCGCGGATCTCCGAGTTTTATTTTTATGCCATTCTTCGCGTTCGCCTAAAGGCCCCCCCCTTTCGACGGGTTCCCCAGGACTGGTGTTTCATCCTGAATCGTTTTTTGACCGTCCCGGGGCCCCGCGAGGGCCCCTGGAGGCCAGAAATTGCGAAAACACCTCCGTCTTGATTTGTTCACTGCTTTGGATCTCTGGGAATCACCGAGCGCGCTCCACTACTCGCCAAGTGCCTCTACTCGCAAACGTGGAGAGAAAAAAACACATGTCTGCTGTGCTGTAAGTTCTCGTAGCTCCTCCGCGGGGGATCCAGGCCATGTGCGAGCAGTCCCTCTGCGAGTCGTGGAGCGCGCTCGTCTATGGGAAGACACCCCATAGGGGGCCACATGTGAACCCTACCCCTACCCCCCACGAGTTCTGAGGGGGAGGGTGGGGTTCAGTTCCCTCGGGAGCTCCCGAACGAAGTGACCCCCCCCTCCCCCTCAGAAATCGTGGGGGGTAGGGGCAGGGTTCGCATGTGGCCCCCTACCCCCCCCCCCGCCCAGCCCGAGGCACCTCCTCGGCCAGCGCTGCCTCCACGCCCGCGCGCGGCGCGGCGCGGCCGCCCCGCCCGCGCAGCGGCTCCGCGCAGCGCAGCGCCCCGCCGCGCGGCGCCGGCGCCCCGCAGGGCGGGGGGCGAGGCGCCGGCAGGGAGTGGGCCGGGCGAAGGGGGAGGGGTTGGGAAAGGGGGGGGTTACGAAGGCCGGAGGAGGGCGAGTGGAGACGACGGCGGCTCCTCTCCCCACCCCTGCCCCGAACCGCTCGGAGGTGGCGCCCCCCCCCCCCCCCAGGGACCCCTCCCGACGTGTCCCTGCTGCCCCGCCGTCCGGAACGGGCCCGGTGCCGTGGCTCGGGCCGGGCGAAAGGGAGGGAAAGGGGGGGGGTTACGAAATTTGCTGCATGCCGCCGGTTTCGGCCTCACCGAGGAGCCCATTCCTCGATACATGGCCGCCTCCGGAGCCGGGAGGCGCCGGGGAAATCAGCTACGGGAGCTGATTCTCAAAACCCCGCTTTGCTATCCCCCCCTTTCGCCCGACCCGAAGGGAGTGGACAAGACGCAGGAGTGGCCTTTCGCAGGATTGGCCTTTGGAGCGGGCAGAGATGGGTCCCAGATGGCTGGAAGCGAAACAGCAGCAGCTGCTTGCGCGCCCAGGGTTGGTCCCCCCGTGGCCCCCAAGAAGCCGCGCACCAAAGGTCACTCTTACCCAGGGTCACTCTTGCGCATAGCCGAGGGAGGGGGCCCAGACGCCCCCAGTCGTCGGGGGGGGATAGGCATAGGGTTAAGTCGGGCACGTCCCACTACAGGAGAACGATGCAAAAAAAACAAAAAATACAAAGGGGGCGATTTTTTAGTACTGTTGTGTATCATTTGTGTATTTTTGGGCCCTGATTTATTCATCGTCCAAAATTCGCTTTTAGGAGAACATGCCCGGCCTGAGGATAGGCATAGGGGGGGGATCCATCGACCCCTAACCGCCCATTGATCGCCGATAGGGGCTCGATAGCCCCACCCCTCCCAGGGAGGTGCGGATTCACTATCGGGGGGATATCGCCGATCTATCGACGATGTATCGCCGATTCCAGGTCGATGCATCCCCGCCTATGCCTATCCTCCCCTTCTCGTGGCCCCTCGAGTCGCCATGACGCACGCTCTTGGGCTCGAGGTCTGCTGGGCACTGCCTCGAAGAAGACACACCGGCATACGCAGAACTCTTCGACGGCCGGCGCGGATTCCTTGGACCTGCGCTGCCCTTCCCTGGCGCACTCCGCGCGCAGATCCCCGAAATCCGCAGTGTCTGCTCATGGCCCTTTCTCTTTTCCTATCGGGGTTGGCTGGGCATTTTCTGGCGGCTTCGCAGGTTCTCGGCGGCTTTCCAGCCTCGGGACGCCTTCCTGCGGCCGCGCCTCGTCGACGGCGTTCTGGGGGTGCTCGGATCGTCCCGAGCGCCCGAACGGCCGCTGGAGAGCCGAGTTCTGACTCGAGAGCCCAGGAATACGGACTCGCCATGAGGCAAGCGGGTCCTGAGGGGAACGGGTCCTCTGACACCATGTGTATCGCAACGGAGCGGGCGCATTGCTCTTGCTTCGGGCCCCAGGGCCCTCACGGCTGGATCAGGCTCGACAGCATGCCGTAGAAGAATGGGGCCGCGGACTCCAGAGGTGATGCTTCGCGGTGTTGCTTTTTTTTTCGTGGCGTCGGATCTCCGGGTCCTCAGTCGCCATGAAGCAAGCGGGTCCCGAGGGGAAACGGATCCTTGATGTGCTTCCAGGCTCCCGGGGCCCTCACAGGCCCCGGTATTGTCTGAACGCGACGCGGGGCGTGCTCGGGCCTTGCAGGGGCCAGACGGCATCATGCGCAAGACCATTCCCCCTTAGGAGGTGGTCGAGCCTCCACAGACGCGGATTGAGCAGATCACCTGGCTGGATGTCTGGGCCCCGTGACCGTCGACAACGCTTCGGGACGAAGAGCTGGCTCCGAGGAGGGGAGGGCGACACCACCACCACCACCAGGGGTGCGGCCTGCAGCGAGGAGGTCCATGATGCCTCCCCCGAGCTGGGGATGGGGGCTGCCTCGAGCGGTGAGGCGGGACCACACCACCAGGAGGGCTCCCCCTGGCTCCTCGCGCTGATGGTGGTGGTGGTGGTGGTGTCGGTTTTCCTTGGCCCTCGCTGGTCCTCATTGGTCTCTCCCGCCCCCCATCTGCCTTCTTCTACCCCTGGACGTCTTCACGCGGTAGTGCCTCGCCATCGTGTGGAGTCGAAATCGTGTACAGCTTCAGCTGCGCTATGATGAACAAAGAGGAGAAAGAAAAAGGGAAACAGCGTCTCGGGATGAAGAAAATAGTCAGGGTGCTGAGATGATCACCACCCACCAAGCCACCCCAACCCAACCCGAAGGCTCAGATTGACCCTCGATTTCCAGTGGGGGGGGGGGTCGGGGAACATCGAACAAAAACACATGTGGAACCCTTATCCCCCCCCCCCAGCCCGAAATTCGGGTCGTCGGGTTGGGTTGGGGTGGCCTGGTAGGTAAGTCAGAGGAGGGCCACCTCGAGCACGGGCGGGGCTCCCGTCTTCGGGCCACTGCTGAGATCTGCCTTAGGGGGGGAAGCTGCTCGTGACCGAGGCCCGCCGTGTCGGGGGTGGACAGAACCCCCAACAGTGACACGTCGATTAGTGAATTGTCCGTTTTCGGGTCTCGAGAGGGCGCCGCGGCCGTTATTTTCCAGGTTTGCGCCCGCCAGGTTTGGGCCTCAGGTCGTTTTCACTAAACCACGTTTTACTAAAGGGAGGTCTGTCCATCCCCGACCGTGGCCAGAAGCGGCTCGCTCCTCACCCCGCACGCCTTGGATAGGGGGTGACTATAGATCGTTCGTCGGCGACCTCATTCGCGGACGAGTGTCCCGCGAAGAGGGGGACTCTCTGATTCCTTCCCCGCGGCACCCACCGCGCAACATCTACGCCGACAGCTACGATCACGATTGCGACTGCGACGACTACTAGTACTTGTGCCTCAGTCCCAGGGGGGAAGGCCACAAAAAGGCCCTGGGGGTCCAGGGCCCGTTTCCGTCGGGACCTTGTTAGCTCCTCGCAGCGGCAGGCGCCGGCAGGAGGCCCAAGCTGTCGGCGGAGGCTGAGCGGCGCGCCCGCATCGCGCAGATGCAGCAGATGTACGGCCTCGGCGCGGCCCAGGATCGCAAGCTGTGACGAAGCGTCCTGGTCTGACTGCAGGCACGCCAACACATGTCATCATAACCTTTCTGTTGGTTCGTACGACATGTGAGCGTAACACGTGTGGCTGGGACAGCAATGCTTCAGGGAATCGGACTTATGTTTCTGTTCGCGTAACTGTCTGTTGTTCTGAGAGCACGCCGTGGCAGGCCTAGAGGAGTCCTGCACCGGTCGGTCTCTGCTCAAAGGTCCGAGGCTGCCAGGCGCGACCCTGGCCCGACCTTCAGATTCAGGCGACGCAGCAATAATCGTGACGGCGATTGCTTGGTGTACGCCTTCGACCTCTGGAGGCGGTTTCCTGACCCCAGGACCGTCGAGAAGAAGCGAGTGAGCCGGACGTGCATAGTGAGCATCAAACCCCGATCCGCTCGCGTCGTTTGTTTTTGGCCTCCAGGGGACCTCGCCGAGCCCTGGGACCGTCAAAACGACCCAGAATGAAAAGCGGGCGCTGCGGATGGGGTCGAGATCCCAGGGGGCCCGCGCCTCGAAAAAAAGGCGTCGGAGGAGGGGAGGTGCCTCCAGCTCTTCGAACCGTTCTGGGGCCCAGGGGACTGTCTGTGCCTTGTGAGGGGTGCTCTGAAGGCCATGTGAGCCTCGCTGGGCAAGCAGGGGCACCTTGGGCAAGGGGAGCCGCTGGCAACATCTTTTTCACACGGCGTCTCCAGAAGGTCCCACCCTTTTCCCTGGGGCTGGCGTCTCATCCTGAGACGTTATGGTTACGGTGGCGCAGCCCGAAAATGCCCTCCGAGAACGGAAAATATCAAGCGACTGCACAAGAAACGCACCGACTTTGTCAGAACGATGGGTTTCTGCCCGGCTATGTGCTGGGTTTGCGTACTGATATCGTAGTTGTAGTTGCTTGGTCACTTCACTGCGACATCTCGCTATCCCTTAGTAATCTCTGCGAACCCCCTAGCAGCCCCTGCTGCGTGCTCCTAGCTTTTGTGTTAAAAGCGTTGGCGACTCAGTATGAAGAGTTGCGCCCGCGAGGCTAGCGGAGGACGCAGAGGTCACCACGGGGCTGACGTATGTTACCATGGGTTATGCAGAGGCTGCCAAGTGGTTACCAAGTGGTAGTAACCAGGACCGCCGTAAGCAAGCCCGAACACTTCCAAAAAGCAGCCGTCGCATTTTTTGGTGCGCGTCGCCTGGACCTGACGTCTGGACATTTTCTGCGGGACTGGCTTCGCATCCTGGGTCGCTGTCTGACAGTCCCGGGGCCCGGTGAGGGCCCCCCAGCAGAGGCCGAGAATGAGCAAAGCGAATCCGCTTTGATTATCCCGTAACGAGAGCGGGAGGACGGGCGAAGGCGCGGGAAACGGGCATGCAGCTGGTTACGGCCCCGCCACAGGGCGCTTTTCGCAATACGTGTGCGAACTCGGCGCCAGGAGAGCCAGCTACATGAGCTTATTCGTTAACCCACCCTTTGTTGCCCCCCCCTTTGCTGACCACGCGCGCTGATTCGCCAAGCCCCCCGAGTCTCCCTGGGCCTCCTTCCTCCTCGCCCTTCAAATCAGGACGCTTCGCGCAACCCCACCAGCCCATCCAGAAACGATGCCCGGGCGAGTTGCCCTGAGCAGGGGTGGGGAGGAGCATGCAGTGGACTAAGAGGCTGTGGAAGCCGTCAAAATTACCCTAGGAAAGGGAGGGAGTAGGAGGAATCGGAGGAGGAGGAGGAGGGCGAGCCTCAGGAGTGCCCCCTGGCATGGGCCTGTGCGCTTGGATTTGGCCACCTCGCGGCCCCCTAAGGCCGCGCACCAAAAACAGCTCTTCCCTACTGGAATAGCCGCGGGTGTCGCTCGAACCCTCCCAGGTGTCATGCCTGAGGGACAAAGGGCGGGACTGTTCAAACCTTCCCAGGTGTCATGCCCGAGAGGGCGGTGGGGGCTCCGGCTCTTTCCCTCGGCCCCACCCGGGTGGCAGGGCGGGGCTGCCCCGGGTCCAGGCGACCTGGCAATGTCACATGGCATTGGTTCTTTTCAGTCTTTGCTCCCATGTCCCATCCTGGACCCGGAGGAGTCGGCTGTGGCAGTCCGGAGACCAGGTGCGAGCGTCGGCGCGTGCTCTGGGACACCAGCAACGAAGCACCCAACGTAGGAGGTGGTCTTATGCTTCAGTGGGCGAGGAAGCCGGGAGCTGATGTGGCGATGTTGGTATCGGACTTGAGCTGCGTATCGTGGGGTGCGCCAGAGTTTGCTACAACGTATTGTGCGTGAGTTGGGGGACGGCGGTGTCACGGCCTGTGCTCGTCCCGCGGCTCCCCCCTCCATGGTTCCAGCCTTGCGGATCGTCCGTCGCGGGCGTTTGTTGAGCCGCGCTTCCGGGCCGAGGGCCCGAGAACTGCGACCGGCCTCTGCGCAGGAGCATATCCTGCGGGGGCAGACCCTTTCTGCGCCCCGGCACCAGTGTTCGCCGTCTGCACGCCCCCTCCAGTGCCCACGCGACGGGGGAAACGGCAGGCTGGCCCGGTTGTGGGGGCTGGCGGAAGCGGAGCACTCACTACCCAATACAGCGGGTGTTGTGTTGTGCTTACGAGGTGGGCGTCGGTGTCTTTGGCGCTGTCTGGGGCATCGCTCGGGCCAGTAGCCCCGCTCCTTCTTCTTCTTTTTCTTCTTCTTTTTCTATTTCTCGGTCTGGGGTTCAGGGCACCGTATCGAGAGATTACTTTGTCACGCCAGATGAATGATAAATGTATAGTTATTAGCCGACGATGTCCACATCCGGCCTGGGAGCCGTTTGCGGCCGACACCCCAGAAGACGAAGATGAGGACGAGGGGAAGGGGATATGGGGGGTTAGAAGGAAATGTTAACGTTTTTTGTGAGTAGGCTATATCTGGCCTGACCTACTTCATACATAGGTAATCCACTTGGAAGGCAGGCTGCGTCAAAGACCACCCACCTCAGCAGCATCCGTGGATCAGCCCCCTTACTTCCCCTTGGCAACCCCCGCGGCCGTCTCAGCCCCAGACATGCGACGTCCTGATTTCTTCAGGACGGGGTCCCCGGAAGTCCCGACCCTTCCCCTGGGACCGGCTTCTCATCCTGAGGCGCTTTTTGACGATCCCGAGGCCCGGCGAGGGCCCCGGAGGCCGAAAATAGCGCAAAACTTGCCGTCCTGACTTTTTGCAAACGACGCGAACATGTCTGGGGCCCCCCCGCGCACTACCAGCAGCTCCTGTGCCCAGGGGGGCCGCCGCTCCTCGCCCTGCACCCGCCCCGCCCCCGGCGCAGGAGGCGGCCTCCCCGCCGCCCAGCGGGGAGCCGCCCGCGGCGCCGCGGGCGGACCGGCCACCGCCGCTGCTTGCGCCCGCGTGGGCGCGGCCGCCGACCCCGGAGGCGGGCCCCCCTCCCCGTGCTGCGGCCTCGGGGAGGGAGCAGGTCAAGCAGTGGCGGAGCGCCCTGGCTCGCCTATGTAGCCCTAGCAGGCAGTCTTCTGAGAACCTTTTTTGTGGCTCCCACGACATGCTCTTAGAACATGTCTGGTTGGGACTTATCTTGGTTTGTCGCACCGGGCTTATGTTCTTATAAGAGCATCGCTTCTGTTCTGAGGACATGTCTGGGTTCTAAGAACATTTCCTGGCAGGACTACAGGAATGCCGGGACGGTCGGCCCCTGCTCAAGACCCCGGAGGCGGGCCCCCCCCTTTGCTGCGTGCTCGGGGAGGAGCAGGCGGGTGCCCCCGAGCGCAGAGGAGGACAGTGCCGACACCATGGGGCCATGGTCTCGCCGCCCTGGCCGGCGTCGCCCCGACGGCCCCCCAGGAGAGGGCCGCGAAGCAGCGGCATCGGCAGGTGCCATCCTGCTCCCACGCGGAAGGTGCGGTGACCACACCGCGTGGTGGGTCGGTGGGGATCCGGGTTGACGGCACGGCTTTGGGCCTGGGATTGTCCTCCGAGGATGTCTTGAGCGGTCGGGGTTTCCGAGGCCCCAGAGCTGTGTGGTGACAGACCGCGCGGTGAGGTCTTACGGGTGCCGGAGTCGACGCGCAGTCTGTTAGCCCGCGGTTAAGATCTAGAGCACGCTGGGAGGAAGTCGGGGGGGAGAGGCGTTGGTGCTCCCCCTCAGAAGTGGAAGCGGAAGTCGGGCAGGGGGAGGGGCCCGTTCAAAAGTCCGCGGGGGGGGTCGAACCCCCCTCCCCGGGTGCTGGCTGGCGGACGACGACGACGACGACGATGACGACGAGAGCGACGAGGGCCACGACGGCGAGGACGACGCGGGCCACGACGACGACGACGTGTCCCGCCCTCCCTGGCGCCGGCAAACGACGACGAGGACGAGGACGTGGAGGAAGAGGCGGAGGAGGAGGAGGAGGAGGAGGAGGAGGAGGAGAAGGACGGGGACGACGTATTCTGCGACCCTCACGACTGACTCGCCGACGACCTGACGGCGACGGCTACTGCGACGACGACGGCGTTTGCGATGACAACGGCGAACGACGACGACGTGTCCCAACGGACTCGACCCGACGATCACGACGACGACGACGACGTTAACCTCTTCGACAACGACGACGGCGACGACGACGACGACGACGATGCCTGCGACTGAGATGGCGATGGCGAGCGACGACTCGTCGTCATTGTCTGCGTCGACATCTTTTACCGGCGGCGAGGGGGGGGGGGAACCTGGAACCCCCCCACGCCCACCCATTTTCGGGAGTCAGATGGTGGTTCAGAGTTCAGGGAGGGGCGATGTATTCTCGCTGGGAAGGGGGTCGGTGGGGATTTTTGTCAAAAAGGGAAGGGTCCGAATTTCAGGGGAGAGGGTGGAGAATGTTGCCACCGGTGACGCGTGCGCAGAAGTCTTTCTCTCTGCGATCGAAGATGCAAAGTGTGCATTAGCACAGATGTTCGGAGTTCCTCGTTGATTTACGGAGTCGGCGCTGGAACCCCCTCCCCGGCGGACCTTTCTGGCATTTTGGACGTATGCTATGTATTGTGACTCTTCGCGGGCCGCCCATGGACAGGAGCCTCGAATTCCGAGGAGTTGTATTTTCAATGCCAGCGGTTTCCTTGACCCCGGCCTCTGTGGCCCGCTGTCGGGCCCCAGAACTACAGTGGGGGCGTTCGTTAAGGAATGTGCCGGGGGAGCCTCAGACCCTGGAGGATTCCTCATTCGATGAGGTCGGCAGTGATATCCATGGCCAATCCATGGCCAATCCACGATTGGTGTTCCACCAGCTTCCAGACCCTGGATTCCTTAGTTATCCACTGGTTCCTTATCCAATGCCCTCACCGTATCAGAAACGCATTCGGGACGAACCAATACCCCTGGGAGAGGGTCAGAACCTTTGCACTGGGCCGCGCATAGATCAGACACATCGTTAGATGTTTGGGGAAGCGTCCCGGTCGGCCTTCCAACCAACAAGACGTCAAATGATTCTGTGGTTTGTACAGCATATTCTTAGGACAGTTCTCGTTGAGCCAGTCTTGTTTTGGGGCGCAGGCGTTAGGTTATTGTTCGTCGTCCGTAGAACCCTATCTTGTTATGATTATGTCAGCGCTGACCCCAAACAATGAGTTATTGCAAATTCGCTGTGCTCTTGATGTGAAAGCTGTGTGGCGAAGTCCATCTGGTGCACTGTGCGACGTTGACTACGTGGTGCAATGTATAGGTGGACCGCGGAGGTCCCGACCCCTTCCGCAGGACCGGCTTTTTCATCCTGAGTCGACTTCGACGGTCCCAGGGCCCGGCGAGGGCCCCCAGAGGCAGGAAACACAAAAAAACGTCCGTCGTGTTTTTTCTTTTACGCGAGGAGGTCACCAGGCCATGCAGCCTTTCTCATGATGGAAAACTTTCCGCTCCGACGCGCTGTCATCTTGATGCCAACCAGGTGGCGCCCTCGGCGGCACTGCCCGCGAGAGCGGAGCCGCTGGGGGAGGCGGACCCGGCCGGCGCTGGGGACACGCACGACCTCATAGCATGGAGCCGCATGCTGAGACCAGGCGAGGTGTCGCCAGACGCGTCCCTCGCGGCCCTCTTCGAGTCCGAGCCGCTCTGAGGGGCCTCTCTTGTTCCCCTCCCGCCGCCTCCTCCCCTCTCCAGAGCTCCGACAAGTTGATTTGTTCAGTCCAGTGCTGGCGTTTTCTCCTCGATATCGACTTCTGGAGCTCGCCATCGGCCTCCGGGATCAAATATTGATCGGGGCAACAAAACTACCCCAGGTGAAGCTCCAGGGCCGCGGATCGAAACATGTAAGTCTCGTGATCGGAGGATGCTTGGGTCCTCCCCGGGTTCTGGACCCAGTTTTGATTAGTCCCGGAGCGCCGGGCCGATAGCGGTCCCCAGAATCGAAAATCGCGAGGACTGAAAAAGACAGTCCTCGGCTCCAGGACGATGCCACCGGAGCGACTCGCGGGGCCACTGGCAGCTGTGCCATCTGCGCCATCGCAATGGCCAGCTGGGCCCGCCAGGGCGTCGCCGCGGACGCGGGTGGAGGGAGATGCGCCCGCCTGCAAACGCCAGCCTCTCGTTGGCGCCCGCCTCTCGTTGGCTCCCGTCCGCCCCTTGGGCCGTCCGCACGGAGGAGCGTACACGCCAGTCGTTGCAAGTAGGTGTTTCTGGATTCCCAGATGCCAATCTACTTTAGGCGCTTTCCTACTTCAATCATCGAGTGCTTTTTTGCTTTCCTTCCTCTTCAAGGGGGCGGGCGGAAGCCAAATCCGCTCCCAACGCCCTCCTTGCTCATGCTTCTGATTACCCCCTTCGACCGACGGGAACACATCAGCTGTCGGAGGTCCGCGCGGTTTCCCTGGATCGGCGCTGGACCTCGCTCCCTGCCGCGCGGAGCGTGCCAGGGGCGGCGCTGGCTGGAGGCGCCTCTGGAGGGTTGCAGCTCCGACCCAGGAAGGACATCCTTGCAGACCTCCGACAAAAGTCTAATAATGCTGGTGTTTATTATTATTATTATTATTATTATTATTATTATTCCTCGATCCTTCTCCCAGAGTTCTTCATATTCGGATCGATCCAATTCGATATGGAGTCTGTTCAGATCGATCCGAGTCGTTCTTTCGAGTTCGATCGATCGATATCGATTTAGACCAGTTCATTGTCCGAGGATCCGATGCGTCCCGATGTTCGAATGGCTGAATTGCACCTTGGCGCAGCCGTATTCGGTCCGGCTCCGTGCCGATGCAGCGCCATCCGACGCATATTCCGATTCGATCTGGTTTCCCGATTCGATGTTGATTGATCTTGCTTCTCTTCTCCAGTTCTTTCATGGCTGACATAAGCACTGCTGGAGGTATTTTACATTTTCGGCCTCCGGGGAACCCTACCGTGGACCGTTAAGGAACGACTCAGGATGAATAGCGGGGCCCATATGGGAAGGGGTGGAGGGCTTCCAGGAAGCCACGAGGTCCGAGTCACAACGTCGGAGGTCTGGGTCCTTCCGTCTTTGTGCTCGGCGCGTTTTCTAGAGGGGCATCTCTGTCTTCCCTCCCCCGCGTCGCCAGTTAATCGTCACCACCCACCAAACCACCCCAACCCAACCCGAAGGCCCCCATTTGCCCATTATTCCCAGTGGAGGGGGGGCTTCGGGGATCATTGAAAAACGCATATGGAACCCGTCCATTCCCAACCCGACTCTTGGGTCTTCGGTTGGGTTGAGGTGGTCTGGTAGGTAGTCAAACCGTGACGGCTGGCTTCCAGGGAGGGCACGTCCATGTCACCAGCAAACGCGCGACATGGCAGCAGATCTATTGCTGTTTCACCGCGTCGGGCGCCCCCCCCCCCCGCCGCACTCGCGCGCGGGGAGAAAAGAATGGAGGCGCCTCCCGAAGTCATGGCCGGGCGCACTCTCGTCCCACCCATCCTCTCTCCCCCTGGCGCGTTCCCGTCCTTGCGCCGTTCTCTCCCAGGCCGCCCACCAATATGTGTCGGAACAGACCAGGTCGGAGCATCGCGCTACAGATCGCCGATGCATCGGATGTCAAGTGCGATCCAGAGCCCGATTTTGCCCGTCCCGTCCCGTCTGTCCTCGATTCTTTCCCTCCTCCTCCTCCTCCTCCTCCTCCTCCTCCTCCTCGCTCCTCCGACCTCCTCCTCCACCACAGGTAATAGGAACCTGCTCCGAGGCCACGCACTCTGGAAGACAGGCCCGTTTGTTTTCTGTTATAGCTGCGGGAGTTTCTCGTCGCTCACGTTGAGGGGTTTGGCCGAAATCTGTAAGTTCACACCTGCAGATAAGAATGCTAAGACCCGTAGGAACCGCATGCGACAGGGCAGGCACCCCAGGGAGAGTGAGCACTTTGCAGATCCGAGAGAGCTTAGCACGGAAGAGGTCCAGAGGTTCGAGGCCGACCTGGGACCCCCCGTTCCCGCTCCCGATGCTGCTGCTGCTCCTCCCCTGGCCTCATAATCGTCTCCTCGGGCTGCGTGCGCCTGCCGCTGCTGACCCGCCTCACCGCCCATTCCGCCCATTCCTCCTCATTATCCTCCGTTTAGCACACGCAGTCGCCGTCAATACAGCATGCCTCTCACATGTGAGCGCTTTGGCGGCTCACGGTCTCACCCTGCTTGCGGCCTGGGCGTCTGAACTGAACTGAATTGACGTCGCCGGCGCATCGGCGATGCATCGGCGATGCGGCGCGAACCTCCGACCCCCCATCTATTCTGACCCCATCTGGGTTAGGGTGCAGCTCCTGGGAGGCAAATTTCGAATCGGCGCTGGCACATCCCTGGTCGAAAATCGGCTCAATCTGGAGCAATCCCGTGAAGTCTGTCTTACCCCGCTCAGTTTGGCTGAATCCCGTTTCATCCGGCTTGGTCCCAGGTCGTTGTAGCCTAATTCGGTTCAGTGGCCCCCTGGTTGGGTTTCGTAGCCCTGAGTCGTTCTCGCGAAGACCTCCCGCCGTCCAACCCCTGGATCCCAAGCGCCCGCTCCGGGCGCGCGGGGACGCGAGCGCACCCCTCGTCGCCCTGCCTGTCTGTCCTGTGGAGCTGTGACTGCGGCCGACGGCCCAGGCCTCCCAGGCCTCCCCCATGGGGCCCGGAGCCCTCGAGACATCCAACGCCTTCGGCCTCTTGGGTGCCCCTGTGCCGGGCTCTATGGGGCCTCCAGCCAGCGACTCGGGGCTCAAGAGACGGGGGTCACTGGAAACGGGGGTCAGCCAGGGCGCGTCGGACCTTGTATACTCGAAGTGCCTCACTAGTTCTGGGCCCCCTGGACTACAATGGCCCCCTGGACTACAAGGGCCCCCCCCCCCCCGGGCTACAGGAACCCCCTCGGACTACAAGGGCCCCCCCCCGGACTACAGGGCCCCCCCCCCCCCCGGACTAGAAGGCCCCCCCCCCAGGCCAGACCCCTCCCCTTGGACTACAGGAGCCCCCCCGGACTACAGGGGCCCTCCCCCCCAGACTACAGGGCTCCCCCCGCACGAGTGGTCACCCCAGAACTATTGAGGTATTCAGAATACGGGATCCTGAAGAGCCAGGGGTGTATTGACCTGGGCTCGCAGGCAGGATCCTGCAGGATCATGGAAAGCCCGATTGGCCCGGGTTTGCGTCGACCCGGCTCGTCCCGGTCGCGGAGGTCATCGCAAATTGGCCAGTCATTTGCAAGCCCAACGTGGGGGTCATCCTCTCGCGTGGGGGGGGGGGGGGGGAAAGAGTGGGGCACCCGACGAGGACCGGGTCAGACGCAGGGGGGATGGAACGACATTTGCTGCTCGGGGCCAGAGCAAATGAGCGACGCAGGAAGACGGGGTCGCCTTCACCGGCAATGGCGCGTAAGCTCACCGCGTAAGGTCGCGCTTGGGCGCCTTCGTTTCCAATGTGGCGCGCCGCGCCGACGGCCCGCGCAAGCCGCCGCGTAAGGTCGCTATGCCGTCTTGCGTAACACCTGGTTTCTCTTCGTCGGCCACGTGGGGTCCGAGGATGGCGCCGCATCGCCGATGCGCCTGCCATGCGGCGCGATCTGTGGCCCGTGCGCCATCGCCGGTGCGTCGGCGATGCGGCGAGCTGCTCCGACCCCGGTGCTGAAGGCGCGGGGGGATGGCGCCGTGCTCGGCGCCGCTAGCCTGGCCACCACCGCGCTCCTCCGCCGAGGGCCCTTCATCGGGTGAGGGGGAGAGAAGGCTGCGAGACTCCTGGGGGACGAGCCCCAACGGAAGAACAGCGAGCAACATCAGCAGACGCTCTCGGAGGTCCGCGCGGATCTCTCTGCTCGGCGCGGGGCCCCCCCTGGCGACGACTCCGGCGCCGCCCCTGGCGCTCTCTGCGCGCCCCAGGGAGGGGGGTCCAGCGCCGAGCCAAGAAATCTGCGCGGACCCCCAGACATTTTATGTGTACGCAGTACTTTGTTTGTTAGTTGTTCGGGTCGGAGGACCGCGCCGCAGCGCCGATGTATCAGCGATGCGGCTCGATGTGGAGCTCGATTTTCTTCACGCCGACGTCGCCGATGCATCGCCGATGTCGCCAGTGCATCACCGATGCATCGGTGATGCATCGGCGATGCGGCACAACCCTTCGACTTCTGATGCTCCAACTTACTTTAGCTGTGACCATGAATTTCGAGCACCCAGGAAGATCCGAAACTGGAGGGTTTTCACGTGTCGGGCCCTGGGAGGCGATACTCGTTTGACACCGTTTCGACATTTTTCTGGGTGATCGAACTTATTTAATCGCTTCGCTCATTCCGCCGGCCCGTATTGTGCCATCGCAGGCGTTTGCTTGCGCGTTCGTGGCCTCTTGGAGCCTCGTTGGGGCCGTTTGGGGCCTCTTGGCGCCTCTTTTTAGGCCTCTTGGAGAACTCGGGAGGCCTCCAGGGGGCCCCCTGAGCTCTCGTGACGGTCTCTTGGGGGGCTTTCGGCGGGCTCTTGGCGGTATTTGTTGGTCCTCTTGGGGCCTGGGGCCTGACGTTGTTGGTCCTTTGGGGCCTCACGGGAGCTTATTGGGGCGTCTTGGGGGTGTCTTGGAGAGTCTCTTGGGGCCTCTTTCGGGGTCCTGGGCGCCTTCTGGGGCGGAGGGCTCGATTTTTCAGTTCTCGGTTCCCTTCTTGAGCCCCTCTTGGGCCCGTCTTGGGGCCTCTTGGTCCGCCTTGGGCAGCACTTGGGCCGTCTGGGGGGCGCTCTTGGGCCGCTCCGGGGCCGTCTTGGGAGCCTCGTGGGCCGTCTTGGAGCAGTCTTGAAGGCCTCTTGGGCCCTCTTGGAGCGTCCGGAAGCGAAAAGGCCAGAACGCAAAAAAACATCGAAAAAACAATGAAAATCAACGATTTTGGCAACTTGGGGCCCTCTTCGGAGGCCTCTTGGAAGGCCCTTGGAGCGTCTTGGAGGCCTCTTGGGCTGTCTTGGGGCCATCTGGGGCGTCTTCGGGCGATCTTTGGCCGTCTCGGGCCTCTCTTGGACCGTCTAGAAAGCTTCTCGGGGCCCTCTTGGACCGATCTGGAGCCCTCTTGGACTCCGAAACAGAACTCCGGCATCTCTGACCCGACCTTGCCGGGACCTTGCCGGGGTACTTTTCGTCCGGGGACCCCCAGGGGCCGCCCCGCGCGCGCGAACTAGAAATACTGTTAACCAGGTACCGGAGATCTTAGCACGCCCTGGCCCGTTGGGCCGGCGAATTTTTGGGATGTGGTCCTTAAGTACGATTGGAACAACATAACTAACCTTTGACCCCATCAACGCCGACTCCAGCTGTGAGGCCTATCAGGGTCCCAGCGGGGATCCTTTGGGATATTTTCCGAGGCTGCGTGCCGCTATGAGAAGCGCGGCGGCGGCGGGAAGCGGGAGGGCCTTGGCGGATGCGGGTGACGTGCGGCGCAATGTGCCTCGATCGTTCGAAGATCGGTCAAGGTGGGTTGCGACAACAGCCGACCCAGACATGATCGCGTCGTAACAAAAATCAGGACGAGAGGTTTTTTAGCAATTTTCGGCCTCAGAGGGCCCTCGTAGGGCCTCGGGACCGTCAAAAAACCATTCATGATGAAAAACTTGTCTTGGGGAAAGGGTCGGGACTTCGGGGACGCCGTCCTGAACATATCAGGACGTCGCATGTCTGGGGATGTTGGCGCACATGTGAACTAGATTCGTATTCCCCACTGCACAGGACATTATCAACGATATGCATGGTGGCAGTGACTCCAATAATGCTTGCAGCTGCTGCCGCGGTCGGAGTGGCGGGTTTCCGCTGATGCGAATCCATACTTCTTGTCGTACGTGTGTTGGCTGGGTCGCGACGAGCCGACGTTGCTACTCTCATAGTGCCAGCACTGCCCAGCCGCCTGCGGCAAATCCCGCCACCGTGCCGTGCAACAGCGTAGCAGAAAGGATCCAGAATCTATATAAAGCTTCGCGTATCCCCACCAGCCTATTTAGGCTCCTGCTTATTAGCTGTAGCTTTGGACGGCGCGCGGCCCTTCCGTTTGCGCTCGCGGACAAAAAAGTATCCCCACCAGCCCATCGAGGAACGACGCCTTGGGGAGCTGCCTTTACCAGGCGAGCGTGGCATCATGTGGAGAGTTCGGGGGGCCTCCGTGGGCCAGATGTTTCTTGGATGTCCCTCGGAGACTCTTGGGATGTCTCTCGGGGTCTCTTGGAGGCCTCTGTGGGCGTCTTGGGGTCCTCCTGGCGGCTCTTGGAGGCCTCCTGGAGCGCCTTGGGGGCTTTTTGGAAGACTCTCGAGACGTGTTGGGTGCCT